TTGGATTGGAGGCGGATTAGAAATAAGATAGTGTTTCATAAGGATTATGGATCTATAGGTGTACGATGTTATATTTGTTTAATGGATGATCATATTGCCAGAGAACGTGTGAGAAGTTACCATTTTAATGTGTAAAATTAATTTTTATCTTAGATCAGCCACACACTTTATCAAATTCCTAAAATAATTCGATAAATTGCATCAAGCAGCTTATTTTCGAAGGGATAGAATTGATTTTAATGCAAGGAAATGTATATCCTAAATCAAATAGGCATAACAACGATTCGAAGCATCTAAATTAATCAATCTAAACGTGAAAAGAAAGACATATTTAGAAGATCTTCTTAATAGTTATAATGTAGCAGAAGAAGATATGTTAGATACCTAATATCCTGAATATCAAATCTATAATCTCAAATAAAAAAGTAGGATAAAAAGTATCAAATATTTGAATGGCAAAATGACTCGAAAAATCACTCATGTAGTTACATATACATCAATTAGTGAAAAGTATTTAGGAGGTCTAACAGAAAAAATAGACAATTTGATTTTAAAAACAAAAAAAAAAGAAATGGAAGAAAAATTTAAATAGTTGCATCTTAGTTCCATTTCAAATTTTGATTCTATTTAAGAATATACTCACTTTTATCCCGAAGGAAACTTTTCTACTGTTCTAGCTTAATATCTACGAGCTTAAGATAAAGGATTTCCTAAAATAATTGAAATTGAAACACTATTTGGTATTGAAGAATTTCAAAATTATTCTCAATACTATTGTTATAAATTAGAAATGGATGCAGAACTCAAAAATAGAAACAATAATGTCGAATTGAATTTTGAATAAATGAGATTGCTAAATATGGACAGAAGATAGAAAAAAAAAGAAAAAGTAATTAAAGATGCTAATCAATAAATTCAAAAATCATTAGTATAGTTAAAAGCTTATAAAGCAATAAATCGTAGTTTTAGGAATCTATTTAATAAATGATGATAAAATTAATTAACTTTTTATTTAGAATTATTAACCTACAACTATTATAGATGATTTATAATTATATGTATTAATATTAATAATTATCTTAACTCCATTTTATAATATTTCCTTTTTTTAATCAAAAAATGGATTATCTTTATAATTTGAATTGACAGTTTTAAATTTGTTATAGTATACTATCCTATACTTATTGAGTATCTCTTCTGATATTAGATATTTCCATAAAGAATAATTAAATCTAGTATTTATAAACTTCAAAATGCAATAACAATCTTAACTATTTTAAATTTATTCATTATTTCATAGTTACCATGTCTTTGAAAAAAAGTTCAAATCAATCTTCAGGTTAGATATTTTCTATAATCCTAAATAGGTCCTAAATTCGTAAAAGATAATAGTTATAAATCTAGATCAGAACACAATCAATCATTTGATGGTTCATATTGCAATAATTATACAACAATAATGAGTAACAAGAGCAGATAAAAAAGTTATAGTTAGCAAAGCAACATTTTAGATGAGTTAGAAGAGGAGTAATTTCCAAATTAGATTAATGTTACAATTCAAAAAAGATAATTTGAATTAGCCTTATAGAACGAACTTCAAAAATTTTTATCAAAAATTATTGCTGGATAATAATTTTCGATTGAAGACTGTTAGATTATCATAAAAGCTATAGATGAATGTATTTCAGAAAGCATTCAAACTTTAAAATTGAAAGAGGCTGAAGTATTTATTTTCATTACAGTTTTTAGATAAAAACCATCAAATAGAGTTATGAAATGAAAATAAATCAATACGAAAATACCATATTAGCACTAGAAAATGAAAATTTAGGAATTAAAACATATGATAACATTAAATCCTAACGATTCTATAAATTTCAAATTATCATAGTTAGAATAAGAAAATGAGATGCTTAAATTATAGAATTAACAAGCAATTAAATTGGCAGTTTAGGGGAGAAATAAGAAATAAGAAAAAGAACTGTTAGAGGCGATGAATAGCAATAAATCAAAACCAAAAACCTAAGTTAACAATTATTCAATATTATTGAACCAATAGTACAATAAAATTTACCAACAAGATAAAAAAATAAAATAATAGTTATTTTGAATTTGGAATTGATATTTCAATTAATTTTAGTACTCCTTGTCAATTAATTAGAGTAAAAGTTCTTAGATTTTTGTTGTCTTGAATTTTAATTCAAACGTTGGCTTTAATATTCTATAACTTAAGGGGGTTATTCATAAGACTAATTTTCATCTGAGTCTATCCCTATCTGTTAGTCGATAAAATTTACCTAAATTTGTACTGATTTCATGACCATCCAACATATCATTCATTTCTCTTATGAAGAGACTAACAGAATCTTCTGTGCCCATTATGCGATCCTACATCTCTTAATTTTCAACTTCTAAATTTCGTAACTTAATATAATCATTAAATACTTTTGAATCAAGAGTCTTATTAGCTGAATTTTTTCTTAATTCATTTTCAAGCTGTGTCAAGAGCAATTCTTTTTATTTTAATTTTGATTAGAGTTCTTATTCTTTTAACTTTTAATTGGTTATGTTTTCTGTGATTTCTTGCTCCTTGATTTATAGATTTTTAATTTCAGCCTCTTTTGAAGCAATAACTTATAAAAAAGATCTTCTTATTTTATCATTTTTATTTTTGGGAAATAATAAGCGAACTTTTAAGAAAGCATGATGTAAATTCCTTTTTTATCTTTTTTGAATAATCATTCCAACTTATTAAAATTTCAATGCTATTTAAGTAAATAACACTTTAAAATGATTAGCACTATAAGAGCTAGTTTTCTTGAGTTTTCTAAAGGCATAAAATTTTTATTAGTTTCCTCTACTATTAACAGTTAGTATTACTTTAATTTGAGTATTAGTGCTACTTTTCTCATAGAGATTTCCATCTTTAAAAATATTAATTAGTATTTAGCCATCATATTCAAAGTTTCAGCATGAATAACCTGCTCTCTATACTTACTCATTTGGGCTTCTTTTTCATCTCCCTACATTTATTATAATTTGTAATTAAAATAAATAATTTTTTATATTCCAAAAATTTCATAATCAGATAAACAGAACCTTATCCTCTGGTTTTTTGGAAAAGTTGATCATCATTGAAATAGTAGATGGTATGCAAGTTAGTATTATAATAGTGAGTAATGGTTGGTAGGGTGACATTCAAGTTAAAAATTCATCTTTCTTATAAGAAATAATTTTGACGGTTTTGTAAAATGAAGAAGGGGGAATAAAATTTCACACTTTTTGGTTTATATTTTTGGATTAATAACTTAAATTTTAATATAAAAAATAAAAGATAAATGAGTGCACAGGTTTTATTTCGTGTTGTGTGTCCAACTTAACTTTCTTAAACTGTAATAATAGTTGGAAACAATTCAGCATTAGGCAATTGGAATCCTTTAAATGGATTTAAATTGAGCACTAGCCCGGATACTTATCCAGTTTGGATGAATGAGGATGCTTTGGAAGTTGAGCCAAGTAGTTTATGTATTAATCGCTAGATGAAATTTTGGAGTTCAAAATAGTTATAAGTGATGGAATAAATTTTTAATGGGAAATCGGAGCAAACAGATTGATACAAATCTTAAGCCAAAAGATGGTAGTGATCTTGACTTTCGATTAACAACCCCTTATTATCCATAATATCAGAAGACTGTTCTCAAATACTGATTTAACTAATATTACTGAGTGTATTTTACATAATTATATTTAGCCAACGCAAGAAAGATTTCAATATAATTACAAGAGAAATTGTATGACTCGGATGAAGACTCAGTAATACTTTAAATCATATTGATTAGGATTAAGAATTAGAGAGCGATGAGAATTCATAATTTTACGATGAAGAAACCTCATTGATTTCGAATGAGCAATATTAATGTAGTCCAAATAAATAATCAAATACCCAAGATTGCCAACTTTAATTTGGATTTCTCGATCCTTGATATACTCTTTGTGTTGATAATTTACTAATTAATGCAAAAATCAAAATTAATTTAAATTTTAGAAATTTCTTAGAACTTAGATATCGAAAATTCTAAACCAATTAATATTGTCTATTTTAAGAACACACATTTTAAATGGCAATATAATTATTATTAAATTTCAATCTTTTTTACGATTACATTAATTTTATTATCTTACTATATGCCTGTATAAATCTACTTTAAAGTCAGATGTGAGACACATTCATCTCAAGAACTTAGAATCGTTGGAGACATTCAAGCCTTAGGCATGTGGAATCCATTTAATAGTCTGATTTTGCACACCAATAATGAAATATACCCTTTTTGGGTAGGTTAAGTATATGAGGACCTAGAATAAAGTAAATTTAAATGTAAAAAGTAGATACTTTGATACAATTTAAAGCAGTCATTATTGAGAGCGATGAAATTATTTGGGAATAGAGCGAAAATAGGGCTATATAAATCAGATACTAATCATAGAGTGTCCTTTTTTCTTTTGGAGGTACATTCACATAAATGGTGAAAATCTAATCATATTTTGATTAACCATCCGATTCGGAATCAGAATCAATTGATATAAGTAAATTTTTATATTTATAAAAAATAAGAGGGGGCAAGGAAAATTTATCTCTAAGCTTCTAAGCATCCTTATGATTACGAATTCATGAGTTCAGTATAAAACCTAGTTTAATTAGGACTCTGGTAAAGACCTTGGCGATCATTCAAGTTCTAAAAAATCAAGTCTAAATTCTAAGTCTTCTAGTTTGGAATAGTTGGACAATTAAGAGACCTCTTAAACAAAATTTGTTCATATTTCGAGTTTTAGATTCTGATTATTGCATAAATATTATCTTGCATCTGTCTTTAATATTTTACAGTTTTACTTATACTCAAATAATTATTTAAATTCTTATTTATTTTTAATGGTGCTAATGAAAAAATATTCTCAGTTCAAATATTAAAAATAGAAAAAATAATTTCGCCTTTATATGGCATTCTCAATTTTTATTTACAGAATTCCTTTAGCTTATTTTTCAAGTGTCATTTTTCTCCTCATATTAATTTCTTCTAATTCTTTCAATTTAAATCACCCTTAAAATTTATACAATATATACCTTTCTCTTCTAAATCAGATGTATTTTTATTAATACTTAATTATAATTAGCTTATTCTGATAGCACCTTTGGTTAACACTCTCAACTCAGCTGTTGGCTCTCTTAAATTTTGCTTTTATATTTTAAAGTGCACATACATCTCAATTATTGTGATCAATCCTTTAACTTATAAAATGTAAAAAGTTATAGAAAAATATAAATGTTTATACTTTTAATTTTCAATTGATTAATTATAGAAGCTATTTGATTATGAGATAATAAGTTATATATAACATCATAAGGGTTTAATTAATATAAATATTAAAAATTTTAAGTATGTCAACTACGTTGGAAAGTTAAATATTATCAGCAATATGGGCTATGTATTAACGAAATCAGATTTCTATGGAGCAAAAAGGATACGTAAAGGGTATTTTTTAAATTTTATAAAGATTTATTAATTAGGAAGGATAATAATTTATATTAAACTGTTTGTAAGTGCAAAGGATAAGATTAACTAGAAGAAAGGCTTCTTGAGATTCTGAATTGTATTTATTTTTAATTTTGTTTGATTAGGGTTCCCCAAGAGAACTTGATGCTGAAGAAAATTCATATCCAATTGTCAGATTGAGTAATTAATCAAGCTCTACAACTACTACATTATCCCAATGTCATCATCCTGAGAAAAGGTTCAGATTTTGGAGTTCAAATGATGAAAGTGATACTATTTACAATTCTTACAGGATCAGATCTAACTCTTAACATCATAAATGAATTCATGCCATATTATTTGATTATCTTAGACTTAAACTTAACTAATAATTAATTTTCAACAATAAAATATTCCTAATTGAATTAATTTTTTAATAATATTAATAGTTATTAATTTAAGTGTTGCCAATCATTATTTATCCACCAAATCAATTAAGTCCGTAATTCAGGAACAAGAGGCTAAAACCAATCCTATCTATATGGAATTAAATCGTAAAAGACCATCATTCATGAGATTGTTATTATTGATTTCATAGATTTCAACACATAAAATAAAATGTTTTGGAAAATTATGAGGAATTTACATGAGTTGTTCTTATAAACAAAAAATAAAGGTAAGATAATATAAATGAGGTATTCCAGTCGACAAACAGAAATAGAGTCAGTCATAATTTTTTTGTTAAGACTAAGGAGTATTTTTTTGAAATTAATATCCCTAAGATTCAATTTATTAAGAATAGTTTTTTTAATAAATTATTCTGTTCCATTCCTTAGAATATCTAACTGTCTCAACATATATTTTTAATTGATGTGTTATGTAAAATTGAGAAATTGGGAATTCGTTATTTATTTATTATATATATTTTACGTATTATTAAAATACATCAATAACTCTGAAGCTGTCAAATTTATTCTTCAATTTAACTACTCCATTGATAGATTTTGGATGTTGATTTCATTCCGTTGAATCTGGATTTTGGTCCAATGGTGTAGCTTCCCATACCTGACATACAAAGCCAATCTCCAACCTACATATCACTAGGTAAAGTAATATTCTTAGCAAGAGCATCATGGCCATCACATGTCATTCCGAAAATTGAAACATTAGAGTGATCTGAATTTTAAGTATTTTAGGACCCATCTGAGTTGAAAACACTATACAATTAATCATTTTCATTTTCAAATGTGATACCATCCATAAGAACACAATTGAAAGAATGATATAAAGATTCATTTACATGGTAACACAATCTCCCATGTTTAATTCTTTTAGTCATAATTCTAAATAAAAGATAACATGTGTTAGCACTAAAATGTCTTCCAGGTTCTGCAATCACTTCATATCCTAAAGGATCGTTTTCAGTTTTTTTCAATGCATTAATGATATTTTCTTGAATATTACCAGTAGGAAATCCACCTCCTACATCTAACAATATCATCTTATGTCCATACAATCTGCCTATTTTCATACATTCTTTGGCCAAATCAATAGCCTAGGGATAAATGAATGAATTACTTTTCCAAAAGAGGATGATCCTTAAACAGCACTTCCACAATGGAAATGAATACCATGCAATTGAATTCCCATTTGTTGAATTTACTAAAACCTTTTATGAGCAGCATCTAAATCTGGTATATCATCCCCAAATTTGCCAGAAAAAACGGTCGCCATTTATTCTGGGTTTTCTTCAACAATAGATATTCTCCATAGTATCTTCATTTCTGGTGCTATCTTTTGGATCTTGATGAGTTCATCGATGGTGTCAGCACTTGTTATTTCGACTCCCATGCTCTTGGCGTATTAAATATCTTTTTCCTCCTTTACTGGATTACTATAAACAATTTTTGAACCAGGAACTCCAGACTTGATCACCGTTGAGATTTCCTAAGATTTTATAAAAATTTTACTCCTTTAGAAGCACAGTCAAATGTTCCATAAGGACCATCAACGATAACTTTTAATATAGGGTCTATCGGGTTGCTCTTAATTGCATAGTATGGTGTAATCCATGGAAGAGCTTATTTCCATTAATTTACCTTATTTTTAAGTTCATTTGAATTATATATCATAAAGGAGTGGCCATAAGGATCGATTTTAACATAATTGAGAAATTCCTTCTACTATGATAAGTTGAGCTAACGATTATCACAACCTAAAGATAATTAAAAATAATACCTTTTAAGAAGTACAATCTAAAAGCTGAATTGTTATTCAAATTAAGCTACTAGGGCACTGTTTGCTGCTCAACTTTGGGTACATTTTTCTGATTTTGTAAACAAGCGGGGGAAATATTTTAAGCAAATTGAATTCCACATTATATACATTTATTAGATGGTGGTTATTCACGTTAACATTGTTGACATCTTATCATTGTAACGTTATATTAATTCATGATTTCTGCTGTAGATTCTTCAGAATTTTTTCCTTAATTATTGGCATCTTGGCTAAGTTTAGAGGGATTAACCTCACTATGAGAAGCACCCTACTCATCACTATTTGATGTTTAAGTTATCATTCTCAATAAAGAATTAAAAATAAGAATAATTTCCGGATTGAAGACACCGTTTTCTACATATTTAATCTATATTGAGATTTAAATAGATGTAAGAAATGTAGAAAATTTAAGGATGTTTTAAATTGTGTAATTCCTTATAAAGTCTGTGATAGTAGGGTCAAATGAGGATCCTTTACATTTGAAGATAATAATTGGGGGAACAGAATGGTTAATGAATATTTGCGTTGGCACTGCAGAAATCAATATATTATAATCTATAATCCACATCATGATCCGAATCACTCATTTCCATTCAGTGTAAAATTATTATTGATTAGCATTTTTATATCAGAAAATACTCTAAGGTGATAATAGAAATAGAGTGAAAATACGCTTATAAGAATATTGATTATATTATTAAATTAATTATTAAATTAGTAAAATATAATAAATTATATAATAGAATAATATTCATTTAAAGGAATAATTTCATAGAGAGGACTACCATTCTCACGAAATATTAAGTTTGCGAAATTGACTAAGTTGTCTTTATGATATTAAATAAGGATAGTTCATTTTATTAATCTCATGCCATCATAGAATTCCATCCTTAAGGCTTATAAAGTCTTCAATAACACCAATCATGGCTTAATTTAAATTTAAATTAACATTTACATAAGCATTGATTATTTAAGTAAGTGTAAAAGAAGTAATATCTAGGAAATAAAACTTTAGGTTTAAAATAATAATTATTTAAACTTAACTTCATTTTAAATTTTGTTCTCAATTTGCTTTAACATATAAATTTAATGCATTAATAAAATCATAGCATTTAAAAATAATAGCCTATCTTTTAGCATCAATATATGGTAATCAAGACAATTTTTAACTTTAGAGAACTGAGTTGGTTGTAAAATTTTAGATGCCCATAAGAAAATGTAAAGCCAGATTTAAGATTTAAATGATTTTTAATTATAAGATTGCAAAATAAACGATTAATTTTGATTAAATTATTTGAATTTTCTTATTTTTAGAAGAAATAAATTTATCACATTTTTTCAGGTATTTTAAAGGGTTAATTATTCGGATGCTCAATAATTTTTACTATTATTAAATATATATAATAGATGGGATTGAATTAAAGAAGAGTTGTTCTAGTAGGATCACTTAAATTTAAAAGTGAAGAATTCTATTTCAGTACCAAAAATTGGATTGCTTATCCTAATTTTTACTCCATGATAAAATTCTCTTAAGCTATCAGTTCCTTCTAAAAAATGAAGGGAAAGAAAGTGTAGATCTAAATGGATGAGAATACTGGTAGTTGGAACTTTTTCTGAAATAATGTTCAAAATGAATTAAATGTGGAATGAGTCCTAAATTAGCCAATGGAACTAAAGATAATGGTCTTGGTATTTAACAAAAGACAATATTATTATTCTTCAAATGAATAACAAAATCTTCTCATTTTAAAACACAAATACATTGGCTCAAGCATTAACCAATAAAATACATGAATTAGAGTACCAATCGAAAAAAGGTGTCAAATATCCTTTTGGAAACAATGAAGACTTTGTGGGGATAGGGCAAATGATTTTAGAGTTTTATTTTTCGGATTACTTGATATAAAGAGGGTGGGTATTAATGAAATTAAGCATAGTTATCCAAACAAAGAAAGTTAAATTAAAAAGTCGAGTGATCTTGTATTGCTCAGATAAAGACTATTGAGTGAGAGGAATTTAGCCGACATAGCATTAAGTTATAAGATTGACAATATTGTTCAAGTTGGTAACTAGATCGGCTTAAAGTAAGAGTTGTGTACATACTAGAAAAAACCCAAAGATTCTAGCAGAAACACTCAAAGCAATAATTGCTGCCTAGTACTACGATTCTGGTTACGACTTAGATCATTTAAGAGAGGTTGTTTAGCCTATACTCAAATAAGTTTTAGATAAGTATATAATTAAACTATTTCAACTAGAGGATAAGGTGTCCCCATAGTAGAACTTAAATAAAATCCGAAATCGGCATTTTTAGAATTTGTAAATGGGTGCACTAATTTGAAACCAAAAGTTTCTGTTGAATGGAAGAAGGATTCCTCCTAGAATGGAAACCCAATAAATGTCTACTAGGTGTAATTGGAATTGAGCAACCTATTGTCAATCACTCGAGTGGGGATAAATAAGAGAAATACGGAATAAATAGTGTATAGAGAAGCATTAAAAATGCTTAAATAGATTTAAATAAACTAATCCAATTCATTAGAATAGTAAAATTACGAAACTCAACCATTAAAAATTAAAAATTAAGATAAAAAATCAACAGAAGAAATTACTATTTTAGATGAATTAGATACTTCCTCAATAGAATCAAGTTAATTTTACTAATTTTCTGATTTAAGAGATAATGATTTAAGTTTACTAGAAAACTAGGATACTCTAGGATAAAAGGTGGAATCCCTTTTGGAAAAGTTTGCCTTATGATTATAATTTCATTTATCACTCCAATTCATTATAGAAATGGATGCTCTTTACACTATTTCCAATTCAATCTTTCCTTATGATTTTTATTGAGCATTCCTCTCAACAAATCATAAAATTAATCATTAAATTTCGACTTTGGATAGCTGATTTCTTAAGCATTCAACAGAGATAGAATATCTATGGGACTTTTGACATTTGATTAAGGATTATTATATGGATGTTAACCAAAGGCAAGTTCATAAAATATTACTCCAGCACTCCAAACATCAAGAATTTCTAGGCTTTCTGTTTACTGAGAGCTTAATTATTCTATAGCCATATAAAGGAGACTCTTGTTTATAATTGATTTTACCTGCCTTATCCTAAATAATCTATATTAGAGGGTACATTGTCAAATTGCTCTGAAAATTCGATCATTTCTTAACTCTCATAGGGTCTCAGGGCAGTGGATAAACCAAAATCTGAAATTTTGATACTATCTCCAACGATTAAAACATTTTAAGGTTTCAAGTCCAAATGGCATACTCCCTTATATACCTTCTCGTTTTGAAATTGATTAATGACTTCTAATTCAGACATATACAAGAAAGCATTGACAACTTGTCTGATAAGGTTTTTCATTTCTTCATCGTCATTAATTATCTCTACAATAGAATAAAAAATCTAATTTACTATTAGTATAATATTGATCTAAAGTGCTATTTGCCAGCTCCATGAACAGATAAATTGAATTGTTAGTTTCCTAAACACAATACAGTTATATGATATTTGGATGTTTAAGACCTTATTGTATGGCTATTTCTCTCTTAATTCTTTTTTTAATCAATTCCCTTCATTACTATGTATAGTACTTATTATATTTATCCCTTGAGTTGATGTATGACTTTGATATTACCTTCACCGCCACTCTGAGTTTATCTGATTTCCTTTCCCCTACATATACTTCGCCCATAGCACCAGTACCCAGTTTCTGATTTAAAAATATTTGATAATCTCCCACTACTTTATATTGATTCATTTTATTATAATTAAATGTAGAACAGCATAGATGAATTCGAATTTAGGATGAACGAATTTTCAGAACTCTTGAAATAGGATTTGTTTTCCAAGGACGGAAACTAGAAATTGCAAGGTGATTGTAAATATTTTGCCAACCTATTTGCTGATTTGCTGAGAGAAAATTATAAATTGAAAGATTAGATCATTGAACATCTGCGACAAATTTCAGGTAATGTTCAAAAGTAAATAAGTTTACAGAGAAGAGCTTTAAAAGATAACATTTGACGTCAATTAAACAACGAATGAAGATAGAAAATTTTCAAAAGATATGGCCTCAATTGAACTGTTAGTTAAATATTTGGTTGAAGACTAGCGATACTTCTATATGGAGAAAGAAAAAATGATAGCTGCTATGAAATAAAAAGGCAAAGAATTTGAAATTTTAAAGGAACAACATATTTAGTAAATAAAGGAACTTGAATAAATGATGACTGATAAAAAAATTAAATGGAAAAATAGATTCAAAAAACAAGTTTAAGATGGACTGGACAATGTCGAATAGATATCACTCTTGGAAGACAAAATATTACAACTGAATTCAGAAATCCAATAGCATTAATAGAATATTTTGAGCTATGAATCTGAAATAACAAGGAAGGATTTGAAATTGTAGTATTATTAAAAATTAGAATAAGAATTCTAAACAAAATAGACCGATATTGATATTAAACATGATTTTGCAATGAAAGAATTATACAAAAAACATAAAAATGAAATAAAAGAATAAAAAATATAGTATGCAAACAATCAAAAACAGTTATAAAACAACTATGAAGACAAATTTTAAATTTTGTAAAAAAATGCCGAAGTTTATCAAGTCTAATTGGAGTAAAAAACTAATGAATTCTTAAAACTCTCAAGCGAATACGATGCCTTGATTCAATTATACAAAGAAAACAAAGAAAAGTATAGTGTTGTCGTTCAGGATCTAGAGAATTCAATTCAAACATAGAAATAGGAGAACCAAGCACTCTTAGAAAAGTATACCAAATTAAATGAAGATCATGAATTAACTAAGAAATAGCTGAAAAATTCCAAGGAAGAAGTTTTTAAATAGGCTAGTGACATTTAAAATCAATAAAAGGAGATTAAATCACTCCAATTGAATGTATAAAGCCTAGAAAATAAAATGAAAGAAAAAATAGAAAGATTTTAGAGATTACAAGAATAAATGAAAGTGGATCATAATAAATAACTTTAGAAGACTAAAGAAGATATGGAGAAATAATCTGATAATAGATTGAATTAATTTTAAAAAAATGCCCAAGAATAATATGAATTATTAACTCGGTAGAAAAATACAGAAATTAGTAGATTGAAAGGGTAATTGGATTCTTCTATAAGTAAGTTTGAATAATATGAGTTGATACATAAAGATCAGATATCTAAACTAGAATAATAAGCTTAAAATAAGCTGGTAGAATTTAATGAAAAGGTAGCAAAATTAAAAGAAGAACAAAATCTCAAAGATATGGTATTAAAAAATAAGGATACAGAAATTTAGTAGTTGCAAGCTCGCATTTAACTTTAAGTTGATGAATTCAAAATGCAAGTAAAGGAAGTAGAATGCAAATTTTAGGAAGAAATTATAGTTCTAAGGGATGGAGTCGAAATCCTTATCAAATCTGCTAAAAAGCCATTAGAAGATAAGGTTTTAAGTTTAACAACGTCTTGTGAATAAAAATAAAATTAATTAGGTAATCTGTAGAATCAATTTAATTAACTACAATCTAAATATATTGATTCTGAATAAAAAAGTCATGAGAGAATTATTTAATTGTAAGATGAAATGAATATGTCATTGAATGTTTTTAATAAAATGAATGACAATTTGACAACAAAACTATAGAGAATGATGGAATAAACTAAACAAATTCAATAAAACTATTTTATCTTGAGTGAGCAAGTCTAAACAAAGAATAATGAAATACTCTCATTATAATCAGAAATTAAAAATAAGGAATAAGCAAGGTAGTAGGAGAATCATAAACACTAAAAATTAGTTAAAGAATTGCAAATATTTATTGGAAATAAGGATATTGAATTAACACAATTAAATAATCAATACATAGAAACTCTTGGGATTACTCAAGAGTTAAATAATAAGATATAGACTATCAATAATCAATATTAATAAGAAAAAGAAACTCTAATCTAAGAGATAGCTAAGAAATAAAAGGAAATAGTTCAAAAGTAAGAGGAAATTACATAAACCAAGAAAATTGCTTAACAATAATAATATCTGTTAGAACAATAATTGAATAACTAAAAAAGTAATTTTGAATAGCAGGTTAAGATTTTGGAGCAAAATTAAGTTAAATTAGAGCAAATAGATATAGAATAGTAAACAGAGTTTGAATTGGATGGTGTGATTTATGAAGATAGTTAATAATTACAATTAGCTCTTAAAGAAAAGGAATAAGAAATTATGAAGGAGATTGAATTAAATCATTAGAAGGAAAAGGCTGAATTGATAATTAGGTATGAATAGATAATAGATTAATTATAATAAGGAACTTAACAAGAGGGAAGTGAAAATTAGGAGTAAAGAAAGCCAATAATTTAAATAGTTGAAAAAATAATTTATAGAGAAGCTCCAAAAAAAGAAAGTAATATTTAAGGATTAGATGTCATTGTGAAATAGTGTTAAAAAGAATTGGAAGAGGCTAAGGAAAAAGCATTGTCAGAAAAATAAGAGAGTTAGGAATATGTTAACTAATTGACACTTAAATTTCAGGATATTTTAAAAGAAAATGAGAAAGAGTTAGAAGACATGAATGAGTAGGTATAGATTTTGAAAAGTTAAATAACGCAATTGAAGAAAGACAATAATATGTTGAAATAAGACATGATTGAATAAGAATTAAAATATCAATTGTAAATTTAATAGATGAAGGAGTAAAGTGATGTACAATTAAATACATTAACTGAGACTTGCAATTAGGAAATTGAAGAGTACAGAAAGAAATACGAGGAGAAATACACTTAATTTGAATAATTAAGGAAATAGTATTAGGAAAGATTGGCAAGACCAGATGACACTGAGACGATCTAACGTTTACTTAAAGATCATCAAGAGCTATATCACTTAGTAATAAATGCTTATGAAAAAGTAAAAGAAGCAGGAGATATTATAAAATATTTAGATTTGGAAGTATAGAATTACAAGAAGGCTAATGATATATTTGGAGGCTCTTAACTTGCATCTTAACCACCTCCTAGTCTAAGCACATAGAAAATGCTTTAGAGAGTGGCTTAAATTAAATAGGATTTAGAAATCACGTAGAATAAGATATAATAGAAAAAATCTGATAACACTTTAGCAAGAGAAAATACAAATAATTAAGAAGAGAGATAATTATCGCATTTATCAGATTATTCAGAATTGAATTCTAAGTTATAATTAGATTCAAAATTGCCACCAAAAAGAAAAAAACTGCCTAAAATGATGACATCCATGAGATCCAATTTAAGTGATGCATAGCCTTCCTCTTAAAACTAGACATAAAGATAAGTAGAGGAGAAACCAGATGTTCCATTATTCAAGTTTGATTAAGATGATTAAGTAATAATGGAGGCACCTGTGTCTTTTAATGCTTTTGTAGATTAACGACAACATGGAAGCTAGATGTCTCAACAAAGACAAAATAAATACACAGTCTATATAGAAAAGAAGAAAAAGGATATGATTAACATCTCTGATATTGTTTAGTAATAATAGGTGAGTCCTGCTGAGTCCAGATATACAAGAAGAAGACTAGAACAGTCATAGTAGTAGCAATAGTAACCAAAAAAGTTTGTGCCTTATTATTTAAGAAATCCAGAAGTGTAGCCGAGATTTAAATCGTAGAAAAAAGATTCATCCTTCAAATTTAATTGATTTTGTATTATAAATTTAAATTAGATTTCATTATTATATAATTAAATAAGATGTTTGGATATCACTTGAAATAATAATATATCATTTTGAATTTGCCTATTTCAGATTGTCATTCAATATTTTTTTGTAAGAATACCCATTAAACAAGTATCCATCAGCTTTAAAAAACTTATTCTGAAATTCAACCCTTTCATTAAAGTATACAGTACCAATGTAAACGAAGAGCATGCAAAAAGCATTCCATAACATCCATAGTCATTAACACTCCAAAAGTAAGCAAAGCAAAGACAATATAAAAGTATCCCCCCAATAATCCCCCCAAAATGCCTCCAGCATCCAATTTGCCAGCCAAACACATGTCATAGAATACTTCAGCTAATTATCCATGTGCCAATGATAAAGCCCAAAGACGAAGATATGATGCTGTATTGCTGATTCCTCCTAATACAAATTCAATGGTTTCAATCATTTAGTGAACCCAAATCTCACCTGAATCATGTTCTTCTTTATTCTGTTCAGAGAAGCTTTTAAGATTGGCTGCATTTTGCAAATCACTTTAAAACTACTAATTATTGTCCTCATCTGATTCTGAAACTTATTTTTCCATTACTAAAGGTTAATATTGAGAATCAGACATAGAAACTTTATGATTGTCGTGTTTGGAACCCAAAATCAATGGTTTAGGAAGAAGCATCCAAGGTATACAGATGACAGCAATCAATGTTAAGATTTGTGTTACTCTTAATTAAAACTAAGGATCATTAGGAAACACAGGATTAACAGGTTCATCAAACGGTTTCAAAACTTAGTTGATCATAGTTTCAATAATGCTTGGATCAGTATTATTTTCATATGTATTCAACCATTTGACTATTATAATGAAATCCATCCATCCAAAAGTACAAATCATAAATAATAGTTGAGGAATGAATTCACAATAGAAATCTAGGTAGTTTTTAAAAAAAAGGGTATTGACTCCTTTCATTAGAATACCAAATAACATATGAATCACACCTAAGATGACAGATAGTTTCATTTTATAAGAATTCATGAAATTCAAACTTGATCCAGATGCTTGCCAAACTGGGTCAACTCCAAATGGATAAACACAATCTTTTGATTCTTTCTTCCATTCTTCATTTTCTGGTGAATAACAGCTGCCAAAAAGATTCAAAGATATTGATAGATAATCATTATAAATGAATCCATTATAAAGTGCAAAGAAACCCATCAAGATGATTAAATACCTGAAGGGTATCATCTAATTGAACATAGAATCTGTTTTCTTTTAAAGGGATTTTTTCCAAAATATTAAATATATTCCACATAGAAATAACATGAATCCATGAGCAATATCAGCAAACATGACTCCAAATAAGAATGGGAATGTGATTATGGTAAATAAACCAGGGTTGACTTCTTGATATCGAGGCACTCCATAAGTATTCACGATTTCCTAGAATGGCATAGTGACTTCATTCAAATTGAAATAGGTAGGAGGAGTATAGAGGTAAGCTTTCAGTTCTTGAATTTAACCAGTGGGATAATGATCTCGATTATTTTTCATAGCATTTCTAAGTTTTTCTTCAACCACAAGTTCTAATCCTTCTGGTAACCAAAAATATCCTGTAAAGATTGATCCTCTCATTGTTAAGTAATTTAAATTTACATAAAGGTACTTCTCCTTCAATACATATAAACGCATGTATTCAAAATAAGAGCAATTACATCCTTATTTCTACAATACTAAACCATCTAATGATTGCTCCAATTATTGCTTTGTCATTTCTATTAAATTCTTGGCTTCCTATAATTACTAAGTCAATTCAATCATCTTTTTTTGCATATCATCCATCGAATTTGGATACTCAATTCTCTATCTATTGAAGGAGTCGCAAACCTTCATCAATTTCATTCTAAAAGAACTTGATTCATCAGCTCCAGGATACACAATTACAAAGAGACATCTTGGCTAAGATGTATTATTCTACATATATTAATTTTATACTTAATTAAGATGAAATGATTTTCTCATGGAATTGTCTACTTATTAATTATTTAAATCCTTTATTTAGACCCAGGCATTGCCTTTGGTCACTCTAAATATAATTCTTTTAAATCTAACTTCTTCTTCTTTATCAATTACTCCTATTATTTAACCAAATTTTAATTATTAATAATCATTTACATTATGTGGTGTTTATCTAGTTTTTAATAAAAATAATAAGGATACTATTAGAACACTGATTAGCCCAGAATTTCTTTTGCATTTTCCAAAACCAATTTTTATTCTGTGATGATATTTACTCTATCCAATAGATTTTGCAAATTAGCAGATTACTCTTGAATTTATATTTTTTTTTGGTCAATCTCTTACTCTAACTCATCAAAATAGGTATGACCTGGTTTCATTCTATCATATTGAACTTAATGGAAATAATCTAGTAAACTATCTACATTTTCACAATAAATCAGATTTTTTTTGAATTCCTTTAAGAGCTGCTCTAGACAACTCAATTTAAAAATGGAATCATCACATCTTGTATTGATTAATTTTATCGATACCTTTTCACATAATTAGCAAATGGTCTGCTGATCATTGGTAATTGTGGATCATAATCTACAAAATGCAACTAATCTAATCTTGCTAATTCATTCATTACAACCCAAGCACTCTCTCTTGGAATTACTAAACTATAATATCTCATCTTTTTAGACCTAAAGAAACTCATTTTAATATTATATTTATTCAATGTAATAAAAATTTTATCAATCATCATCATCGTCTTCTTTCTTAATTTGAATTTTCGCCATCTGTTCCTACAATTTCAATTCGTCCTCTTCTGAGGCAGGCGCTTCTTTTTGAATTACTATTTCAGCTGTTTTCATAGATTCTACTGCTTTCAAGATTTCTTCAGTATATCCCCCTGGAATCTCTATATTAATAGGTGGCCTAATCTCAATATTGTAATGATTACCAGAATTTTGTCAAATTAGGTACTTTTCCTCCATATTACTCTTCTAATTGATTTGAAAGGATGCGTTCTTAAATTTTGGCATATTCATTCGGCTTCAACATAAATACTTTTTCCATTGTATCAGCATCAGCAACGGCTTTATATCAATATATTTTGAATACCAGATACCATCTTCCATGAAAAACTCAATGAACTTGAAGGATTTAATAAATATAATTTGTCCAAACAACCACAAAAATTAACTTGCATAGTTTTGGTTGCAATTTGAATAGCCTATCATATATCTAATATTACTTTGAATGGAAATTTAGAAAGTCCTAATTTTTTAGTATCCATTATGAATACCCAATTTTCTATTTTGCCAGGTACAAAACAGTTTTTCTTGATAATACCGAAATAGTAGCTTAATGCATTGATATAGACCTCTTCATTAAACTAAAAGTTAACTTTATTATTCACCTATTTTAAATTGACCAATTCAAGATTCATTATTATGACTGGTCGTTGCTATCTGTCTCTTCCAAAGGTGTATACAATGCCTTTTTGTAAAAATGCAATATTGATATCAGTGGGTTAGAAATTGTTTGGCACTGCTCTCCAGGCTAAATGAGATTGTAAGACTTTTAAGTAATTCTTATCTTTAAATTTGCCACAATAAACCATTTTCAGAGTATCACTTTCTTGCCAACTATAATTTGGGATATCAATCAGATTTACTCTGCAGGTAATTATATTTTATTCTTTGCGACTATCTTCATAAAATCTGCCATCTTCTCTTTTTCATAAGCATCATATGGCACATTCTCCCAAATTCTTCTCTAACTCTTAGACCTCTCTTTCCGCTTTATATATTGTGCTAAATTAATCAACAGTATTTATACGATCATGCATTATTGCATCGATCAAATATTAAGCTGGTTTTAGATATTCAAAATTCAGAGCCACCTATTGTTATAGCATATTAAATTTATTTAAAATGGGAGCTTTTTAAATTGCACTCATATCAATCATAGTCTTTAGTTCCATTCAATTTGTCTAATACGTCCTTGTAATGACTGCATATTTGCTACTTATTCAGAATTAAATCCCATACTTGAGAACTAAATTCTTGTTAGTAACATTAGTGGCATTACAAAACATAGGAATGATGTTAGTTAATGATCATTAGAATTCTAAAATCGTTAATAATACAACTTGCACCATATAAGTATTTTGATATATTATTCATAGGCACTCATTATTCACGGAACTCAATTATCAATTTATACTCTTTTTTTGTGCATAACATATTCTAAATGTAGAAAAGAATTGAATGAAAACTCAATAATTAGTATAACACTAGTAACTTTGTCGTTTATGATAATGTAAATAAAAAGAAATCATTTAAGCAAGTCCCCTTATAATGCATTAAACTCGACCGGGTGAACTTTTATGTGAATTTGATTAACCAACCAAAGTTATACTAAGCACCATCTGTAGCTATATAATATTAGTGGCTTTACTTGTTTGTCCACTACTTACAATTAATAAGATTGACTCTTAGTTGAACAAGTTTATTGTTATATTCACAATCACTTAAATAGTTGAAGTAGTTAAGAATACAATTGACATCAGCGAGTTGGAATGTATAAAATATATTGATATATAAAGTGGCTGGGTTGTTTTTCATTCAGATACGAAACTTTTTATTCATACTGTTGTTTTAGATTGAAACAAAGGATGCCTTTTTATGTGCATATTGCGGATTGACAAAAAAGCCAAAGAAAAGCAGATAAAATCTAACAAGATAAGAGGAATGTATTCCAGTAAGAGAAAATGAAATGACATATAAAATTTGACTATTTTATTTATGTTGTCATTTTTTATTATTCGAATTCTCTTTCTGAATAACAATTTTGAATTCATCCCAATTCAATGCACCATCATTGTTTAAATCTGCAAACTAAACCATTTCTCTTAATTCCTGATCAGTGTATCTTTCAGAAACCAATTCATTTATTCTTTTGAAATCTTCATAGGTAATTTTCCCTTCTTTTGACGAATCAAATTATTTGTACAAATCTGTCAAAACTTCTTCATCCTCAATCGAACTTCAGATTTAAATCACAAATACCCTTAAAATCCGAATATCTATAAAAATTCTTCAAAATCGACTTGTCTTGATCCATCCTGATCCAGATCTTGAATCATGTTGACAATATCCTCAATGCTCTGTTCCATACCTAAAGCCACAATGGCATTTTTCAATTCATTCGGTCTATAGAGAGATAATATGTCAAAATTGTTACGAAATAGCACCACTTTTATCATCATCAAATATATCAAAACACTCTTTTATTTTGATGACATCCTCCTTACTGAGTCCAGGCTTAACATATTTTTATGGGTCAAAAACATTGACTTGTTGTGGTTGTTCATCATATTGTTCTGGTTTTAATCTTTGTAAAGGCGGATGTCTAATAGGTTTTTGAGGAGTTTATTATTAACTTAGCTTGCTGCTCATTAATATTAATTAATGGCAAGAAAAGCTAAAATTTATTATATCAATAAATGGAGTAGAGAATTACAATCGCACAGAAATCGAAACACATTCTTAAAGTGAGAATTATTATTATTGACAAATTACCAATTTATATCATTGTTCATCTTCTGTAAGAATCATATTAGGAATTCCATTTGTGATGGGATAATTTCTTTTGCACGATGGATTGGGGCAAGTCAATTGGCCATCCATTATGTGAGTCTAAATTAAATTCTTTCTTTAAATTATTACCTCAAATAAAACTCTGTGCAAGTCTTTTAAGAAGCCTAAGTCTTGTTCCGCATTGGCAGGAATCTGTTTAGGGAATTATTTGAATCCAAGCTATCTCATAATTCATTGACTTACTTCTCTGACTGTATTAGATAATACCTCAAAATCAGCTTTGGAATTAACTTTAAAATTGCATCTTTTTTGAACTCTAATTCCATAATAACACTCTTATTCACTTCTATTTTAAGTGGATAATTGTTCTTATCACACTTATTACACATCAGTAAATTATGAACCAACAATCTCATATTAATTAATATTTATATATATTTTATTTATTTTTGTTAACTTTGTAAGAAATGAATATTCTAATTCAATGTCTTAGATTTCTTATTTAGAATTTTAGTGTCATGCATGTGTTTATAATAAATATGTCTTTGAATTATAACTGCTTCATCAATTTGCTCTTCTTCACAAAATAGTACTATGTTAATTGATTCTTTCTTATTCTCAGATAAGTAATATTTATTAAATAGCCATTTTAATAATACCCCTATTTTCAGTCGTAAGGGAATTAATAATTTGATGTAAACATTGATTGATTTTTTATTACTGCAAAAATAAATAGTTTATTTTAATTTCTTCAAAATGATTTTATAAAAAAGAGAAAAATTTAGATGTAGTATTAGAAGAGAAGCCTTAGAAAATCACTTCAAATTGGCAAGAGAAAAAGCCCATCAAAGCAACTCTAATTTACAACTAATTCAAAAGTATGAATAATTAATACAAGCTAATGTAATTGATTCCGATTTCTTTGAAGAATCTATCCTTCTCCTAGAAAGTACAAATGACGAAGATCTTATCGTCATCATTCTAAGGTATATCGAGAAATTCGACCTCTCAAATCGATCATAACAATTGTCTGATGCACTCATTAAATAGTTAAATAACACTAAAATTAATAGTTTATAATTTTATGTAAGCAATTCATGAATAAATAGCTAATTGTATCGATAACCAATATTTTATCAATCCAAGACCCTGAAATATTCACTTAATTTGTTTCATTCAAATTATTGACATCTGTCTCAGAGATTCTTGATAGTTATACGGAATTGGACATAATACCCAATTTATTAGAGTGTATTTCGTGTTGGCCATATCAATTTATTAAAATGAACTCTGACTAACAATAGCTCTAATTGTTATAATCCATCAAAGGCGTTAAACAATACGATTAACTCAACTTTTATAAATTTCTTATTAAAATCACAGAAGAAATCTAAAACGAGGAATACCTATTCACATACCTTATTAAGAATAAATACATTCAGGAAGCTATAGAGGATTTTAAAGACGACAGAGTGTACGTTCTTGACTTTTTTATTAATCTATCATTTTTAGAGGCTGAATAATTATTGCAGATCATATCATATCAATTTCTGTCTCCCTTAATTTTTGAATTAAATAAGGATAACAAAATCCAAGGAGGCTTATACATCCTTATTAGGAATCTGCTCTTGTCTAATTATTAAATTCGATTGTATTTCTATGATTTTAAGATTTATCAACACCTTTCTTATGGCATTTAATATTGTCTAGATAGATTGGATATCAGCAATTTGGAAGAGGTAAGATTCTGATTTATGTTAGATTTTGATGTGCATAAAATCACTACTTTAATAAGATGAAGTCTCTTATGCTAATACTAAATAATAGGTACTGTCTTCTGAAATTGAACTTATGTTGTAAAGCATCTTTCTATCTTTGGAGAACTAAATAGATATTTTCAAATTGACAGGTGAAATATTGTTCATCTATTATACTGAATTTAAATTTAACGGAAATCAACAATTTAAAGAGAGACTTAAAACATTAGATTTGGAAGTAGAGATATTTGATTCTATATAAAGTTATATTGAATAATTTGATTGATCATCTTCTTATTAGGTTTTCTTTTTGGGTCATGAAATTTTGATACTGCATATTTAATACGTCATGGATTGTGCAGGCACGATTAATCAATTGTTATTTTGAAGTCAACTTTTCTTATGAGTTTTTGTTCTCTCTTGGATAATGAGTGGATGATTCTCTATGATAAGGAACATCACGAGTGGCATAATTGAGTTTTTCAGGTGCTTTAGGAGATTCAGATTACTTTATGGCTTTTTTATCAAAAACATCAAACAATTAATCCTTCCATTTACTTACTAAATTATTCTTCTAGGATATCTGACTGTCAATCATTTTTTTTGAATTATTTTTATTCTTATCATCACTATCTTCATATCTAAATTTTGATTTTGGATTTGCATTAACGCTCTCTTGAGTCAATATCTTTTAATATTTCTTATCCTTCTCCTTCTCTCGATAATCTTTAAATTCGTGAAGATCCTTGCTCTCTCTGATGGTATTCTTCTCTAAGGAATGATGAGGTTTATCATTTTTAGGCCATAGGTCATTGAGTTTTTCTGATTTTATTGGACTAAACTTGCTGAGTCTATCTTGTCTTTCAAAATGGACATTTAGTTTAGAATCCAAAGGTTTTTCATCTGAATTGGAGTTTTTGCTAAATAATTCTTTTTGTCTAATGGATTGTGGAAAATCTTATAATAAATTAGGAACAGTAGCACACAACTAGGACTGGGCATTGGTTGACAATTTAAGCAATTATCTTTGTGTGGCCAATATGGAAGATTTCTATAATGTCATAATAAAAATGATTACAATTTGGAGGGATGACGATGGAACATTTAAACTCTTTTCTATGTCAATTAACAATTTGCTAATATCTTCTTGGGACTTATTCAAATTCTAATAGATGAGGGAATTGATTTCTTCTTAGAACTATGCCATTTGTTGTATTTGTTATTCGAGATCTTTTTCTTACTTTTAAATTTCCAGTAATTGAATCATCTCTAAACTGTTTATATCATTAAACGTTTAGTTTTTCTTTTGTTCCAAACTCAGAATAAACTAATGACAACTTTATGAAATATTTACTTGTTAATATTGACTATTGATTTCATCTTTCGTTTATTTGCATTTTGATTGAAATTAATATTTCTGATCCTGAATGTCCTTGATGGCCTCGAATTTGGATTTGAAACTCTTTTCCAATCTCTCCAAATACAACTATAGTCTTTCGTTGGCCATGGCATTCTTTTGATTCGATTAATGTTGAGATCCAACATTTTATACTCCCAAATCACGTAAATCATCAATGACTTCAACCACCTCGCTATCGTTATTGGATTTAGGGTTAATTTAATTTTATTCAATTAACGGAACTATGATTTCCTTGATGACCATATGAAGGGCTTCGACTGTATCTTAATCAAGTTTGGTAAGATGATTGCATTTAAAACATACTGCCACTCTTTCGTAGTCTTCAAGATTTTGCTTCTCCTGTTAAATTTATAAGTAATTGTAGGCCAAACATATTAAACAAAATTTATGTTCGCATTCCAATTTTACATACGTCTCTGGAACTGTCTGGCATTGATCGCATTCAACATCTTATTACGAATCCATTTCAATATTCTATACTAATTTTAATTATTATATAAATTTTATATCGTTAGATTATAGAAACTTATTGTATTTTAATCATTTCATGTTGATTAACATCCGTTTAAATAAACATCAATTTACAATCAACATTTTATAACCATTTTTAAACTAAAACTCTAGTGCATCAACTATTTAAATTAGATTTTGCAGGTGATTTAATCAGAATTAAAATGATCACTTTAATAATTACGAATTATGCCTGATATTTTGTGATAGTACGCACTAAAAATAGAGTAAAAATAGAAATTTGTGTTAAAACATTTAAAATAATTATAATAAAACTTACTTACATAACCTACACAATGCTTTATCCAGAACTCTCATCCTTAGAAGACTTCGAATTCATCAAAAATCTTGGATCAGGATACTCATCCACGTATATTTCTGTATTCTATTATCTTAGTGTTGATCTATACAGACACATCTAAAGCGACAGAATAGTGGCAGTGAAGAAATTATCAATCAAGAATTTAACTTAATCTGAATGCAGGAAAACCTACGATACTGAAATAACCATCTTAACTAAACTGAAAGGTTGTTCCAATGTAGTCCAATTAATCGGCTTCGGATTCTACACCACTATCGAAATCAGTACCAGAAGAACTAGAACTTTAAACAATTATTTCCTAATTTTAGAATACATTGATGCTTAACCATTGGACAAAAATAGTGAAAGAATTACTAAATAATTCTACTACAAACTTTTATAAAGTATATTCTTGAATCTATATGTAGCTCTGTAGAGGATTCATGAATTGGGAGTAGTTCATAGAGATTTAAATCTAAATAATGTTCTAATTTAAAACAACGAACCTATACTCATTGACTTTGCCTTTGGTGCAGTGACGAATGGCAAATAGAAATTCACTGAATTTTATGGAACTAAACCATATGTGGCACCAGAGATTGTTGATGGTTAGTCCTATCTCCCATACCCTACTGAAGTTTACAGTTTAGGTGTTATTTTATTGGAATTGATAAACAACGAGGACTCCAAAGAAATTGCAGCCTAAATGATGCAATAGAATCCGTATAAAAGACCTAATTTGGAGGATTTCATTGCTCATCCTTGGTTTTAATCTTGATGTACTTAGTTATTTGTATTTCTCTAAAATCAATTTATTTATTTTTCATTAAGTGGTTGTATTCTACTCAACAAGATTCTGCTATTGGTTTATCATATTTAATTATAAATAGTTTTTTTATGTTAATTAGGTGTGCTATACTTATATTATTTTTATTATAAATATTTCCTAATGGTTTAAATAAATTAAAGCGAAGATGACAATAAAATGAAGTCTCGCGAAATGTAAATCATTACTCATTCGATGCATGAGCAATTTGATCCTAATCCGCATTCGATACAATCTATGAATACTCATGAAATTTTTTATGATTTGAATAGGGTTCTAGAATTAGAATAGACAGGTGTCACACTCAACGTTAATGATAGGGATCGTCAATCAGATATCAATGAATTACAAAGCAGTATTATACAAAATATGAATAGGTATAATGCCGAGATGGATGCCTATTCTCCTAGAATTAGAAATAGAAATAAAAGCAATACTTCTCAACAAAGCTAATATCCATCCTGATTTCAATACATATTTCAACAAAAGAGTATTTCCAATTATGGATAGTTTTTTAAATAAATTATTTACAGATCAAAGATAATTAAAAGTGCAGTGTTACTTCAATGAAATTCTATTAATGATCTAAAGATTAGCATTGAACATTTGGAAGCAACACCCAACAATAAGTCTAGCTGTATTTAAGAGAATCTTCGTCTATCCCGAAGTCAGGTTTTTTGATTCTCATTTTAATGAAAACCAATTCAAATACGCTTTATCCAGCTTTTATTTAGAGCGTAACATGGCAAATGTGCAAAGTGAACACAATGTCGTCCAAGGAAAGGATCTTGATCCCACTTACCAGAGCTATTATCCTTTGCAAGGAGAAATCTTGGAAGACTTCCATAAAAACAAATCTAGTATCCACTTATCGCCATTGTTGAGAATTTAAATGCATTACTTTTATTAAAACGGAGGGTTTGCCTTATTGATTGACGGGATCAATAATTTCCAGATGGTCTTTATAGACATTCTGGATGTATTCAATTATTTTAGTAATTTTGTGGATAAATAGAAATTCATAAATTACTTTTCAGGACTAAAGGATTAATTAAAATTATTTTATCAAAAAATCAATGAGGAAGATATTAAGCTATCCTCAAAGGAATAAGTCAAGAGACTAAATGAGACACTCGAAAAAGCATTGGTTCCCTTTTACACCAGTAGTGAAACAAAGGAAATCATAGGCCAAACAGAATTGAACATCTACTTACATTATTTCAGATGTCACACCTTTGAGAAGCGTATTTTTGGTAAATTGTTGATTTATATAATAGGATTACAATAGATTTGTGAAAAGATAACCCCATTGAACTTTATGGATTTTAATGTGAATTATGAAGTTGGTTAGATGAATGATGATAACATCTTGAAGGACATTTTAATAAACTTTTTGGTGAAGAATAAAATATTTTAAGAATTATTTGGAGAAAAGGCTCATTTTGAATTGATTAAGCGTTCAAATCCAATTATTCGCTTCTTATATCGAAATAACCAACTTTAAACAAGTGATATAATTCAGATCTTGAAGATGGGAAAGGGAAAACATGAAAGTTGGAGCAATTTCCTATTTAAAATATTGAATGACATAGCTGAAATTATGTCTGAATCTGATATGGAGGCAGTTCTATAGGAGATATAAGAATAGAAAGTGGATTCCAATATATTGAATTTCATTAAGTGTTTAGGAAGAAATCAAAATTTTGATAAGAAATACTTTTAATAAAAGAAAGAAACCAAAGATAATATTCTTACAGAATTAGAGATTGAATAAGAATCTATTCAGAATTCAACTAAAAATTCAGAGAAACTTACAATAAAAGTCTATAACGAAGATTAATAATAATCAGAGAACCAGTATTTGATAAGTAGGAATTAGGATCGGAAATTATAGTAGCAATAGCAATAGTAGGAGATCAAGAAGAGAAACATTCAGAATGATGATAGTATAGACACAAATTACGAAGAAGGAGAAGGTATTAGAGGGAGAATAGTGGAGTATCTTTTGACTATCACAAATTAAAACTCTAATGTTGATATTGGATAATAAGCATTTAAAATAGCATTGGATTTGATTTGCATGTAGTTTAGATTTCTAAGGATGAAGTATTTAAATTAAGCATTCTAAAAATTATTTGAAAATGACCCTTAAACTGAAAATCATATACAAATGATATCTAAGATTGTTGTTTCATAATACCCAATTGACAACTATAATTCATAATCTGAATTGATTAAATATTTAGAGTAGAAATATAATTTCAAAATGTCTTTATTGGCTGTGATTGCAAAGGCTAAAAAGAGAGCTTATGAATAAAATAAGGATCATTATACTGAAGTGATTGATTAACTGTTGAAGTTTTACTAATTCCTGTATTTGTTGACTGACAATAAAATAGAAGCTCATCATTTAAAAATAATTTGGTAGGTCTTAGTGAATAATGCGTTTAGTGTTAAGGAATAGGATTTGTTTTTTAAGTGGATTTTTAATTCTAATAAAAATATCATCTCGTTGGATGCTCTATAAATGTTATTCTTTGATTATTTAATCAAAATAGATTACAATTCATATACTGTACCAATTTTTTCATGTCTTTAAAATTTAATCATGTATTTCAACATATAATACAAAATATTGAAGACAGATGTAATGGATTCTTATATAATTCAAGATGCTGACATAGTAGGTTTGGAGATCTTATGGAAAGTGTTTTTTGAATGCAATAATAAGGAAATAATTTAGAAGGCTCAATAATTTTTACTTTAAATAACTGGATTCAAATCAATAAATTAATAAATAATGAATAAATTAAAATAGAATTATATTGAACACATATTCGACAATGTCCAATAGAACACAACCGAAAAATGCTTAGACTTATGTATAAAATTACTAGAAGAAGTGGAAGGAATGAAGTATTTAAAATAGGATAGTTTTGAGAAGGGAGAATCAAGTGGATAGAACATGTTGATCATCATTGATAATAGATGTAAGAATGCTTAACATCCCAAAAGATAGGAGATATCAGTGCCTGAGAACATGAAAATAATACTTGTGAAATAGATCATTGGACAAAAGATCAATCCACAAGTAAAACGGAATGAAATCGATGTAGTGTATAGAGGAACTTGGCTAGATAATCAGAAGAGCTTGAAGGATTATAAATTTGATAAGAAACCTACTTTTCAAATTCTGATGAGACCTCAATAGGATGAAAATTAGAAAATTGAAGATTCGAAACCATTAGCCATCTGTCAAGGAGACATTGATGATTTGAAAGAGGCTTTCAATACTCAGAAAATGAGCAAGGTTGTCCCTCTTCCAATAAATGAACCAATACCTTTGGGAATGCCAATATATAAATAATTGAATAATGATCAATAAGAGAAGATTTAAAAGGTTATGAATATCACTAATGAGTTCAGTTAGGAACTTGTAGAGTATTTATTAAATGAAAATAATTGGAATTTGGAAATGTCAATAATGGATTTGATTGAAAATAGAGAATTCCATCTTTAAAAGTTCGAGGAGAAATAAATCAGATAAGTCAGTCCACTATAGGATAAATCCAACAAATAGTAGTAAACCTAATTTATCGACAATTAGATGTCTAATCCTTAATAACCATAATTTTAATTTTAGAAGGCTGTTCAGAATGATAATAATTTTTAATTGGTTCAAAAATTCAGTGTTGCAACCTTCATTTCAGAAAACAACAATTATATTTAAAAATTATTTGACATCTTGAATTTGAATGATGAAAATTTGAATTCAAAAGTATGGTAGATTTTATCTATGATTCCCAGAAACAGAGAGACATATGAATTGATTGACAAATGCCAATAAACATCAGAATGGGAAAATCTATTGGATCAACAAAATAAATACAAGCTATATTATAACCTATAAATATTAAAGGAACTATTGGATTGTGATTTTATAGATGATCAAGATGAATTGAGAAAGCGTAAATAATGCAGAGAGAACTTTTTAATGCAAGGTGGATTAATTTAAATTTAATAATTGTTCTTCATGCCCAATGTTGATTCAAATACTATTTAATTAGCTTTAGAAATATTTCTCATCTACTTTACAGCCTACGTATTATCAAAAATAGAGAGAAATGATGAATTTTGCAGCAGAATCATTAACTTAAAGGAAACAGTAAGAAATCAATTCAAATAGTTTGAAGATAGATTGCCTTCAACCTTCTTTTTTAATGAAAATAACGACTCTGATAAATCAAAGCAAAAGTCTGAGACAGCATCAAATTCTTAGTCAAGTGGAGTCTCTACTCCTAAATTTAATAATACCTCAATCACTCCTCCATTGACTCCCCCAGTTGAAGAACACACAATACCAATATCGAAACAACAATTATAGACCTAAGATAACTTTGATGAAAGACAGATGCTAATCCTTTAATTTAAGGAGAATCAGCTTTTTTAAGAATTCTTGAATTTTCCACATGAAGATCTTCTCAGATCATTAATAAGTAAAATTGACTTAGGATTTGAACAAATTTTTTAAGCAATCTTATTGATTCTCTATTAAAATTCAGCTCTGGTGTAGACCATCTATGAAATTGAGAGTTTTCCCTCATAAGTCTTATAAGTTTTGTCACAATCTTAGTCTCAAGAATGCCGAAGAATTTTAACCTATTCGTTAATTTAAATCTGTAAAATACCATCTTAAAATTCCCAGAATGATTTTGGATTTTATTTGTTAAAAGAACTGATTCCTCAAATTGTAAATCCAAACACTCAATTTGAAGACATATTCATATTGACAGCAGTTGTACTCAAGAGAACTAATTATGAGGTACTGACCTAAAATTTTGACTTTTAAGATTTGTCATAATAAATAATTCAGAAGATTATTGATCGACCCATAATTGAAGAGAGATTTGAAGACAATGAGGATAAAGTGGTCTAAGGGTATTTAATACTCTTGACTGCTATAATAGAAATTTGTCCTTAAACAAAGGAAGCATTATCAAAGCAATTAATTAGGTAAGTGTATGAATTCTTGTTTCACTTAAATGATGACTATGCTAAATATCCAAAATTTAAAAGAAAACTCACAAGAAAGAGAGCCTTTCATTTATTAATAGAGGCAAGCAAAAATTGCGAGTAGAATTTCTTACTGTTATTGGATCCCATCTCTAACACTCATGGCAGAATCGAATAGCCTGACTAAGATTTTGATACTGGTGTAAAAGGACACTATGGATTTGTTGGACTCAAGAATTTAGGTGCCACTTGTTACATAAATTCATTATTACAATAGTTCTTTATGAATAAAGCATTTAGACATGGAATTTTGAATAGTTAGATATCAATCACAGAAAATAATGAAACTATTGTTTATGATGATGTTGATTAAATAAAATCAGAATCTATAAGAAATAAATTATCAGATCATGCCTTATATTAATTGCAATAAGTATTTATTTAATTATAGGACAGTGTGAGATCATTTATAAATCCTATTTAATTTATAAAGACTTTGCAAGGCTATGATGGTTTGCCCATCAATTGCTCAGTCTAATAGGATGTCAATGAATTTTTTAATTTATTAACTGACAAGTTGGAGAAGGATCAAAAAGGCACTTAACAATAAGAATTAATACATCAGATTATGGGTGGTACATTAGGACATGAAATTAGATCGTTAGAATAAGATGTAGAATTTTAACGAGAAACTGATGAAGTTTTCTTAACTGTGACTATTGAAATCAAAAATAAGAAAAATTTAGAAGAAGCATTAGATTTATTTATTAAAGCAGATGTATTAGATGGAGAGAATAAATACTTTTGTGAAGCAATCAATAGAAGAATAGATGTTGAAAAGAGGTGCTATTTTAAAAAATTACCTAATACCTTTATTTTTACACTAAAGAGATTTGAATTTGATTACAATAGAATGTTGAAGTTAAAAGTAAATGATTACTTCGAATTCCCGTCAGAGATTAACATGTTCAAGTGGACAAAGGATCATTTAATTAATAATCTATAATTGGATGATCATACAGATTATATATATAAATTGGTAGGAGTCCTCATTCATACAGGGAGTGCAGATAGTGGACATTATTATTCATTTATAAATTCTTAAGAGAATAAATGGTTTGAATTTGATGATAGATTTGTGAGTCCTTTTAAATTTGAGAATTTAAAATAGGAATGCTTTGGTGGTAATAATTAATAGAATGATTATTACAACAATTTTGATTGGGATTCAAATAAATCAAAAAATGCATATTTGTTATTTTATGAGAAAATTGATAAGTAGGATATTCAAATAAAGGGAACTAATGAAAAATGTTTATAGAATAAGATCATCTAAGAGAATATAGTATATCTAAAGAACCAACTATTTTATTCATCGGATTACTAAGCATTTGTTAGAGAGTTTGTATGTCAGTTCAATTTTGAAGATCACTAAGAATAATTGGAACCTTAGAATGTTTCATAGAAATCTGAGGAGTAGGTTGTAGTACATGCCTAAGAATCGCCATCACTAAAAGTGGTTAAATTATTCACTCTATTCTCTTTGGAATCCTTAATGAAGAATAAAGATCAATCAGAATTTGTTAATTCAATTCAAGTCTTATGTGCTTTATATGAAAAGGTAACATCTGCATCCTTTTGGTTTTTGACTCACCTCCAAACAAATCTCAATTTACTTGTTAACACAATAATTGAATCGACTTAATAGGAAATTAAGCATGCATTCAGTAAATTATTGATCCAATCAATATAATGCGTTGTTAATTACGAAGAAGAACAATAGAAACATTCATTTTAAACATAAAATTCAACTATTACTTAATTTTTATCATTTTTCATTGATAATTTATTGCCAACATGCAAAAAATCTATGAGAAGAGCTTCAGAATTCTTTTAAATTCTAAAGTTCTCAGTGTCTACTTCATCATTCATTATTGATTATATGTAGAAGAAAGGGTATATACAAAAGATATACAGATTGTACAAGGAAACTATTCATGAGAATTAGTTTCATGGAAATTGTATGAACATCAGCAAGTTGAATGATAAAGGATTGGAAGGAACTTGTTCAGCAATGTGTGAATTGATTTGTAAATCTATTTTAGGCTCATTTACTGACGGAATGAAATTAACGAATGAGAAAACACCCACCTATTTATTCTAATATTGTAATTAATTTGTTAATCTTGATAATAAATTACTTGCAGACATAAGGGATTAAGGAGATTATAAAACTATATTCGCCCCTATGGTTTAATTGAATCCAATAGTTGTAGATATGACTAAGCACCTTTGTTTTGATGATATCTAAACAAGTGAGATTATTATTGAGCAATTAATATAAATTCTATTGGATTGGAATATGGCTTGGCATTAGATTGATCCTATATTCCACATAATAGAGAGTATACTTAAAATATAAGATGCATATGGAGAAATGAGATTTTAGGTATGCAATCATATTTATTTTAGGCTTTAATAGAGACACAAACAAAGTTAGCAGCATTCTCAAAAGGAAAATCTATCTTAGATGCAATTAACAATCAATTCTTAAGTGATAAAAACTTTTCTTATTGTTTGGCTTCTTGGATAGCAGAAATAACAAATAACTTTAAGGTCGCTTAGAATTACTTTAGTTCTAATAAGTCTCTTATTGAAAACATTCTTGGGAAGTTGAGGAGATATAAGGAATACTAATTCTATTTGAATTTTCCAATTCCAAAGATTACAAAGGCTATTGATCAAGTAATTATAAATTGTCTACCAATTTAGTTAAATTTGCATTTTAATAAGTCAGAGGGTCAGAATGTCGATGAGCCACTCATTTAATCTCAAAAGCCATAATAGAAAATTGATGATGAAAATTGGTCGGAAACCTACAAAGATAATTTCGACTCCGTGTGTGACTAAGGCATGATTTTAGATGTTGGAATAATTGATCCCTCCAATACCAATGAGGATTCCCCATATTAATGAGTTATCATAATTATTACATATGTTAATTATACTTGAAATTCTATAGTAACAATATTAGTTTAAATAAGCGAATAATAATCGATGTTCGATATAATTATTATTAATTATTTAATGAAATCACTCTAAGGAGATCCTGAATTAATACGATGGTTAAATAAGGAAATCAAGCTTTAACCTGCAATTCTAGATATTGAAAAACAATTTCAGAATTGGTTTTATTTTTAAGAAGTGCTTTATAAAACAGGAAATCCTCTTAAGAAAATCTTAACAAATAAATTTGATGAATATTCAACTCAAAAGAATATGAAGATAGTTAAAAAGCACATTATAAATTTAGTCGGAATTGAACCAAAGGTTGAAAAAGGTTAATCATAAATTGAAGAGTATTTGAAAGCAATAAAATCACATTCTAAACCAATTGTTGTAAATTCGTTGCTTGCAATTGCTCGTAAAGAAACAAAGGATGTTTTGAATGAATTGACAAAAACATTAAAAGTAACCGACAAAAAATAAGTACAATCCTTGGTGAACAAGTAAATATGAAACTGTTATATCAATTTTTAGTTATGAAGAGAAGTTTATAAACTCATTGCCGAAGAAATTAAAGTCTATTGAAGAGAGTTTGCACAGATTTCGAGATGAGAAACTCATCCACGAGATACAAGCAGTGAATTTAAAATAAAAGGACGAGGAGAAGGAGAGACAATGGTTATTATCATTGAGAGATAATGAATTGGAAAAGATTAGAGCAAATCATGAGTTTATTAAAGAACAAGATAAAAAGATTTATGAATTCTGGAAGAATACAGAAACAGTTAAACACAATAGGATTGAAAAAGAGACAAAGTTTAATGAGATGATGACTGGAAGAATGGTCGCTGAAGTTAATTAAAAGAAAAAGGATGATCAAAAGGCTATGGATAATAACATATATTTATTTTTGTAAACTTGTATCAGATAAGGAATTGAAATAGAAAAGGATCCTTCCAAAAAACCCGTACCTGAAAAGGCTAAGTTTTCTGCTGTTGCAACTATGATGAAGATAAGGGAAAGGACACATAAAACTGAAGAGGCCAGAAAAGCGAGGTAGAAACGAAGGAATAAGATGTTGGTTGAATAATTAAAATAATAAGAATTAGTGGAAGCAAAGAAAAGATTGGATGAATTGGTTGATAAATTTTCAGAGTATGGAAAAATAGCTAATTAGGAAGCAGGTCTCAGATTGAAGGAAAAATTGAGAGGGAAATTATAATTCAATGAGAGAATATAGATGTCTCAGGTATTGCAAGAATAAAAAGAAATGTTTTTTGAATAATTAAGAAAAGAAGCTAAAGCAAGGGAGTAAGAAGTTAGATTGTAGAGGTAAAAAGAGTGGAGAATACTTTAAGTTTAATATATGGAATAGAATTATAATAGAAAAGTGTAAAAGAGAATGAAACATATTTAATAAATGCAACCATTAATATTGACCATCTTGGATTTGGCAGACAAATGCTATCTAAAGATGAATGAGAATGTCGAAGAAAATGGTAAGCCTTTAACATTAGATAAGAAGGTTTGGAATAAATTTATTGAGGAATGGCAAAATGAATTGTCATAAGTAAAGCCACTCAATGATAACATTGCTGCAGCAATTACTTAAGATTTTGTTGAATATTATCATGCAATCAAAGATTGGAAGTCAACCTCAAATGATGGTTAACTAATGGCAAATATATCACTTGCTGAATTTCTATTTGAGATAACAGATGAATTGTATCCAATGCAACCATTAAAAGAGGGTATCAACTACTATCTACCACTTAAAATATCATTGATTGGAGGTAAATTCAGTGGTAGGAAGACTACAGCAAAATACTTAAATTAAAAATATGGTTTGGAAATTATTGATATAGAATCTATTATTAAAGAGTCGTTGAAACTCGCCTTTCCTCCTGTCGAAGATCCAAAGAAAAAGAAAGATACAAAAAAGGTGATTGAAGTTCCTGTGGTAGAAAACCCAGAATTAAAAGAATATGGCTTATAAATTAATGAATATAAGGATTCAGTTATTCCTGATGAATTATTATTAAAAGGAATACTTATTAAATTGAATTAGACATTTGGTTAGAGAACCCCTCTATAAGTTGCATAAGAAATCAAAGAAGCTAAAGAATTACAACTTAAAAAAGAACAATAACCTGTCGTTGAGGAAGTTAAAAAAACTTCTAAAAAACCTGGCAAAAAGGATGCACCCTAGAATACTGGACCTACTTAAGAAGATCTAATCAAAGAATATATTAATTCTAAGCAATTTTATTATACTAAAGGGATGGTTTTGATTGGATTTCCAGAAAATGTTAGTTAGGCTAAAATGTTGGAAGAGTAATTGACAGGCTTTATACCATATGAAGAAAGGTTGAATTAAATAGCTGAGGAAAAGAAAAAGAAGTTTCAAGAATTGTTGGACATCCCTACACAAGAAGAATCCAATAAAATATAATAAGCAGGAATAGATTTAATAATTAATCTAGATACTCCATTTGAACAAAGAGTGTAAAGAATGTAGAATAGAAGAATAGACCCACTTACAGAGATAGTCTACAATTTAGAGGAAAGTCCACCTCCTCCTGAGATCAAACTAGATAAGCTCCTAAAAATAGAGAGTGAAACAGAAGAGTAAGATTACATTTAATATTAGAAAATTATAGAAGGAGTTTCAATAATTTAATGATAATTTATCTGGACTAATAGAATGGTGTGAACAATTTGGATTCGAGGAAGATTTCAAATAATTGCATCATGCCAAGATAGCAGGCAAAGGATTTGAAGTTGCAAAATCTATTGATGGACTAATTAACAAAGTGCTTACTCATAATAGTGAGTATTTAAATCAAATAGCTGAAGAAATATTGGCAAATGAATTACAATAATAAGAATAACAATCTTAATAATAATAAGGTTTAGAAAATTCAGATTTGGGGAAAGTGGAAGAGTAGAATCCAGAATAATAGGCATAACTATAATAAGATAAACAGAGTCTCCTTGATGCCAAATAATCAACAGAAAGAGGAAGATCTCAATTAGCATCACGATAAAAGGATGCTCAAAGTGAATTTTTGAATTAAGATTAGCTTAAAGGAATTTTAAAGTAATGGGATGAAATTTCGAATACTTACATTAGAGAAACTACCATCTACATTAGGAGAATGAGTCATTAAAGGAAGAAGTGCTAATAAATATTTTTATAAACTCAAAAAACCTTTATTGAATTCTTTGAAAGTCCTGATAACAAATTAAAATTAATGCATGAATTTTAATAAAGTTATAACAAATTCCTTTAAGAAAATGACGATCTATCCAAATAAAAAAATGCAAAGCAATAATTAAAAGATCACTTATAAAAAACCTATGAATAATTATGGGACATTTTAAATTAAAAGAAAAATTAAGCCTTAGATTTTGTGAAAAAATTGAAGAAGGATAGATTTGTTGCTATTTAAATTTAATAATTTATGTAACATGTACTAATGCTCCTGCAAACAGAAACAAATTTATTAACAGAAATCTAATTATTAGGAAAACCATGGAGTGAACATTTTATTCTTGAACCACCTCAATCCTAATTGATTGATGGGTACAAGTTTCCTCAATTGGAAGTGCTTATTTCTTATTATAATGATTGTCTCGATAAAATTACTTAAGGTGAAGAATCTTTAATTATTAAAATCTAAAAAGAAATCGCATACAAGAGAGGTCAAATCATCAGGAGTGTAGCTTATAGCAAAATGACTGAAATGCTACTGATGGAAGATATCCTTTATTCAAGAATTGATGATTGGATTATTTGTGGCATTAAGAAGTAATTATCAATATTCTATAATTAGTGAAAATGACTTTTGTTTTGAATCAATCAACTATCTAAAACAATAAATTGAAAATAGATAACCTGCCATACTTACAATACCAGAGCCTAGTCCCATATCAGAAGCCTTTAAAATGGTTTACATGTAATAGCACTTAATTCCTGAATCTGAAAGATGGAGATAGGCTATCCAATTCTATGAGGAAGTTAAATCGCTAAGTGATTCTGCATGGATTCCTCTAGATATTTTTGAGTCCTTCCAAAAGAGAAGAACTAAATTCTTATCATAATTTAAATTGAATATCAATAAGATAGCCCATTTGGGCTGTTATCCAAATGTTAGATTTAGTTATCAAACTCTACTCATTACTCTGATATTATATGAATGCAGAGTGCCAACCTAAGAAGAAATTTAATAATTAGTCTCAGATATTTAATCTGTAGAGCCAGATGATTAGAGAGATTATTGGATAGAAGTATTATTATTCTTCCTATTTTAGTATTAATTTTGGTTTGATGATAACTTTGTAGATTAAGACTTCAATTTAAAAATTTATGTTAAGAATTTCCTTTTTAATGTATTGCAATCCCAAGATTTAGTAAGAATCATTTATTTATTCTAGGCTGTTTCTGTAAAAGAGAATTTTGGATATTTTAAATAATTTGAAAATTAACTATTTTAATCTATTTTTGATGAAGAAATAATTGAAGAAGGTAAAAATTCTAATTCTAAGAGAAAATTAAATGATTGAATTTTTAATAATAAAATAAAACAAAAATGTTTAGGCTACGTTCCACTTATTTTAAAATATAGTTTTCAATTCTTTTATACAATTTATGAAATAAAACGCCTTCTGCCAAAGTTCATTATAAAGCATGTCTACATTTATAATATAATACTTTTTTTAATTAAGGTTTTATTTAACAGATTAAAAATCTATGTTAGATAATTTTTTCATATTAATGTATTGTACAAATTTATGATTTACAATATTTTGACGTTTAATAAATATACAGTCATTTTGTTCATAATTTTTATCTAGAATGCAGTAAAATTCAATTTTAAAGATTCATCTTATTAAATCAAAAGCAAATATCCTACTATCTTATTAATTTATTTTCACATGTTTCAAAAGAGGAAATAATACCTTATGGTTCCCTAATATTTATTGTAGGTTAGTTTTAAGATTCTAATTGATCAAGTGCAGGTTCAGTATTAGGCTACTTTTGTTACTTTTTTTTTATAATAGTAATTTTCGCAATTCTTTAATCTCCATCAACTGATCTTCATTTTATCTTTTACATATTCTAATAATTATTATTGAATTTTTAACGATTTCATCATTTCAGTTGTGTATGATTTCATTTTATTAAGTTATTCATCCTTTTCTTTTTCTATCTAATATTCTTTCCTAATCATTCTATCTTCTATTATGGAAAATTCTTCGATATCTTAATTGTGATGTGTTTTAAGCGTTTCTATTTCTTATAATACCTGAGTTTACAACGCTTGTAGATTCGAAAACTCTTGATTTAAGACTTGATATTTATTTTTTCTTCATATTAAGATGGCAGAAGTGATTATTGTTGTCAGTTTACATTGAGTTTGTAATTAAATAATAAAATGGGAAGTGATTTTACAATAAAGAAAGGCTCTCTGCTTAATTTTAGGATAAGCATTTTATCAGGAAATCTTCCTACAAATGGGATGACTGATTAAGGCAACAATTCTTTTTTAGCAAATAATTGGGGATTACAATAATAACAAAAAGAATGAAGGAAACTCATGCTTATTTTTTAATAAAATGGCTTTTTATATTACAATTACGAACCAACGATTTTAAATATTCTAAATATTGTATCACTCTGATATTTTCAACATCAATTCTTCAAGATTTCTTAAGTCCTTCATGCTCTAGTTTTTTGAAAAAAAATGTCAAAGGATTAATGGAGCCTTGCTTTGTTTAGCTATTCCTTTTTAATGAAGCTGTTTTTCCAATTTGATAGATGCATTCTTTTAACTGTAGTGTCAAAATAATCAAAAAAGTTCAATATATTTAATAAGAAACTTTGACAATTTATCATGTTTGAAGATCAATTCGTTAAATTAATTCATAAGGAGGTATGTGTCTGTGTAGTGAATTTAGCTTTATCAGTCTTGAATATATTTAACCTACATTTCTAGGTAGAATTCGCATTATTCTCCTTATTCCTATAAAAGAAAAAGGATTGCTTGATTTCTTCTTTGCATAGACTCAGACTCAGATTAGTGAGTTTGATACTTGGAGGATTAAGTTCAGTTATCAAAAGAAAAACAGATGGAATTAATCTACTATGTATGATCACTTAATTTAAATATTTATTTTCCTTTTTAAGATTCCATAAATACATATATTATTCTTTGCTGGAAGCTAATGTATTATTCTTAGGTGAAAAACATACTGATTTTACCGACCCCTTACTTATTATTATTGACTTTTTTTTCCCAGTCTTCACATCCTACAAATGAATGGATTAATCGTCACCAGAAGAAGCTAATGACCTACCATCTGGAGAAAAGCAGACAGAATTGACACGACGACTATGGTCATTAAACTTATTTAACTCATTTATTCTTAGATTTCTCCACTTACAATTTAATAATTTGCTTAATTCAAGTTTATTTCACTAATAATCACATTATCAAATTAAGATCCACTTCAGTCACATGTTACCAAGTTAGCCCCTATTAAGAATGTATCTTTAATTCTAATATTTTCAAACCATAATTCCTTCAAATCAACTTTCATTTAAACCAGTAAATGAATAGAATTGATCCACACTATATGAATCTCTCATCTAAGACAGTAAGATTAACTAAAAATTTTAGAAATTTTATTGTCTTCTTATCCTATGATATTTTTATGATCAAATCTTTTTTAATTTCTTCATGATCATCCATAGAGTAATTATGTTTATTAAATTCATGATCCTTAATTTTTTTGAGAAAATTTGCTGTTTTAAACATAATTTCCTTACCCAATAGTGATATCTACCAATAGTATTTTATTTGACTTGAATTAGATCTTATGAGAGAAATTCTAAGCAGTCATAAACTATTCCTCTTTTCAATATTTTACTGAGGATAGGGTAGACTGCTTCATCAACTTCTTTAGATAAAACTAAAAACTCATACAAATCATCCGCCTACTCTTTTTCGCAATTCATTTGAAATAATATTGAATTTCTTTTACTTTATTTTGACAAATTAAAAACTTGCTTTAACTAAATTTCTATCTATCTATATATATTGGAAATATTTCTATTTAATTTCAATCTATCTATTTATATATAATTCTAAATAAATTTAATATTATAGATAATTAATACGCTTACGATATTATTAAATAATATTTAATTTAATTATTAAATGATATATTTATTAAGATGCTCATCAATATTATTTAATTCATAAAATAATTGAAAATTTATGTAAAAGAACAAGATTTTCATAAAAGGAATAAAGTAATTTGATTTATTCGCCCAACCTTTGCAATTACTCATTGATAAAAAAGAGTATCACTAAACATTATTTGGGTCAATTCTAACAGTCTTGTTGTTGGCCTTATTCTCAAACTTACTTTATTAAAAGATAGTTACATTATTTGATAGGAGCAATCCAACATCATTAAGTTCAGAAATTTATCATTCTCAACCTGAATAATATAGTTTGATGCCTTCGAACTTCACTATGACCTTTTCCTTTTAAAACTCGACCTACAAAACCTACATTGATGAATCAATTTATGTTGTTAATGCTTACATGGTCAAAAAGAATGTAAAACTCTAAAATGGACAAAAAGCAGATGTCTATGAAAAGTAAGAGTTACCTTTAGTCAATTGCAATGAGGATTTGATTAAATAAAAGGAACTAAAGGAATACTTTTCCCATATTGATTTACCAACTAATTATTGTATTGACTGGAATTAAATTCCTAGTATATAAATATAAGGAACTTTTGATGCCCCAAAATTTGAATACATACTTATCTAATTTAATACTTGTACTGAATAAAATAAAAAAAGTTAACCTTGTAAATCTTAGAAGGAAATCGAGCAAGTCTTAACGTAGAATTATTTTTCTTTTCAAATTTCTTCTCAGACTACAAATTTAAAAAATCCAAATTCTCCTTATTAACCAAAAGGACAAGATGTCTTTACAACAATTTCAAATAATATCTATAAGGAAATTTCAATTTATTTAGAACCTTTGACTACAATCACAGATGTAGGATTAATTTAAACAAATTTAGAATATGAAAAGACTTTGAGGTATGGTAGACATACTGAAATGTTGGATTTGAGTTAAAGTGACTTGATAATGAATGTAGCAATTAGACTTGATACAACAGAATATGTTGACTATAGGACATATCCAAAGATATAGGAAATTTTAGCTGAGCTTGGTGGCTTATGGTAAGTATTGTTCAGTCTCTTTTATATTATTTCTAAACCTATAAATAAAATTAGCCTTCTTCTGGAACTTATCAACTCTTTATATGAATTTAAGGACAAATAGCACTATGAAGATAATAGTTAATAGAAGGACTCTTCTTCTATAATCAGAAATGATAAACCAGGTTCTCCTTTACAGAGGCAGTTAGAATAACAATAAGTGTAAAATTGCCAAGATTAAATTGTAACTAACAAGACGTTATCGATTAAGGAGAATATATGTAATAAACAAATCCAAAAGGATAGATCATACAAAACTATTCTTTAAACATATGTTCAATATCTACTAAGAGCAGTATTTCGTAAAAATAAAAAAATGAAATTTGGGTACATAAATGCATTCTAAGCTTTAAGATGCATAGTGACTAAAGTAAATTTTTATTTAATTCTAGGATGATGATAACATACTTCAATTCAGGTCGGCTCATAAAGAAATCGACAGCTAATTAAATATATTCAATATCTTAAAAAGACTGTAGGATGTTGAAAAGTTAAAGCATATTATTTTTAATGAAAATTAACGAATCCTATTCGAAAAGTTTAATAATATCCCACAGAAAGATAAATTAGAGGAATAAAGGTTATATTGTGATCAACAGATAAAATAATAGGGAGTTACTTAAGATGCAATCTTGCAAATATTGTCAGATCAAAATAACTAAATTAACTAAAAGCTTATAGCATCCTTAGATGTAACAGTAAGTAATTTATTGTAAAAGTGTAAACAAGATAACAACGATAATCTGGAAAAAAATTGAATTTCATAAACTAAATTTAAAAAAACATCATTCTGCTTTTTTTTCCTTGTTTTTTTATATTTCCTATCCTTCTGCATCCAATCTATTCATGCAAAGTATCATAAAGATTAAAAATAGCATCACTACTATGACTCCCTTAATTTAATAATTAAAAAATACAAGCAACATAGGGTCTTTAAGGTAATCTATCAACTCATCAGTTAAAGAATATTCTTATGAAATTTCAATTTACAAAATGTTCTCGTCTTTCCAACCTCCTTTAATAAAGAGATCAAACTCGTCATTAGTTCTGTTGCCTTTTAAAAGTAATCAAAAAAATAAACCATAAAATTTATATCCTAATTTAGATTGTGGGGGAATGTAAATCAAAGATGGAAATCCTTTAATTTTGAATCTGGAACACAGTCGTGTATTTTGTTCGCAATTTACAGCTGCTACATTGCTTTATTAGGCTAATATTTCCCATGTAGGAATTAGTTTAATACAATGAGGACACCATGGAGCATAAAACATAATAAATATTCCTTCATCCTTATCTATCGTTTTTTTTGATTCTTACTTAATAAATCATACTGCTCTTCTTCATTCAATAATTTAACTTTAGTATTTTAATCCCAGTTATGACCATATGAGAATGAAATCAAAAATAAAATTAGAATAATCATTTATATGTAAATATTAATTTTTATTATGACCAATAATGCTCTCTTTTGGATGCTTTAAGTATTTGCAAACGAAGATGGATCTAAAAATATTCACATTCTTACTGTTTTTGCTTTTTTGTACAAGTCTCTAACTTTTGGTTCTAGGAATTCTAAATATTTATCATAGGTATTTTTTGCATTTCCCCAGGGAGAAGCCTTGAAATATAATAGGATGCAAACACATTAATTGCATTTTCCCTTTATTGCATAAAATAATGGAGTTCTGCCTTACTACAATATAAGTAGAAATATTACAATATCTTTACTATTGACTTCCGCATGATTTTATAAAATTAAGATTGCCATTTCAGGATAATCTCTAATAACTGCATGATGAAGCATTGTTAATTTAAAATTATCATAATCAAAAACTAGAAATTTATTGTGTCTTATAAATTAATTGACAGCTTCAATATCATTTGCTTTTACTTTTTGAAAACATAACTTAGACTTTTCACTTTAGTAAGGTTTAGTTTAAAATACATTTCCAGTAATAATATCTTCATATTTTAGTTTATGTTCCATCATCCAATGCAAAAATATAGTGATCTGCAACAATACTCGTTTAACTTTATTTCTTCTTTTTTAAATGATCAATAGCTATTCATTTTCATTTTTTTCACTGACTTTTGTATTTTCATCAATGGAGTATGAATTAAACTGATTTATTTCATCTTAATGTGGGTGAGAGAACGGGTTTTAAAAGATAGACTTCTTTTACAATTCTTTCATAATTTCATAATCTTAAGAAGTCAATTCCTCATCTAATTCAATTAGATCTTTAATCTCACTTTTGTATTAATTATGCAAAATGTTATTCTTAACTCCTCTTTTGACAGAGGAATATAAATTAATATGTTGAATATTTTTAATTTGTAATTATTCCAAAATAGAATTTTAGGTGTACTGATGTTCTTATTAAGTTTAACAATGTCTTCGTAATTCATTATTTTTTTCAATAAATTCTATTTAATTTAAATTTTATAGTACATTCTAAATTCATGTTTCTGTTTAAGGCTTTTTTCTTAATTCTACTCATAGTTGAGCTCATACTTATTAGTTCTTTTCTAAATAAATATAATTACATTTACTAGTATTTTTATGCTTAATTAAAATGGGTTTGATTGGAGTTTTAATAACAAAATACTTGTCACAATAATTTAATTCATTTTTATCATCGATTTTGCTTTGTTCAGCAATAACCTTAGGCTTAATCTAATTTTTAGTTGATTGTGTCTTTGTAGCATTTAAGAATTCTAAGAAATTTTATTATTATTCTATCTATTTATTTTATTTAGTAAACCAATTCACTCTTTGAACATCTGTTTTTTTTTCCAAATTAGGAAACTTGCTAAAATCATACCTCGAATCTGGTTTTGTCACAGTCATAAAGGCTAAGTCTAAGGTTGGGTCCTTCTTCGGAAGATTATTTATCGATCTTGATATTTTTTTGTGAGAGTTTGATAATTAAGAGTCAGTTTTATTTTTTTATATCTAATCATTAGTTTCTGCAAGTGATAGTAATTAATTGGATCGGAGAAGCTAGCTGGATGTGTTGATTTTCCTTTTGGTTTAATAGTAGTGTCCTTTCATCTATTTCCTTTTATTTGGTTTTACGATAAAATATAATTATAATTTTTACTAATAAATAATTTCAAACTATCAAGACGCTTAAAAAATAAGCTTATCTATTAAATATACAAATTTATTCTCTTGTAATTGCATTATTAAAAACCTATAAAATTGAGTCTCAAATTCGGACAACTCATATTACCTTTTCAATCTACTACAATTAAAATGAGATGAGATTAAGTAATATGACGAATGATTCTTCTAAAATGATTTTTATAGAATGAAAAATGTAGGAATAAATAGGTTGAGATGATATGAAGAATATGATTTTTATTTTAAATTAATTATGGATTAAGGATTGGATGCTGCATAATTGTTGGCAGAATTGAAGAAGCAAGACGAAGTAAATTGACTATAATAAACAATTAGTGGGCCAAAGCAATAATATTTGATGAAGATTTAAATGTGATAACTCATAAAAATTGCGCAGCTTCAAAAGAGGAGTTGGCTCCTTACTTGAAGGCTTATGATGTCAGAGACAACACAATAGGAGCTGGGTTTGTGCTACTGGGAGAACATTATGAAGTCCATAGATGGCATCCTCCTCTGATTTATGGAAGAAGAGGTGATGCAGATGTAGGGGAAGGCATTTCATTGGCTAGAGTAATATGGAATAGATAATTATTGTTTAGGGAATTTGCAAAAAACATAATGGTAAGAGAGTGTACTTGCTGATAACATACGAATTGCCAATAGTTAGTGCTAGGGCTGTTCCATAATAAATTAATTTTTATAATCAATTTATTGGTGAACTAGAAAAATTTGATATAAAGTAATAGTGAGATATGAATAATATAATAAGATTAACAGAAATATATATAGGTCTTGGATATACAATATGTATTTACTATACTAATGATAATCATAATCATTTTTTGGCTACTTTCTTTGCTCCTCTCTTTTGATAGAATGTATCATCTCTTCTGAATTCAAATTCCAAATCTCTGGTTGTGAGTACTTTGTAGACATCTTTAATTGCATCAAGTCTGTGTTCTAATTCCTTTTAATCGCTTTCATCAAGGAATCTTAAGATTTTATTGAGAAGTAATTTACATTCTATAAAACTTAGTGCCATCGACTCTGACTCTTGTTCTTCTTCCAAGAATGACTGATGGACTAATCAAATCTTCAAGTAAGCCATCATAGACAGATGTGAGTGTTCTTGAGTTTGGTCTGGTTTAAGATCTGTGACTCTTTACCCATTTGCTTTCAATTGTTCTTTTGGCAGCAACCAAGATTGTAGCTTTGACTCTCTTTTCCAATTCAGGTAATAATTTTGAGCTACGATTAAATCAACACCTTACCTAATCCTATTATAAATGCTCAAACATGGATATGGGATCAATACCAAATAGACCTACTTCTTTGCATTAATTTTAGCAGTGTAGTCAACAACAGATGACACTTTGAGATTTTTAACTTCAGTGATTGTTGTTTCAATTTATGTCAAAGCTGATCCTACTTATTATTCCAAGCTTGATAACTTTATGTTAGATTTAATTCGTTACTTCCTTCTTTTTCCAAAATTTATTAGCTGCCATTCTTATCAATGAAATTTGATTTTTTATTTAAATCTTTTTATATTAATAATTACATGTTATTACTTTAAAATACACCTGATTCAACTCCTTTTATTAATGAACCAAATCTCGAGCTTTGCTTCTAGGGAAACATAGGTTCATTGATGAAATCATATTAGTAAAAGCAATATTAAGTTAAAGTTTGAAATCAATAAAATGATAAGGTTAAAAACATTATTTATGAATTCTCATAATTTAATGGTATTTAATTCAATAATCATTATAGTTATCAAAATTATAGATAATTAGGAGGAGAATATCCTAAAATATTTGTAATAATATAATAAATTATTGAAGGAAATCTAAAAGTATAAATTTGCTGATATGATTCACTCACTTGATATATACACCTTACAAAATTAAAATCAACATTTAGTAAAATCTTACTTAAAGCTTTGATTAACTTACAAATGAATAGAAGGATAAAGTATTAATACACAAGATGTAAGATAAATCAAGAGATGCAGCTATTTTAATTGTATCTGTTATGTGGAGTTAGACGATTGGTTTAAATGTTATTAGATAATAGAGAATAATTTATGCCAGTTCTGGATTTATAAATAAACTTATTGAGTATCAAAATTAATGATAAGTAGTGTAATGATATAAATAATAATGATAATTAAATAAATGTTCGGACTTTTATTCTAAACGATTGAGTTTGCATTGTCTGTTGCATTGTGTCTATTTATAAAAGTGGGAAGAGAAGAGACAAAAATGAGTGGAAGAGTGCTGAAGTTCGCGTATAGGGTTGAAAAGAATCTACTTTATAATTATGAATTTGGAAGATATACAAAAGTAGGTAATGAGTTTACAATAGGTTTTCAGATTTTGCCTGATTCCATTTTTATTATCGACTCTATATCGCAAGGTTATGAAACTTAAATCGTCCTTTAATTTGTATCAGATAATGTTGCTAGTGATTGATCTGTTATCATTGACTGATTACATAAACACAACTGAGTCATATTAAAGATATTGTCTGGTTTATGCGATCAGAATAATTAGAACAACCATCATGTTGTTTGATTTAATTAAAGATATTACAAATGTGTCTATGATCCATTATGAAAAAAGACAACTGGCTAAATAGCTATAAATATCATAACAACTTTAATAAAATTAATAAGAGCGAGCAAAACAATAGGAGAGCTAGGATGAAGAATCAGACTTGGATGAATCATTAAAATTAATCAATACAAAAAAATAGCAATAGCAATAAACTTTGATAAAACGACTAATTTTTCCATAAATGAAAATTCCTTGCATTGCATTAAATTTGACAATCAATCAACAGCAGTATTATATTTAAATAATTGATCCTTGGAGTTTTGATAAATCATTCTCACAAATCTAAATCAGAGAGCAATTATTGATAATGATCAAACTAAACTTTTGTTGCTAAATTTATCAAACCTTAAAGAAAACTAAGTGTAATCAATAAGCACTTTATTAATATAGAGAATTAATAGCTGAATATCTATCTTAAATTATTTGGATGAATTGATTAATAAATTTGTATATATTTATTAAATTATATATATATTTATGTAAATCAATCTACTTCTTCCATTTTTGTTTTGGTAGCTTCAGTATTGGCTGTCTCACCTTTCTTTTCTAAGCATGGCAACTTCTCATCTTCTTCCTCAATTGTTGCATCATCAATTGATAATCCCAATTTAATCATCTTATGAATTCTGCTGGCAAAATGAGCTGGATCATCTAAACTAAATCCTGATGTCAATAGAGCTGTCTCATACAATAACCATATGAGATCTTTAACTGTTTTATCACTCTTGTCCTTATCTGCTTTCTTTTTCAATTCACTCATTATTGGATGAGAAGCATTTATTTCTAAAGTCTTCTTGGACATCATGTAACTACTCATAGATGGATCTCGTAATGCTTATGCTTTCATGATTCTTTCCATATTTGCTGACCAACCATATTCACCAGTCACTAAAACACAAGGAGATTACTCTAATCTTTATCCTAATTACACTTTCTCTATTTTATCACCAAGAATATCTTTAATTAATTTACAAAGACCCTCAAATTATGATTTGAGTTCTTCAAATTTCTTTTTTTCGTCCTCAGTTTAATCTAATTCTAATCCTTCCTTGCTGCAATTCTTCAATTTCTTTCCATCGAATTCTTTCAACTATTATATTACATACTCATCAATAGGGTCCACCATATAAATTACTTCATAATCTTTCTTCTTCAAGCCTTCAACAAATGGAGAAGCTGCTACAGAAGCCTTAGATTCACCAGTTATGAAATAAATATCCTTTTGTCCCTCTTTCATCTTACTGATATAATCTTTTAAGGAAATTTAGTCATCTCCACTTTTGGAAGTGTGGAACCTTAAGAACTCAGCTAATTTTGTTCTGTTAGAAGAATCTTCATGAATACCCAATTTGATATTTTTGGAGAACTACTCATAGAATTTCTTATAATCTTCTGCATTTTCTGAAAGTTCTTAGAACATTTCAATGCATTTTTTGGTAATATTCTTCTTAATCACTTTCAAAATCTTATTATGCTATAAGAATTCTCTTGAAATGTTTAATGGTAAGTCTTCTGAGTCCACTACTCCTTTGATAAATCCTAAATATTCTGGTATCAATTCTTCGCAATCATCCATGATGAAGACTCTTCTCACATATAATTTGATATTATTCTTTTTCTTTTTCGTTTCAAACAAATCAAAAGGTGCTCTTTTAGGAATGAATAGGACAGCCTTAAATTCGAGACCACCTTCAACAGAAAACTATTTAACACTCAAATGATCCTTCCCAATCATTAGTTAAAGATTTGTAAAAGTTAGCATACTCTTCTTTTGTGATTTCTTCTTGTTTTTTCATCCACAACGGTTTGTTTTTATTAACCTATTCAAACTCAGTTGTAACTTCTTTAATCTTCTTTTTCTTCTTCTTATCATCCTTGCTCTTCTCCTCTTACACTTCTCCCTCTTCAGTCTTCTTCTCTTTATTATCCTCTTCATCATCACTAACTTCTTTCTCATGAGTTTTTTCAACTTACAATTCAATTGGGAACCCAATAAATTCTGAGTGCTTCTTGACTAAATCTTTGAGTCTCTTTTCTTCTAAGAACTCTAAGTTATCTTATTTAAGATGGAGAATAACAGCTGATCCTCTAGTCAATTAATTGGGGTTCTCGCTGTCATCATAAATAAAGAATGTTCCACCAGCTTATGATTCCCATTTGTATTGTTATTAACCAACAGCCTTTGAAAGCACAACTACTTTATCTGCAACAAGGTAAGCTGAATAGAATCCAACACCAAATTGTCCAATCATCGAAATATCAGCACCAGAATTGAGTGCTTCCATGAAGGCCTTTGTTCCAGATTTGGCAATTGTACCAAGATTATTGATTAATTCATCTCTGGTCATACCAATACCAGTATCTTGGATGGTTAAGGTATTGTTGTTTTTGTCTGGAATTATTTTTATTTTGAAATTGGGTTCAACATTTAATCCTGCACTGTCTGGATCTGTAATGGATTTGTATCTGATTTTATCGAGTGCATCTGAAGCATTGGAGATGAGTTCTCTAAGGAAGATTTCCTTGTTGGAATAGAATGTGTTAATGATGAGTCCCATCAATTGTTGGATATCTGCATTGAAGTGGAATTATTCTTCTTTATTGTGAGTGGTTGACATTGCTATTAAATTAATTGATGGTTCTCAGGATATAAGTCAAGGATTTAAGAAGTAAAATCTCTAGAATTTTCGAAAATCAAGAATTTCTATTTGCTAATTTATAAAGTAGTTATATTCTAGAAATCCTTAAATTTTGATTAATTTTGTAATTAATTTAATGAATGATGATATAAATAAATATATATATACTTTATAATTGTATTATAATAGTATTTAAATTAATAATGTAAACATCAGATAATGCAAAAGCTTCACGTAAAGGGTTAGGATTGCTCCTTAATCAGCATCATCGTCAACACTTTTCAGAAGACTTTCAAAGACCACAACAATTAGGAACTCCGAGGTCTTATATGCAAGCCTTGCCTAAGATGAGTACTCAATTCAACTCAGTGAGTACTACAAACTCAAACACTAGGAAATTGATAAGTGCGGAGAGACCCACAATCACCATTGCTGAAGAGCAGGATTCATATGGTTATAGATAACAAGACCAAGTGGATGAAGAACTCTTAGTAACTATTTATTAAAATGCAGCGAATTCGTGAAATGCATGAAATTCTCAAATCTAGATGCAGCACTTTGGATCTATTGATCTCAGTAATTGGTGGCAAAGAGTTTGTCCACAACATAAAAAATCAAACTACTTTATAGAAGATTTAAGAATTGTTAAAGAGCATTTCTTAAACATTATAACAATCTGCAAAGACTGAAATTGAATTAGGATTCAAGATGAGGGAAATAGAGAGGAAGAATAGTATTTTAATTAACTTATGCTAGTTAAGTATTCATCATTATAAATGAAGTAACTGAAATTATCAGATAAAAATCAATCTCTTCAAAGTGTGATTGATGTACATAGTTAGAAGACAAATAAATTATTGGATGAGAATTCCAAATTATAGAAACAACTAAAACAAGAAAGGAAATTAAATGCATCCAATTCTAAAAAAATTACAGCCTTAGAAAAAAGAATCGAGTTTCTATTAGAAAATGATGTTAATTCTGCCTTGAATCCAAATGACAAATTGAGAAGCAGTCTCAATGAATTGCTTAAAGAGAATGAACTTATAAAAAGAGAGTTCGAACACAAGAAGTAAGAATTAGAACGAGTCCAAGGAAAACTTAGTTAATACACATAACTGGTTAATCGACTATAAAAGACAATCGATAATATGAGGAAGAAAAATTAGGATGATATGGGCAAAGATGAAAAATCGGTGTTTAGAAAAGATGACATCGATTTATTAGTTAATTTTAGAATACCTTAAACTTTGGATTTCAGAGTAGTTAGTTAAAGATTAAACAATTAACATTTGTTAAATGATCTCACCGATAAAGGTGTGTTGGCTACTTGTCAACACAATTTTACACTCCCTGTAGAATCCCAAAAAGAACAATTCTAAATCATAGCCTAACAATTGTTATCCTATAAAGAATTTGCTGAAAAGATGAACCAGTTTTTCTTTTATATGGAACAATTTAGTAAATGCATCCTATTTGAAGATGTAAAACATATTTATTAATTGTAGATTATCCACTAGGTTAATAGAGTATTGCCTCAAGTATTTGGATGCGAATAGGTAAGATTATGGTTAATTGACGGAATGAATGGAACCATATTTACCTATTTAGAAACAGGCAATCAAATTAGAGCTTTATAACATAAGGGTCAAGTGGCTGATGTCTTTAAATTGAGATCTGCCTAAAACATCTCTTAAGCATCTTAGAAACCATTGTTGTATAGAATAAATGAATCGGAATAACCTGACTATGCTAGAAATGCTTTATTGCTGCCTTTGTTTTGTGAAACCAATGATGCTATCAGAGGTGTTTTGGAAGTAACCAATACTGAGAACGAATTCTTTTCATTTGATGAAGAATACTTTGGCATTTTGGCATCTCACTAACTTGGCCATTTGTTATAAAGATTAATTGATAAGTAATAAATCTACTAGATTTAGTTAATCATGGATAATTACATAGAAATATAGAGGAATGATGATGGATGGATTTACCAATCTTATGAAGAGTCAAAGCAAACAAGAGTTTTCCTCTAAAGTGTAGATGAGTCTTAGTTCAATATTTGGATTCTCTTAAGTCTTATTTTACTTTTTTGAAGATAATCAACTTGTTGATTACAGTGGTCAAGATGCTAAGAAATATGATGTTTAATATGGATTGGCTGGGATGGTTGCTCATACAAAACAGAAATTGATTATAAATGATGTAAAAAACTCAATTCATTTCAATCAAGCTGTAGACATTAAGTCTATTTTACCAATATTCGCCCAACCGTTATTAGACAAAAATAATAATACAGTCGCTGTGATTGAAGTAATGAAATCTACATATATATTATAGACTTGTTTAAAATGTAAATTAAAAGTATAGGTTGAAAAGGATCAGTTATTATCTCCAAGTGAAGGAGTCTTAGGAATGGAAGAACCATTAACTAAACAGCTTGCACATTTTGTTGATATAATAGTGGCTGCCTTGTGTAATATAAGATTCTGATTTTAATTATTTATGTCATAAAAGAGGTGGATATTCATAATCACCAAATTCTGATGGTAATAAATAAGTACCAGACTTAAGAACTTATATATTATAAATAAAATTAATATGATGTATATTTTGAAGAAACTTGGGTAAAACTTTCCTACACTTCCTGATAATAGGAAATTTGAAAAAAAAAATAATTAAATATAAAAAAACAATTGTAAAAATATTTTTACTATTCCACATCTCAATTTATTCTGATGTTCAAAGATGCAACAGTGATGAAGTATTTCGTTTGACTTTCATTTATTCCTAAATCTTAAATGTTTTTTCTGGTTTTTACTTTTAGATCTCTGAAATTTATTACCCTCCTTTTTTTACATAAAATTATTCACATCCTCTTTGGAATCCACTTTTTTCCAATTCTTTCATTCAATCTTATAGTTATTTCTGGTTATTCCCATATTTTTATCATTTTGGAAGATTTTAAAATCCTGTCATTTTGATTCACCTTCCACTTTGCTATCTTATTTTTGTTGCTCCTGTTAGACCTCACTCTATTAGTCTTGCTATTTTTGTTATTAATCCAAGTTCTATGAATGTTACTACTAGACTTATTTTTCATGTAGTAATTGATCCATAAATGTATATATGAATATTTAAATTTATATTATGTCAAAATAGAGTGATAATAAGGAGAATCAATGTTGTATTTTCAAATATGGATGTAGCTCTCCATTATACTTTTTAAGTATTGTATAATAGAATCTATTTTTTACTTAATTTTCCTAAAATTATAAGAATTTCAGAATTACAGATCTATTGTTTAGCTGCTTGGCTATTTGGGCCCATCTTGGTCCATTCTGTTGAAATTCCTTCATAATTATTCTATCTTCAGTTTCACTCCATTCATTGTGGTTGATTGTAGGGTTTATTTAATTTACATATCTATCTCTGACCTATTTTGATGTCCTTCCTGGAAGCTCTATAATTAATAACTTTGCTTAATACTTTCAGCAATCTTAATCCATTATCTTCCATACAATTCGAAGCTGTCTAGTAATATTCTATCCTCTTCAGTTGACCACTTTCTTTTTGTTCTTTTTTCTTGATCCTAAAGTTTCCTATATTTCTATGAACACTAAGAAATGTTTCTTCCTTTCAAGTGTTTTATGATCTTCTTCCAATCCCCATGATATTATTTATAATATTTCACAAGGTTATTCACCTCTTCGTTAGTCCATAACTATCCTTTCCCTCTGACTATTCCACTTGCGTTCGTTTGTTCTTGAATACTTTGGACTGTTTGTTCTTTCTCAGTATCAGATGCCTCCTCTTTAACGAATGGTTGGGGCAATTGTATTGGATAAAAATAAGGGAAGCAAAAGATCATCGGGTTCATAGGGTTTATAAACATTGAATAAATTAATAAACGCTATATATATGATTCCATATAATATTATCATTTTATGGAGCATTCTGTGTTACCTCACTCTTTGCAATTGAACTTGATTCATCATTAAACCATATCCACCCTAAACCACCTTTAAAATTAATTTAATATTTAAGTCCTTTTTAATATAATCAACTGTTATTTTCCTTTTAATATAAAATTCTCTAAAATCTTTGCACTGGGTCTGTTTATTATTCAAAGAGATCTCTAGATCAAATCTCTCTTTTTTTCAAATAAGTATGCTTTTTTTATTGAATACTAATGCTGATCTTTAAAAATAAACTAAATTAATTATATTAATATTTTTAATTTATGCATTAAGGTAAATTAAGAAATACTCTATATGCTTTTATATTTCATTTACATTCTTCTAATCACTCAAAACAGATTTACTTACACATATTTTGGTGATTAAATGCGTATCACAATTTCTGTTTAAAATATTAGAAAAGAGTTCTTCAATCCAAAATGACATACATAATCATTCAAAATCAAAAACTCATTAATATTGTTTTTAAACAGATGATAATTTCAATTAATCCTATCAATATTTATTATTTTAATATCTTAAGTTTTATCTCTAATTAATATATATGCTAATTAAAGTTTCGAATTACAACCTAAGATTTTTTTTTTTATTCCCAAATTAGTGCTTAATGTTCTATTATTTAATGATAAAATAACATTGACATCATAAATATAGGTTGTAATTAAGGAAAAAACAAGTAAGGATGATGTACTCGTTCCTAATTACGTTTTTATGAAATAAAATAATATTAATTAAAACTTAAGAATTAAAGAAGATTCCAAAAAATATCCCCTACAACTTTGAATCCTTAAAACAGGGACCTTATCAAGCAAAATGAAACTAAAAACACAATTATCTTTGGTAATCTAATCAAATTTCTTGATTTATCAGTTTGTTTTGCAAATAAATTATTGCATTTAATATAATAAACATCATTTTGAGTATGCAAAAAAAAACGCCATTAGATAGACAATAGGTTTTTGAGATGTTTGTCTAACCAAATTATGAGTTTGCCTAATCAGTTCTTCAAAGCCATCAGTTCTCCTTCTAACATTTGCCTACTGTCGAGGAAATTAATACTATATTAAATTCTGTAGAAAAAGCTTACAATAGTAAACGAGGAACATGGACTCCTTGTTAAGATAAATTCTTAAATCTATTGGTATTGGGTACATGCTTGAAATACAAGGAAATTCCCATCGAACTAGTAAGAATTTAATTTATTTTTCATAGACTTCATATTAATGGGAATAAATCTCAAGGATGTTTAGATACCACAATTGGAAGGCTTGTCGTAATAGATGGTTGGAAGAATGTCATCAGAAGGTTAGTTGGACACCGGCTGAAGATTAAGTCTTAATCTAATTATAGCAATTACATCCAAATAAATGGTGTGAGATTGCGATCGAGATGATGAGGATTTGTAAGACACCCTATGTTCGTTAAGGAAAATAATGCAGAGATCGTTGGGTAAATAAATTGGATCCAAATATAGTCACGTATTTGATTCTATGAAATATTCATAGTCTACCATGGACGAAGGAAGAAGAGTTGAAACTATTTCGGGAAATAGAGAAAAGAGGAAAGAGATGGGCAGAAATCTCATTGAAAGTGTTTAAGTTAAAAAGAACAGAAAATACAATTAAAAACAGATATTATAATTTATTAAAATAGGAGGAAAATAAAATTAAATTATGCAGAGTAACTAAAGATGAAAAGAACGAAATCTTAGTCAAATCTATTATATAATAACTTGAATAATCAGTCAATTGTAAGTTTCCAATCAAAAATGAAGAAACAGTAAATTAAGAAAATCAATAATACAATTTCTAACTTTTTGATTACAATTAAATAAAGAAGCCCTTCCAATTAGTTTGCTTTGTAAAAAGAAAGATTGTTAAATTAAATGAAATATGACAATCTTTTTATATTGCTTGATTTATTTTTATTATTATTGCTATAATTTATATCATTCGTCTTAAGAAATTAAAATTATGAATTGTTAAATCTGCTTCATTGACAAACTGTTGATTAGACCTGGAGATTGTTCTCATGAATTTTGCAAGTAAACATACTTAAATCAAAAGAGAATGCATCATCATGTATTTGAAAGAAGCAATAAACAGTGGAGGTGTATTTAAGATAACTTGTCCTTCATGCAGTTTGGAATACAATGCCTTAATAATTAAACAATATTGCGAAGACTTATATCCTAAATATTTAGAATTAAAGCAAAAGGCTATAATTACTTGTTCTGTACTTGAAATACTCATCCCATTAGGTATGCAAAGAGAATTTAAAAACTCATAACTGTGGTTCCAATGTTTGTAAAATATGTGGTGAAATACATGATGGAGAGTGTAGTTAAAGATGCCCTAATTGTTTGATCCCCATAGAAAAAATGAGTGGATGTAATCATATGGTTTGTAAATGTAAATATGAATTTTGTTGGATTTGCAAAGGGAAATTTAATAGATATCATTATAGATTATGGAACTTATTCGGATGTCCAAGTAATATATGTATTTACTAATTTAAGTTCCTGGTTCTATGATGAAGAATGTTAAACCTTTGCGACATCCAACTTTATTGCGATATATAATGGTGTTACCTAAAATCTTAGCATTCATTCTAATATTTTGTATCTTACTCTTAATATATCCCTTTTTTTGTTTCATAATTACATTTAAATTCCATTACCTATAATTTACAATAAACAAGTAATCCATTAAATATATCTGTATTAGATATAGACTATTGTTGGTCTTCCTATTTCCATTGACTTACTTGATGCATTTTTTTTATAAAGGAATATTTGCAGTATAATAAAAATTACATTCTCTTAGTTGATAATATATAAAAGTAATGTATTTTTTATATTTCAATCTATAAAAATAACTTTTTTTTTATTGTGATATCTAAAGAATGTGTTATTCTATTTGAATTTTAAATATTAGTAATGATGTGAATAAATAATATGATTCTATTTTTGAAACTGTTTTTATTTAGAATGTAATTGAGTAGAAAATCGAAATAAAAGAAATGATTGAGTCAAAACAACAAAAATTATACAACTTTATAGAGGTTAATTATAAAGTTAACATAACTTGTGTGAAATAATTTATTATCTTTGATATATTGAACAATAAATAAATGATAATATACTCATGTTCAATCACATTTCTTATTTTTTTGAATATGTAATTTCATAATGCAAATCTTATAATATAGATAAAAAATAACTATATTTAATAATCAGGTGAAGATGACACAGAAATAAGAATTAGTCCTTAAACTTATATGGCTAAGTTAAGAAAACTAAATATTTCTTAATTTCAATCTAAAAGAAAATTTCATTGTTATTTCCAACCTTAATCATTCATAATTTAAATTTATTGTAACAATCATAATAATTAATATTCAAATTTTGCTGTATATTTTTATTTTCAGCAAAATCAAAATAATTAAAAATATTAATTCGAATATGTGTTTCTCATATAGTATTTATAAAATACTATTTGAATATTAAATAAATGGAATCACATATAATTAAATGAATATATGAATATATCAAAAAAACAGTCTTCGTTTTAGTATGATTTTATTGATAAGGCATAAGCGCGATAAAAACTTGTCTCTTTTTAATTAATAATCTCTTATACTAAAGGATAATATCAATAATGTGTATTTAAACTTAATAAATAGGTTTTACCATAATAAATGAGAAAAGAAATCTAAGAGAATATAGTGGACTGGAAGGAGAATCGATACTATTTTTTTAATATATATAAATAAATTGATCTTTAGGATTAAGAAATAGTGAAGAAAGGACATCTTAATAAATATTAAGAGTTATTAAAATTGCAGAATTAATTAGGTCTTATCCAGCAGAAGGTTTATGCTAATAAAAAATATTTTATATCGAAAATCAAACTTAAATGATTAAGTCTGTTTGACAAAATTGAAAATGAGATTGTGAAAAAACTCCTTTCATTATTACAAATTTCCCTATTATTATATTTTATTACTCTAGTAGCTCTTTAGTTTTAATGAACAAGTATAATATTTTTTTGCTTTTAATTATTAAAGCAAAAGAATTTAATGAAATGCAATTAAATCAGATAAATTCTGAATGGCATTGATTTGAGTATGATGTATAAATCTGATAATGGTTGATATTTACAATTGCTATATCAATATTGTACTATTTTATATAATTGATCATTCTTTCAAAGCAAACTTTCTTAATGGGAAATTGTTCAATCTTTTCCATTGTCTTTATGTTTTTTATGCTTGAATTAGTTATCATTTATTATTACCTCTTTCGCTTCTTGTAAGTCTTTATCTAATTGCTCTTGTTTTTTTACCTCTGAGATCAACTGGGAGTTTAGTGCTTGACTTGGCTGCATTTTTCACAGAATTTCTTCTTTATTCATTGATCACGGTCAAAAATTTAGCAATTCGCTTTCTAACAAGCTTAAGTCATTGATTAAATGCTTACTCCAATTCTGCCAAGTTTTTAGGCATTACCAGCTGAAACTTTAACTGTTCGTAATTAAATGAGTTCTCCTTTGAGTTTCTCTAAATCTTTTAGGAGATCTTCAGACTTTTAATCTCTCAGCTTTTTAACCTTGAACTTTTGTGACATATTTTAAAAAAAAGGATTTAATTTTTATCAAATATGGGGAATTGCTTCAATTAAGATGAGAATGCCAAAACATCCCTAAAATCACTCAAGAAAGTCGATTAGTAATAGTCTTAGTCTCTTTAAGACTTGGATGCCAATAAAATTACTTTAAAAGACTTTTTAAGTCAAGGCTAGATAGGAAGGGTTAAGAATGTATGCATATTTTTAGGGTTAATTTGGTAAGGTCTTTAGAGTTAAAATGAAGAACAGCTCTCAAGAATATGCTATGAAAGTAATTAAAAAATCTGAAATCATTCAATTTGGATTGGTAGAACATACAATGCTTGAAAAGAGTGTGCTTATTCGAAGTAAAAACCCTTTTGTTGTCAAGTTAAAATACTCATTCTAAACAGATTAAAAGTTATATTTAGTTATGGAGTAATATATTCATTTGTAAAATATAGATTAGTCACTGGAGGTCAACTTTCTAAGATTCTTAGCAAGTACTATTAGAATCGACTTACATAAGTTTAAGCATAGTTCTGTGCTGCTGAAGTAGTTCTTGGATTAGAATACATACATGAGACTTTGAAAGTTGTATATAGAGATTTGAAACCAGATAATATTTTAATTACTCAGGATGGACATTTGAAATTAACAGATTTCGGATTATCAAAATAATACGACAAGTAGGATATGAAGTTCTTTACTGTATTAATTAGATTTATTTATAAGTTTAGTTTGTTGGTACACCTGAGTACATTGCCCCAGAAATTTTGTTGAAATCTGGACACAATACATCTGTAGATTGGTGGAGCCTAGGAATACTACTCTATGAAATGCTAGTAGGTTATACCCCATTTAGAGACACATCTAATAATTTAAGGATGATAGAGAACAAAATTATCTAAAGCGAGATAGTATTTCCAGATTTCTTATCTACTGAAGCCAAGGATATTATATCTCAACTGTTAAATAAAGATTATCGTAATCGTTTAGGTAATGTTAATTTAAACATTAAGGGAGTAAGTCTGTAGATTAAATAAAGAAACATTTATTTTTTTCTTAAATTAATTGGGATGATATTTATCATTTACGAACAAAATCTCCAATTTTAGATGGTCTAGCAAAGATCTTAAAATAAAAGTCAATAGAAAAAAAAGTTGAACCAAAAAAAATATTCGAAACTCCCCATTCTTAAATAAGATAAACAGATGGTTAATTCGAAGGTTTCTCTGTTAATCAAGATGAATATTGATCTATGTAAAGAGGATTTCAACTATTTACTTCTATCTTTGGAGTATTTGTTGGATATTTTGAATTCATTATTATTATTATCTGATAAATAATAAAAATCCAATCATCATGACAAATATTTGTCCCAAACTATCTCTTAAGTTTTAGTGCAGTATGAATTTCTGTTTAAGACAAATATTTTAATTATAAGTATTGTTATAAGAATAATTATATATATATATATTAAGATTCATTTAGATATTCTAATTGACTTTTGAGAGTGAAATTAATTATGGGTAGAAAATATGGGCAATTTAGTAATAGAACAATCCTTGGGAATATCTTCATAAAATGGTACAGTGGTTTCCCTTAATCTTTTTTTTGTCTATTCGATAATGGATTTAGAGGATTTGAATTAAATAATTTATTTCTCATGCTTCTGAATATATCCAATTATATATTCTTGTAACGTTGATATGATTTCTTTGTGGGTTTTGAGAATATTCTTATTGAATTGAGCATTCGTGACATCCTGATTTTCATAATGTAACACGTAAGCTTCACTACCAGGATGATTCTCAGCATAATTAGTTAAATTATAGACAGTTTTCTTGTATGCATACAGCGAGAGTGAATTTTACATGGCATACTGTTGCATTTCCTTCAAATCATTAAAATAAACAAATTGGTTCATTATTTGTGATTAATATTATTTAAAGACAGTACTAAAATTTTTTCAGATATTAAAATTCTAATTTATTCACTGAGGATAAGATCTACTCGATGAAAAACTAATTCTCTAGTGTAAAAATGAATTAATTTTGATTTCAATGACATTTGAGTCATATTGTAATTTTTTATTAAAAATTTTAATTTTCCCTCAAAATTGAATGTCCAATTTTCAAAAATAAAGGGAATAATAATTCGAAGAGGATTTGGAAAAGTTTATTATCTATTTCACAGGGTTTGGAGTAAGATTACGTTTTAAATTAAGCCATCCCAAAAAAATTTTGAAATAGCCCACAAATATGCAGGTTCAAATTTGAAATATCACACATTCTTGGATCCAGATGCACATCAAATAGAAGCTAAATTTTAAGAGTATTATATTGACATATTGATAAGCATTTTAATAAAACTGTAAGTCATGAGCAGACCTGAGACTGCTGATTACCTAAATACTCTATTTTAAGAATTAAAGAAAAGAAAATTAAAATAAGATTATAACGATATGCCTCATCGCATCTTGGGTTTATTGTTACTTTTAAGTTCTAATTTGATTGAACACAACTTGAATCGCGAGCCAAACAAAAATATTTTAAAGAAAAAGCAATAAGACAACATGTCAATATCAAGCATAGAAGTAATTATAGCATATTGATTTTGCAGTCATTGAAGGATTGGTAGTTTGAAACTTCTTCAGAAGAGGACGATGAAGAAGAAAATAAGCAAGAAGATATTTAAGTTAATTAAAGAAATGAAACTACAAGAGAAGTTTAATAGAAAGCATAATAGAATTAAACTTTGATCTCCTCAAAAGACCAATTACCTAATGTGCTATGGCATATGAGTTTTAATACTAAAAAGTCTTTTAATGAATTTGTAAGTTCAACTGATTCTTCTCTGTAAATAAGATCATCACAACTATTCTTATCAGAGTATTAAAATAAATCATAAGAAATTCTTAAGAAACCAAGGATTATTAAGTAACAATATTCTTTTTTAGATTAGTATGATTACAAATGAAAAGGATGTAGTTGTGGCAGTATTATATAGTTTTTTGGGTTTGCAAAGTGAACTATTAACATTCTCCTCAGGATAATATTAATTGAATGATTTTGATGTTCGCCATATGAGTCATGACAGTCTTCTCAGCAGCACTCAAAAGTTTTTAGAATATGCAACTATTGTGTGTCATCTTAAAAAACCATTAAATATGATTTAAAAACCATCGTTGTTAAACATTGAAATATTAATACAGGAATAATTTTGGTTGGGCGTAAGATCTATACTAAGTGAATTTGATCAGGCAGTTACACATCTATTGGAATAATGTATTTATGATGAAAAATTGTGTTAACAAAAGGTGGATCGATCTATTACTCTAATGTATTTAAGTCAGAGTTTATAGGATTGGTTTGTCATTATTAAATAGATCAATCTTGTTGCTCAGAAGATATTAACTATAGAAGGAAATAATGGAACATTCAATTCCCCTACACTTACTATCTTATATAACCTGTGCATTTAGAATTCGCTCCAACCTCAACATAATTAAGTTTATCTTCAGAAACTATTTTTATTTGCTTTAGAACCATACATAAAACTATTAGATAAATATTTAGATTATAATTCCACCATCACTGATTCTTTTGAAAATCTTCCAGTCTTTTTGCAGAGTTGTTCTGTCTAATTAAAAAATATTGGCCAAGCATTCTAGATCTTCTAAAAAGTTGGATTGCCAGCTTTAAAGTAAATTTAATTTAGAAAGAATCTTATTATGAGATTATGTGAAGTATCTGAGACTTCTCCTACAAAATCTATATAGACAACTCTATAATATTGCACACTCTCAGGAGGCCATAAGTTTCATGAGCCTTTTACTTTAACTAAATTAAAAAAGGATGAAATCTTAACTTAAGAAAACGAATCATATTCAATCAAAGATATTAAGAATCCTAATTTAATTAAAGTATTTCAAAAAGAAATAGTCAAACTCATTAAGAAGGAAGATTAAAATATTTAAAATATCCTATTAGATTATCTTAATAATCATTTGCAATTCATCAAATTACATAAATATTTAAGATGTTTATTTTTCTTTGAAAGAGTTGATCTTATGCAACAGTTTATAGAATAAATTGCAGAATCTCAGTCTCTGGCTCGCTTAAGAGCTATCCAAAATACTATTCAAGATTTATTGAGTAGGAACTTTAATTTTAATAATGCATATGAATTACAACCATAATTGATTTGTTAACAAAATTCCTAATTTTTATTGTCCCATAAAAGTGTGAACTTCAAAATCTTTCTGCCTCATCCAATTGATTTAATCATTAATGAAAATTCATTGATTTTATATAATAAAATCATGCAGTTTCTATTATTTTTCAAAAATTCCAAGTTGCACCTGTAATAATCTCAAGTAAACTTAAAAAAAAGATTTAAAAATTAATAATCAAAGTTTCTTCATTTTGGAAATCAACTGACACATTTTATAACCAATTATGAATATTTCCTATTCATATCAATTATCCAAGTGCAAACAGACTTATTTTTGGATAAGGTGAACAAAAGTTTAAGTTTTTAAGAGATAATCAACAATCATAATTTATATCTAAAAACAATCTCTGATAAGATGTTTCTCAATTAGAAGGTATACTTTTTAAATAATTATTAGTCAGAGTCAATTTTAGAGGCTATTTATAAGGTCATAGATATAGTCCAAAATTATCCAATGTTAATCGAAAGAGTTACTTCATTAGATTTAGTAGATTAAATAACAAAAAACATCGAAACTATGAGGATTGAGAGTGAATTTACAAAAATGAAAGATTCCTTTAATTAATAAATATCAGCATTAATTTTGCTGTTTGATCATTATACATAAAGATTTACCCATGCTCCTGAAAGTAAATATATAAATATATTAATTTTAGTCATTGAATGTATATTGAAGGTTAATTTTAATTAATTTTATAAATGAATTATTTCTTTAATTATATTTATTACAATATTTCTAATCCTATTACATTTCTAGGAACTCAAAGAGATTATTCTAATAGTTTAAATTGATCATTTTTCAATTTAAAATTTATTATTTATCTAATAATTATATAAAAACTTACAATTTTTCCAACCATTAAAAATTTTATTTCTATCTTAAAATGTTAATTTATATTATTTTGGAATCCATAATATAAGTTCTCATAGATTTATTATAATAACAACTTTGCCATAATGACGCTTCTTAAATTATTGAATCTAATTGTTTAAATATCAAATCTATTTTTATTCAATATTAAAGAGAAAAATGAGTCCAAAATTTAAAATTGATCATAAAATACTATTAGAAAGTAATATAATTTTTTCAATTGTTATTTTACCTACATTTATTTGCTAAACCAGAGAAAAGGTTTATTAAAGTACATGTAGCAATATCCTAATGATTTTGCCTTTGAATATTAAAATATTTAAGCCTAAAAAAATTGCAAATTTGGCATTACATTAATCAAAAAAATTTAATGATTTTTTTTAATTAAAATTTGGAGAATTGAAAATTGTAATGTATTAATAAAAATGGATAATAAGGAGAATGAAAAGTAAGCTAAACTAAAGGAATTTCAAAGGAGATTCCCAAACTATATGAATGGTAAGAAGGTGATATTTCCCATTATGGATGAGATAATTGTTCAATTTTCACAGATATTTCCTTAGAGTAATCAATTTGGAAAGATGAGAGAAGGGAACGTAATTAAGACCTTTTCTCCTATTCCTTTAAATCAATAAATCGAGATTACAACTTTCATAAATGCCTTTCCATATAATTAGTAATTCGCAGCTATGTCTGATAGCTAAGGTGAGTTTTGATTGCTACTTTCTCCTTTATTAAAGTTAACAGGACATTTGATTAAAGACTATCATTCTAATGCCACATTTTCAAATAGTTATCAATATTCAACTTTTGATACTCAAGAACAGTCAGATCGAATAAATTTCAAGTTGACTGCCTTTATTATTGAGGATATCTTTAAGTATAAGATGGGTTTATTGAAACCTATTGACATAGCGAAACAAAGATAAGTGAAGGATGATATAAAGGAGAAGGCGAATAAGGCTCAAAAAATTAGTTTGTTAACGATGGTAGAAAAACAACAATAATAAGAAGAAGAAAAAGATGTAAATTAGGATTTAACACTCTAGAGTTAGAAATACGAATTTGAAAATTATTTGGATCCAACTTGCTAATCTTTTTGGAAGATAGCTTATGAAGCATTTAATAAGATAATAAAAAAATCATAAAGAACTAAATTATAGGATATGGATATAGAATAAGAGTCAGATGAATAGCCAGATACGATTCAAAATGTCAATAATTAAAAAGGAAATTTAAATTAAGAAAGTATTGAGTTGAGAAGATAATAAATAATTAGCAAATATTAATAACTTGGTAAATTGAAGGATCAAAATAAGAAGAAAAGCAAATCAACAAAACAGTATACTTAGATTAAATCATTTAAGATTAAGGACAAGTATACTGATTTAGAAATGTTAAGATTCAATAATTTGTTTAAGTTTTTGATTCAGAATTGGCCAGCAATGCTACTTTAATCAATCAAATTGCCTTATGTTTAATCATTGTTTAATGATTAAGAGCTAAGAAATATCAAGAGCATTGGTCAAAATGATTTAGGTTATTTTGGATTGAAGGCCAAATAGAGAGCTGATATCACAAGTAATTTGATTGAAGGAGTGCGTGAAACTGATAGTTTTAAGATAATAATTGAATACAGACAAGAAGTTACAGAGGCCGTTGGATTAGTGCTGGAAAATGTTCAAGATGAATTAAACAGTATCAATTAAGCATTACAAAAGAAAGATAGCCAATATACTCTACAATAACAATAGCAATATCGAAAGATCTATAAATAATATCTTTAATTAGTTGAATTCAGTCGACTTTTCATTAATGGATGTTTATATTTAGGTTCTGATATCCATGGATATGATTATCATATATTCTCTAATGACATTGATCATATCTATTAGAACAATGGCTCAGAGTGGAGAGTATTAGATGAAAACTAAGTGTAATAATTATTTAAGACTTTAAATGTTTGTGGTGTAAAAGAAAGAGAATTGTAAACCAATATTTAAAAGTTGATGGCGTGTGAGTTGTTTAATGATTAGGACACTAAAGAATTGATCACAATAAAAAATGTTGAACAATCATAAGTGTAGGCTGGAAATAGAAGTCCAAAATAGTTAATTGTCAAAATATTACTAGAAGTTGTGTAAAAGTATACTGATACTTTGATGATAAGAAAGTTGAGATGGGAATCATACAAAATCAGAGAAAAGTTTCAAAATACAATCAAAACACTCGAAAATCCTTTAGATATGGTTGATTTCATGAAGATTTTAATTGAATAGTTTGAAACTGCTTAAGTTTTAGTTATAGATTAGTAAAAGATGTAGAATGGAAATCAATATGATTAAAAAGATTTAAAGGAATTTCAGTAGAGAATACGCATATATGAGAATAAATTATAAGGATTGAAAGAACCAGAAAAGATATTATTTTATGATAGTCAATTATTTTAATTGATGGAGTCTAAGGAATATATCAAACCTAACGGGATTAAAAGTAATACAAAATTCTGGCAATAAAGTTTAGGAGTAGAAGTCAAAGAGGCTTTGATGAATTTTGCTAATAAAGTTGATAAAGAGAATTAATAATATGATGTTGTATTTATGGCTAGTACTTTATTATTAGCAGTTTAAGAGTATGAGCTCTCAAGTTCTTCATAGGACAATGAAGATGATGAATTGCTTAGATAAATTGTTAAGGAAGTAAAATTTGATAATTAGAATTTGTTATTGAAAACAGATAATCATTAAGTTAATAACTAAATTATTGAATTAGATTGAATATAAGTATTTATATATTTATCTATTATTATTAATATATAAATCTATTATCAAATTAATTAAATTATATAACATATCAAATGCAATTCTACTTTCTACCAAATTTTATGTCATAAAACTCTTCTTCACTTTCTTCTTCTGGTTCTGCAAAAATGATAGTTCTTTCACTTGGATACTTCTTATCATTTACTGTTATCCTACCTCTCACAGTCTTTAATTTTGTATTCCTTTTTAAGAATGATTACTATTTAGGTTAAGAAATAGGATTTATATTTAAAAACACTTTGTATTCCATTTCTTATTAAACATCAACTGCATCTGAATACATTTAATACTTTTAACAATTGTCATCCTCAAAGAAATAATTATAAACGTTTAATTTCTGGTTCTCTTTGATTGTTGGCTATAACCAATAATCAGGCATTAATTATTCATCTCTTGTTATCTAACCCTGACTAATGCATTTTAAATCGAACATGAAGGATATGCAATTTAATAATAAGTGAAAGTTCTTCTTTGTCATTTTTGAAGTCACTGTAGAATAGAGTTCAGTTATGTCTTCTCCATCATAATCAATACTAATCATAAGTAAAATAGACAGTTGTTCTGACATAAATTTTAATTTATTTGTGAAGGGATCATCTGATGGAAGTATTTTGCATTACAACACACGAGAAATAGCTGAGCCAGGCACTCTAACTAACCTCTTTCTATATTCTGACTTCTTCTACACAAATACTTAGATTCCTGTTTCTATGGCTGTTTTAAAGGAACGATACATTCTACTTTAGAACTTTTTTGATTAAATTCTGAAGATATAATAACACTTTACTATATTCCTGATAATTTTTGAAAGTCAGGCAAGGCCTATTTAATTAAAGCTGAATGTTTGATTACAGTTATAACCAATAATCGATGTTATTGCTTATCTAATTCCACATTCGGACTGATAATAGATTGATAAGCTGGTTTGAGTAAACAGGGCTTTGAAATGGTGATATTAAACATATTCTCCAAGACTTTAGCTATTTCTGGCCATCTAATTGTTCTATCTTTTCCACATTCTACTAGCTATTTTAAGGTTTCTGCGAATTTTGGATTTTCATTCACATAAGTGAGCATTAGATGATAATTTTATGAAATATCTTTAATGCTCAAAAATTCCTTTAAATAATATGATCATTCAATTTTAAGATTGATAATTTTTTCATTGAAATTTACTTGAATTTAAATTAATTTTATTCAAAAACAAATAAAATTTTGAGGCAATTTAAAATAAAATTAGTAGTTTCTATAATTAATGATTCTTAATTTGCCTAATAAATCTGCTATTTTCTTACATCCTAATTTATTGGTGATAAAACATGGTATGAAAGGTAGAAATATACAATATTTGGAATAAAAAGAAATTATAATATTATCATAATAAAGTTATATCAATTACAAAGGTTAATTTTAATGTTATGATTATTAATTTTTAATTATATTATCTGCATTGATTACAATCTACTAATTTATTTAAGCATATTAGTTTGGCTATTATTTTTAAGGTTAACCAACTTAAGCCATCAAATTTGGAACTTAACAGGATCATTCTCTATGTCTTAGTCTTAACCTTTAAAACATAGCTTAACCATTTTCTAGAAATTATATTTACACACATGACGAATAATATTTATTCCAATTCCATTATAAATTTTAATAAATATCATTCATAAATCAATGTGTTCCTCGTCCTCTAAGATCTAATGGAATTGAATCTAATTTCTGTCTACATAAGCCAAATGCTACCTTTCAAAATACCTTAATAATTAATAAATTATAAATTCTACTTTCTTCCACAAAGTCCATAGAATACAGTCCAAACCTAAGGGATATCACTAATCCATTCAATTTAAAATAGTGGCATATAATAACATCTTGGTCTCTATTCAGTTGGAGTATAAAAAGACTCTCTTTACCAAGTTAAAGCAGGAATTTCAAAGAAGTACAAAAATGCAGCAAATGTACTCTAACTCATTAGAAACACTATTGTTAAACCTATTTAATAGAATCCATAACCGAAACTTAATTAAAATTTATACTTGTTTATTCGAGATAATATAGATATGTAATGTAGTAACAACAAATGTATTTCGGCACAAAGTAAATTGAAGATCTTGTTCTTAAAAACAAAACTCCTTGCAATTCATTTATAAATACTATTCTAATATGTTAAACTATTTTACATCATAAAATATATATTTAATCCCTAAGGAATGCTTTTCCCAAACATAAAATAAGTTGCTTAATCCATACCCTGGTTATAAATTACTGTGTAGAAGAATATCATCGTCAAAAAGGCAAAGACAATGTAATATTTCACTTTGTTATTTCTCTCCAGTAGCCTTATGTAAATTCCAATCCAATTTTCTTGATTCCCCTGATTATTTAATTCCTATTCCTACCTGAATATTCGCTACAGTGAACTCCCTATAATATAATCCATTATTTATACTTATAATATAGGAGAATGCTGGCACAGATAACATAAATAGACGAATTATGATTGATGAAGTGCAAGAGACAAAAAATAGGGATACTAAAATCTATTGACACAAAAAAATATTTCTTATCATCTTAATGTACAAAGAGGTAGATTCATCATTTTTCAAAGAATTCTTTCCCCAATACCACATTTCTCTTGTTTTTAAATTCTAAATCAAAATGTCATGCTCGCTGTCTGTAAAATAGTTTGTAAAATCAACTAAAAACATAGTTTCTATATCCACAAAATTTAAAAAAAATAGATCAAAATTTGATTAATAATTGTTGGAATCGACAAAAAGTATTTCCTAAGTTATATTATGATCTTTTGCAATGTTTTGTCTAAGTGATAATAAATATCTGTTAAATGAAAATCTCATTTGTAATAAGGGATCGCTGTTTGAATGATCTACAATATTTACTGTGTAAACAACAGTCTCATTAAATTGAGAAATTACACTATTGTCTTGTTATAAAAATTCTAATCTCCTTTCTCCTTGTCTTACGCAAAGAGATACATACACAGCTATACATAATAATGATATCCCTAGTAATCCTAAAAATAGACTTTTTGCTGAAACTCTTGCGTATTTCCACGATGTTAAGAAATAGTGGAATTTGTATATTTGTTTTTCTAATTCCATTACTATATTTTAATTAAATGTAAGAAAATAATGAATAGTCCTTAGAAGATCTCAGTAAAGAAGTATTGGTGTCATAATTGAAAGATAAAGTATATAATACTAAATAAATGATAAGATAAAGGAAAACAAAACCATCACTAAAAAATTGGATAAATTATCTGAGAAATATGTTTAGACCTACAAAGAGTATAAACTAATTGCTAAAGACAGAGAAACCTTATTCCAAGCTATCTCATCAATCTTAAATGATGAAATTTACAAATTTGAGTAGAAGCCTTTGGGTTTAAAATATTATTAAAAATAGGTTAATTTGATCAGAATCAAATACTTGATTTACTTAAACAAAAGGACGAAGACAAATCCAAAGCTTTAACAAATCTAATCAAAGAAACTAACAATGAAAAATTCCAATTAGAAGAAAAATATAGATAAATGATCGAGAAACAAGGGTAAAATACTGATCAAAAGACTCAATAAATAATCAAATAACTAAAATAATAGATAAATGATCTAGATGTTAATAATACACGATTGGCCAAAGAAATTATCGAATTGAATGACATAATATAAATTAAAAATTCATAATTGCAAACCCTTCATTAATTGGAAGAAGATAATGCAAATTTGAAAACCTAATTAATGGTTCAAGAATTATAATTGCAATAGCCAGATAGAGCTAATAAAATAAATTCATCAGATCTTATGAATGAATAACTTAAGCTAAAATAATAGACTGATAAATTACTGGAGGAGATTCAAAAATAGAATACCAAAATTTAGGAATTAGAACAATAATTATAATCTAAAAAGTAAGCAGAATTGGAAAAAAATAAATTACAGAAAAATTATGAAACTCCAACACCTGATTACGATGAAATTAATCCCTTTGAATAGGATGCTACCTTAAAATAATAGGATTTTGTTCCAAACAAATAGATATCAAATAAATAAATCTAGACAGATCAAATTAATGTGAACAAAGAGGATGCAGATAGCAAAAATGCCAATTTTGAATATTTAAAGAATGTTGTATACAAATACTTCTTGTACTAAGAAACTAGGAATTATAAAGAAGCTACTATTTTAATGAATGCAATTATGACCATATTAAAAATGTCTAATGAAGAGAAAAGAAGAATCGATTAAGCGAGGGAGAGGGGTTTCCTAAAGAACGCAAAAAATCTCATAAGTGATAGTTTCGCTTGTCTCAAATAACCCCAATTAAACGACATAAATCTGGAAAGACCAATTAGCAGAGTTGAGTAAATGAATAAACATATGATGAATTGATTTATTTTAAATTATTTAAATGGCTTCTTAATTTATATCGAGTCATGAGACTCTTAGGATTAGTGAGATGAAATTCATAGAACAAGAATAGTATTATATCAATCTCATTAGAGAGTAAAGGGAAAAAGTAATGCATACCATTCATTAATGATAGATGGAATTATTAAAAAATGAATTTCTAAAAAAGGATCAAGTCATCATTGATATGCAAAGCTAACTAAATGAATTATAGGAAGAGAATGAGTAGCTTAAAGAGATGTACCAGAAATCTGTTTAAAAAAAGGAGCAGGAAGTTTATCGAATAAACAAACTACAATAAGAGAAGGATAACTTGATAATAGATATGATTGAATTGAAGGACATGATAGAGCATTTAAGATAAGAAAATGACACTATGAGTGTAAGAAAATAATTAGATATTTATAGACAATGTGTATAAGAAATGAGGATTAATAAAGACAATCATAAGATCAATTAATCCTTTTGGGAGAAGAGAATAGTAGATTGAAGACTGAAATATAAAAATTGGATGAGATTTTATTTTAGTGTGAACCTTTGAGGGTTGAAAATGAAAAATTAAAAGAAAAATTAAAATATTATAAATTAGAAAAGAGAAAACTTCATTAGGATATGAAACAAAGCAAATAAGAGATTAATAAACAAATAGAAGAGTTTAAGTTTATAATCACTAAAGATTTTTAGAATGAAATGGAACGATTATAAGAGTATAAGGAGTGTCATTTATAGTTAAATTAAAAATTATAAGATTTAGAAGAGTAGTGTTTGAGTTTAACTGATGAAAATAATCAATTAAAATCTGAGATCTAATCCTTGTATAAAAAGGAGGAAAGTGATATCAAAATCAAATCTGAGATAGATAGAGTAAATAATTTGTTTATTTGAAAAGGTCAGATAAGATCTAATGTCAGTAAGACAAAAAGAAACATAAAAATTATATGAACTATTTAATGGTATAATGGGTTTGAGCAGTTTAGCAAACTCAAGAGAAAAGATTTATTGAATATAATATTTATTGATTGTCATTTTTGTTAATATTACTATCAAATAACTATTGTACAACAACGATAAGCTAAATAGTATATCTTTAATTCTTCTGTATAAAATTTTGTTCCAAATGAGGTATTTTTATCCATATTTTATAAATATTCTTATCCATCTCCCACTTCTCATAGGTGACATTCTCAAATATACACTCTAATTCTTCCTTTAATAATTAAGATTACAATTATTCCTTTTTCATTTTATAATTCAATTTGCTTTTCCAATAAAATAACTTAACTTTTCAAATTTAGGCATTATATTACTTTAGCTCATCAACTTGTATTTATAGGCAGTTATTATAGAGAATTTGATTTAGTATATTAATGTAATTTATAGAATGATTTTAAAAAATTTAGATAAGGGAATGTAATAATAAGGTTAAATTTTTTAACTTATTATTTTATTAATGTATTATAAATAAGATCGGTATAGTCTAAGCGGTAAAACAACAGGTTTTCACCCTGTCATTCCGGGTTCAAATCCCGGTACCGATATTTTTTATCTTTTTATTTAATATCAAATAACCAATATTCTTTAACTACATACATTTATTTAATGAAATAAGAGAGTTGTTTGGCGAGAAATGAGATTTGAGCCATTTTTTAATATTATTAGAATGGCACATTACAGAATAAAAAATACAATATCACAAACACCAATTATGAATGTATTAAGGAGATACCAAAATGTAAAATTTAAACAGAAAAATGAATTGGTTTCCTAAATTCGGTGAATTTAACTGCTGTTATAAATGTGATTAATCTGTTGCTTCGATAATTCAATATATTAGAAAAATATTTACAATAAAAGCATTCATTGTGGTGTTACCAAATTAGGATATTTTTTTATATCGAATAAAGTCAGGGAAGCATCTTGAGTGTTCAAGTTATTAATCGGTTTAAATTTTTAGTATCCTATGGTTTCCTCCTTTACAAAAATTAAAGAATATTTGAGTAATTGAAGTGGATATGATAGAATCTAACAAATTTATAGTAGATCCTTGTACATATCACTCTAAGATGAATTTCTTTCTTTATTAAATTTATTATATGATCAAAGATTATAGTACGAATATTATTCCATTCGTTTTCATAAATTGAATGCTTAGACGAGCAATGGTTTTTAGTTTTACAATTGAATAATAAAACAACTATTAGAAAAATAAAAGTGATGAACTAAGGTGCTAAAATCAAAAAGAAAATAGATAACATATTGTAGTAGTATAACCAATAAGATAAATCTGAATGAAATGTTGAAAATGATGTCTATATATTTTTATTTAGTATAAATCTAGGAAATTCTTTAGTAAATTAGATGTATGTATTTAGTATTATAATATATCAAAAATGTTATAAATTAGTTTTAAGAATAAGGAACCTAGATTTATTGAAATTAATGAGATTAAGTATATTTCTTAAAATACTTTAAGATTGCATCGAGAATGTAATGAAAATATTCACTTTACAAAGATGCTTTGCATTCAATATTTGAATATTAATGTACGAATGATGGTGTTTATCAATCAAATAAGCCTCCCATATCAACATCTTCTTCGGGTTCTTCTGCTTTCTTAACTTCCTTAGCAGCTTCAGGAGCTTTAGTCTATTATGCAACTGGTGCTGCTGTTGTAGCAACTTAAGCAGCAGGAGCACTTCCGCTGTTTCCATGTAATAAATCTCCTACTTTCTTTCCTTTGAGTGCCTTCTCGAATACTTTAGTCCAAATTGGTTCAACTCTCAAATTAGCTGCTTTGATGATTTGAGCCAATTTTGCTGCATTGATCTTCGCTTAATAATAGTTTTTACTTCTTGATTGTCTTCATACAAGATGAGTGCAGCGTATGTGCATGCTGCTTCTGATGTGTTTTAATCTGCAATTGGTCTTGTGTCTTTTTATGCTCTTGCCATTTAAAAAAAAAAAATTAAAAGATTTAATATTTTATGTTCTTCACATCTCTCTATTCCAAGTGATTATATTAAAGAATTAAAAACTAGAATTTTATGAATACCAATATAATCTTATTCATTTATTTGTCACATTTATATACTCAAATTAGATATAAAAATAGATGTTTTTATAATTCAATTGTTCTATTGAATTTAGAAATGTTAGACCTTTTTTAAGTTCTATAATTATTTCTCTCTCATTATTATTATTTATGAAATTTAAAATTATTATAGATTCTTTTACATAGAGTTAATGTAATTAAAGTAACAAATAAAAATAAGTCAGAAAATTAAATGTACATCATCTTATACTTAATTTAAAAATGGGTGCGTGTATATTTCATCCAGAGTGGTCCTAGATGAAGTATCAGATTATAAGAATGATTCCAAGAAATTCTAAGTAATAGGTTCAATTTAAAGTTTTGATAATTTTTGAATTAGAGTCCAATATTATGTCCATTTTTTTTGTTATATTAATCTCCATAATTTACAATTCGCACCAGGTTTAGTTGAAGTGAATGGTTGAAATCCAAGAATGATTTAGAAAATTGACACTCCAAGCGAGAAGACATCAGATTTAATTAGAATTTGTGTATTTATTTTTTCACTGTTCTTTCCCCCCAGTAAAGATTCTTAATGTAATTCTGGAGCCATATAATTCAAAGTACCCACAGTTCTATTGACTGAGCAACTTGATAACTATTCAGCAAATCCAAAATCACATAAAACTAATTTTCCAGTATTGTCGATTAGAATGTTCTCTAATTTAATGTCGCGATGAACCACTTGCATCTTATGAATATCATTTATTATCCTTATCAAAGTCTTGCATGTTTCCTTAATTAATTAATGATTTAGATTTTGGGATTTTACCACTTCGAACAAATCCTAAGGTCTTAGTCTTTCCAATATCAAGTAATCGTCTGTAAAAGTGATTAGTTTTACAACATGATCACTTTTGAGATCCTCTAGAATTTACGCTTCCTATATTCTCGCTTAGACAGGGTGTATCGATTTAAATACCTTCATCACATAATTAGGATCCTCTGTAAGGAAAACATATGATGAAGATCCTTCACTCAAAAGAGTGGTCTTAATGTGCATATGTTTTTAAGTGTGTATAGATTTATTATTATAAAAGAAAAAATTATTGTTGCATTTATAATTCCTTACTAATTCTTTCTGATAAACTCTTTTTTCCAAATATAATCATACTCTTACATGAAACACAATATTAATGAAGCTTATACCTATATGTAAGACATTAGAATCAAAATAGAAGATTTAGCAGAATAATGATAAAACATGCCTCACAATATTGAAAAAATTAGTAATCCTTATTGTTTTAAAGTTTTAAATGAAATATTCATAGTATATGATCAAACCTATAAATAATGGTTATAAAAAGAAGTATTTTGATAATTTTTGTTTTTTATGATTTTTGTAACATTAATTAAAATATTATAAATTCAATAAAATTATATAGTAATATAATTTCATAATTCATTCATAAATTTAGCTTCTCTTGGTGAAATTTGTCTTTTGAGAAGAGTGACTTCCTTTAATTGACTCTTTGGCATAATTCTTAAATTAATTAAAAGATATTGTAGAGTTATTAGATTAATGTGATTAATTCTCTTAATTATGAGTATTTCTATTAAGTGGAGATGTGCTTTATTATTGATTTGATCTCAAAATTTGTTAATGACCTCTCTTTAGACTTTTATTTGCTTTAACTATTTGTTTTATTTGAGTTCTCTATTATTATAATACTTGATTTAATTCATCCTCAGTTGATAGTAGTTTCTCTTGTATTGATTCAAATTATTTATTGGCCAACAAAATTAAATGCTTAAGTTAGTAGTTTTTTTTTACAGTTTGTTATAAGATTTTATGTTACTGTATAAATCCAAATAATTTAATCCTTCTTAATTGAAATTAATTTGCACATAATTCAATTAACACTATAATTTTTGTATGTGCAGTTATTGTTATTAAATTTGATTGTATAATAAAGAAATCTCTTAATCAGCATCAATCAATGTTTATTTTGAACAGTTTGATAGATTTACAGATTTTTTCCATTCCTTAGTAACTCTAAATATGAATAAATCTAATAGATCTAATAGTAATACATAAATCATTTACATTTTCTCTAAACTTTCATTAATAGACTTATGATCTTTAGGATTAGTAACCACTTGATCAATGGCTTTGACTGCTCCTAAGAAACACTTTTGATAACCTTCAAGCATAATTTGATTTTTATCTTAAGGTTGTTTTGTTAGCAACTATAATACTCTTCTTACTCAGTACTCACGATAAGAGAGAGATAATTTTATGTTTGGATAGTTTAAATTTCTACAATAATCCTATAAATTATTCTAGTTCGAGTTTGAATGACCCAATAGATTGTCTTGATTACAAGGAGGCAATGGACTATACAAAGTATTGCTAAGTTGATTTGATAGATTGATTATAATATTGATTATCCTCATAACATTAAAGTTATTCGAGATACATTTATCGCTAAAAATTAACCTGTATCTGTTAAATAATATTAATTATTTCTATCATATATCATATATTCTCCTAAATCCAATATCGGATTCAATCAACTAAGTATCCAATTCCACTTGAATAGAATGATCTTTGATGAAATCCTTGTCATTCTATAGTGAGGAGATTTGTTAGTTAAGACTTCCATAAGCAGTTGATGTGGCAATTTGTAATTTCTTTAATTCATTTTTCTGTTTGTTCAACTATTTAGCATTTAAATGAATACATCTTAGAGAAGAGCCTTAGTAAAGCGATCTTCATCTCTACATTGATTAGACTTCATTTTTTATAAATCGTTCTTTATAATATTCATGTCATCTCGACTTAGCTTTAAATCATCTTTTATTGATTTTAGAATGTTCTAAAATAGGACAGATGTTTGATACGAAGAGTTAATCAACATGTTCTTTGATGTTCATTTACATAGAATTCTCAAATCTAGTTTGGACTAGGCCATATTGATCAGATTATAATTCACTTTCTTAAGTATGATTAGTTAAATTTTAAAACTTTCTTGGTGACTATTTTAAAAAGTCTAACTGCAACCTCTTGCCCTGTTTATGCATAGAATACTACAATACTAATTATTTATATAAATGAGTTAATCAAAAGAATGAAAAAATGAATCAGTTTATATTTTAACTCTACATAATGGGAACATTTATAAGATTGTTTACAAAGAACAATGATGACAGGTTAATAAATAAATTGGCTTTGAAAATTAAGTATCGTAAATTCAATCTTGTATAATTGACCTCTAACTTTTCATTGAGAACTTACTTTTTCTTGCCTTCTGTCTTGATCGCTTTTATATAGGTTCTTCAGATTCGCTTCCATCATCATTCTTTACTGAGACTAACTCAGAAAACTAGACCTTTTTACCAATTATTTTCTCTGATTAGGTTTATTAATGCAGTGCTTGAAGAGATCCTGAGCTGTATCTATCGGTTTATTTTCCCAACATAAAATCAAGGCTATCATATCCCAAATCAGTTGTTTCAGTCTTTATTTTGTTTTGTGGACTAATTAAATATTTCTCAGGTAGACTAAAAGGATCAGAGAAGAAATCCCATTTTTTTAAACTCTCTTACCCTACCTTAGTTAGATTCATTTTAGGTTCTTGTACATCTCGAAAGTATTATCCTAATTGAGGCTGACTCGAATTGTGTTTGTGTTAGGACCTCACAAAAAATTACTTCTAAGGAGTTTGAAATTCAGATTTTGGATAATCAAAATTCATTTAATTATTTTAAAATTCAGGTAATTTCTTATCTTTCAAAGTTCTCCACGCAATAAATGACAATTCTCTTGTTTTTTTAATTCTCTTAAAAATATCAGTACGCCGTTAATTTTTGTATTTCTATTGGATGCACATCTAACAGTTTAATTACTCTTGATTTAAAACAATTTTTTTAGATTTAAATAACCTTTCCAGTCAAAGTTCCAAACCATTAATGAATTGTAAGATTAAGAGAACCCCCCATATTTTCCTAGATAATAAATTGATATTTACAATTATACCTCCTCTCAGTTCTATTATTTGGGACATTGAGCGTAATTATCTATAGATTGCAAAGTTTCATGATCTCTTCGATTTGAATTAAAATCCAAAAAATTGCCTAAGCTTTTAGGTAAATTAGTATTTTCATGCAAATTACTAACAAAAATAATATTAGCCAATTTTGAGATTGTATTCATAAAGTGGTTCTATATAGTTCTTTGTATCAGATAGCTATTTTTAGAATGATACTTTTTGTTAAGGCATATTTGGTGTTCCTGGTGTTTCGACGTTGGAATATATTTATAACAAGAAACTAAAGGAATGTGGAGAGTAGTTTTCAAATTTTCATTCATCTATATAAGGTTTTCTTTAAAAAATCAGCAGTAGTTGGAAAATATAAATGAAAGTTGAGTAAAGACCATAAATAGTGGACTTTCTTAAATATTTTTTGATGTAAGGTTTAAAATATCAAATTGATAGGATTTATATTGAGATATAGGAGATAGTTTGGATAAATAGAGGAATGTAAAATATTTAGTTTTTCTATAAATAATGTGATTGCATGTGAAAAAATTTAAAAATTTAGATATTATTTTTTAATGGTAAACCTTCGACTCCAAAAAAGATTAGCTTCAACTTAATTAAAGGTTGGTGTTAACAGAGTTTGGTTAGACCCAAATGAAGCAAGTGAAATCAGTCTTGCAAATTCAAGAATGTCAATTAGAAAATTAATTAAAGATGGTTTGATTATGAGAAGATTGAGAACAATTCATTCAAGAGCTAGAGCAAGAAGATTCCTTGAAGCAAAGAGAAGAGGTAGACACACTGGTACTGGTAAGAGAAGAGGTACAAGAGAGGCAAGAATGCCAACCAAAGTTCTTTGGATCAGAAGACAAAGAGTTTTGAGAAGATTACTTAGAAAATACAGAGCAGCAAAGAAAATCGATAGATAATAGTAATGAATGTTAATTAAGTAGATATCACGAATTCTATTTGGCTTCAAAAGGTAATCAATATAAGAACAAGAAGGTGTTGATCGAGGCAATTCATGAAACTAAATAAGAGAAGGTCAGAGTTGACAAGATTGAGAAAGAATAAAACGACAGAAGAGAGAAGAACAAGGCTTAGAGAACCAAGAAAACCTAAAACAAATTTGCTGCAGAATGATATATACATATTTAGTACAATAAAAAATGTTGTTTATATGAAAAATCATTTATTGCATCTTGGACATAAATACTTATCAATCTTAGTGATGTCTTGATCTTAAAGTTCTACACAATCCAAGTGATACCAGTTATCACATTCATCACACTGAATCATCTACAGATCAGGGTTTTAAGGCAATTAACAAACACAACTCTTTTTCCATAATTTAATATTAGGTCTGGGTTCCATTGAATCTAGATCTATGGCAGCTCTACTGAAAAAGATTGTTTCCTCTTCGAATTCAAGATCAGAGTATTCTTCGAAAGTGAGGATTTTGATTCCAACTTGTATTTTGTTTGCAGGTAAATATTCAGAATGAGTAGAAAAGAAGAGTTCTTTATCAGAAATGCATTTAAACAGTTTCTAATCAATTTTTAAGATCCTAATTTAGAGTAATACCTAAGGGATGGAGATTAGAGAATTACCATTAAACTTAAACGATGGGAATGAAAGTGTCTGAGGGATCCTTGATGCAGTAGATTTTAATTGAGATTTAGCTGAATAGATATCATCATTTAAGGCACAGACAGCCACATCTTGATTGACATGGTATATTTTATTGCCTTTTTGAATGCTATTATACTTTTTAATTCTATAATAGGGTGGAGTATGGTAATACCTTGTGGGATCTTTCTTAAGGTAGAGTTAAATTAAATGACCATATTTATCATTCTTCACTAATTCATTCACTGTATTGGAACTGATTTTATTGATCTTCTCTTCTTCGCTCATTTATTTTAATAATTATTATTGAGTGTTGAGTGCCTTGTTTTGTTTTTAGAGTGTGTCTATATTAATTAAATAATTGCAGGATTTCTATTTTTTATATTAAAAAGATTTAAATTAATTTTTAGAGAATGGTAACAATAACAATTAAATTAAGGCTGACAAAAAAGAATAACCTGTTTAATAACCAAAAGGAAAGAAGGGAAAGAAAACCGGAGAAGAAACAACTCAATAAGTTGTTGCTACTTTGGGACCAAATGTTGCAGGAAATGAATTAGTATTTGGAGTAGCTCACATCTTGTCAACTTGGAATGACACCTTCATTCATATCACCGATTTGACAGGCAGAGAAACATTGGCTAGAGTCACTGGTGGAATGAAAGTCAAATCTGACAGAGAAGAATCTTCACCATATGCAGCCATGCAAGCAGCCAAAGATGTTTATGAAAAGTTGAAAACACTCAAAATTAACGCTTTGCATATTAAATTAAGAGCAAGAGGAGGTATTACATCCATCCCATATACCAAGGTGTCGATACCAGACAACCAGGACCAGGTGCTCAAGCTGCTTTAAGAGCTTTGGCTCGTTTGGGACTCAAAATCGGTAGAATTGAAGATGTTACTCCTATCCCAACCGATTCTACTAGAAGACCAGGAGGTAGAAGAGGAAGAAGGTTATGAAAAGTTAAATAAAACATACATTATATTATACATGTACATTGAATATTTATAATATGATAATGATATTTAATATCTAACCACTATCTCCATCTCTCTCCAAATATCATTGTTCATTACTCTTACAAATAGTTCCATAAATCACATTAAATTAAAGATCAATTGAAATAACACTTTAATAAAAAGAATTCTTAATGACACTTTTCAGGTTTTGATACAATTCCATTCTAAGACTCTTAGTTTTATTAGTGAAAGATCAAGAGCTTATGCAGTCCCTTCCTTATGGTAATCTATTCCAAGAAGTGACAGAAACAGCATTGTTTTTGTTCATCCAATATATTGAGGAAATGAAAACAAGGTATAAGGAGCTACTTTTAACAATTCTAAATAGATAACACAATATGAAGATTTAGAATTAGGTAATTTTTAAGTAGATAACAACTACAACTAAAAAAAGAAATTGGTAAAAATTTGGAGAAAAATAATTACTATTACAGGCACTTATATGAAATAAAGATAATGTTTATAAATAAGGATAAGAATACTCCCTACCCTTATATACAAATATTCTCATCACCTAAAACTCAAATGATTAATTTAAATTAAAACATAATATTATTATAGTTTTTTAAATGATTTGGTTTGAAGTGTTGAAACAAATCAAAATATATTACATCTTAAAACTGCAACGAAATCTATCAGGAATTTCAAAAGAAGTAGAAATTTTGATTTATACTAACAAACCCTTATATAATTACTGTAAAGGTGTTCAAAATTCTGAATTTAGAATTAATGCTTGTGCAATACATAAAAAATCAGTTAATTTATTTGAATAAAAACCCTAATTTGTGAATCAAGTTTCGTAGACTGATTTCAGTAAATATAAACAATTCTGTTATTATTGTTTTATTATTATTTTTTATCAAAATGTGATTATAGTAGTTGGAAGTAACATTATGACTGCCTGTAGCAAATGTATAAAATTTTTTTGATTTAAAGAAATTTGAATAATTTGATCTGATAAAGATACATATTTAAGGAGAGATTATTGTATTTTTGGTGTATTCTAATCTATTTAAACTATTTTTTAAATATCATTGAGAATTTGATTTAGTATATTAATGTAATTTATTGAATGATTTTAAAAATTTTAGATAAGGGAATGTAATAATAAGGTTAAATTTTTTAACTTATTATTTTATTAATGTATTATAAATAAGATCGGTATAGTCTAAGCGGTAAAACAACAGGTTTTCACCCTGTCATTCCGGGTTCAAATCCCGGTACCGATATTTTTTATCTTTTTATTTAATATCAAATAACCAATATTATTTTAACTTTATTATATTTATAACAAGAAATAATAATAGTTATTGTTTTATTTAAATAAATCTAATTAATTAAATTAAATAGTACATTTTATGACATTTGATTTAAATATAAAAAAATCATGAAAAAGATGTTTCAAGAAAATGAAGAACTAAGAAAAAATTTAAAATACTTTGTTGAAAGCTAAAAGTAAGTCTTAAGGTGGCCTCTGATTGCCTAATAATTGGAAACACTTCATGATATAAAGATTGACATACCCTACGAATTAAAATAGATTTACTAGGATTATTGCTGTCCTAAACCTGAAATAGAATCCAATAATTTATAAATTTTGATGTAAACTATTATTGAATGTCGATGTGATATGTCATCCACACTTGAAAAGTTTGTTCAAAGAAGCGGACTTAAGTATATTATTTAATAGTACTTTAAGAATATCATGTTATTTATTAACTAGTAGAGCATAACAAATCTTTAAAAAGGCAATTGAAAAAGGTATTATGGTTTTTGTAAGGAATAAGACTGAATAGAAAAAAAGATTAACTAATTTTCCAAAAGCGAACATTGTCAGGCTCATCAAATGTCTAGATTTAAAGCCAAATAATGAACATTGCATCATGGTTATTGAAGCGGCAAATTGTCTTAAAGAACTATTACTAACATATTCAATTAACAAAGATAAGGATCGTTCAGTGTATTATGAAGAAATAAAATAGAAGATGAATAAGAATCAATTCTTTCGAACTCTTTTGTGTTTATCTTTTCTTGATGACCTACGTATGATTAGTTAAAAATTAATTACATCAGATAAGTAGTTGTTGCCTGACTATTTCCTGTAGGATTCAATAGAGAAAAACAAGAATTTGGATGTTTATCAGTTTTTATATGTATCCGATATGCAATTAAAATATTAAATGTACAATGATTCAAAAGATCTCTAACATGATTAAGAATTTAAGTACTATATTGAGGAATATCAATATAATAAGTTTAAGAAGTTATCAAAAGAATTGATCCAAGAGAAACCAATGAAGAGAAGTATTCAGACAGTAAGAGGCAAAATTATCACGAATACAAAATATTATCCAAGCAAAAAGACTATTAAGTTCAATAAAGACTTGGATAACAACTTTGATGAGTAAGAAGATGATTCTGCAGGATGTTACAGAGTGGATATTCCCTTATTTAAACAAAGTAATTGAAAATTCAGCAGTAATCATATATTTTATATTTTTATAATAAAATTAAATTCAAATCAATAATGCAAATATTAAATATAATAAATGGAATGTCCAATGTGCTATGAATTCTATGCTCTAGATAGAGTGGCAAGAAACCTTCTCTGTGGTCACACTTACTGCACTATATGTCTTGAAACTATGTATAAAGTAAGTAAGAGAATCGAATGTCCTATTTGCAGGACAAAACATGAACCGAATGTTAAACCAAATAATTTAAGCAAGAATTTTGTGGCCATGGATTTGGCCTCTAAGCATTTAGAAGAATAGTAAGCTGGACCCTTTAACAATTAGAAAAACATTTGAACTCTGCTCAAAACATTAGAAATATCCATTGTAGTTTTATTGCGAGGATGATTAATCAAATATGTGTACAGAATGTATTACTGAACATTATGGTCATAAGTTTTTTAAATATGAACATTCAGGTATTCATTCAATGTGTAATTTAGTTTCTTTATAAATGAATAGAGTAAGTAGCATCTAATCAAAATTAAAGACTCAATATGAGAGTTTGGAGAAATAGATGAAAACTTTTGATAATTGCAAAGAATAATTAGAATAAGATAACTTAAAACTTGTATCTATATAAAATAAGAATTAGATCTAATAAATTGACGATTAATTTGATAGAATAATTGCAAAGTGTGAAAAAAGGAGAAAAGAATTGAAGGATAACTTATTAAAAATATTTGACTCTGAAAACGAGCAAATTGAGTCAGAAGTAGCATTTAATTAGTCATTGCTATATAATATGGCTCAAATACAGTAGAAATTAGATGAAAAGTATTATGAATTAAGTAGAATTGTTTGAAATATTTAGAGACTACAAAAGCTTTTAAAGGAAATGATTTTATTAAAGAGATTAATGATTTAGATGAATTGGCAGACAAAGACATTGTTTAGTTTAGAAAGTTAAGAGGTGGTGAATATAAAATACTGCCCAAATTAAATTTTGAATAAAAACTTATTGGTGATATTTCTAAATATGGACAATTTAAGAAGGAAGTTTGCAATCCTTAGATTTGCTACTTTGGAGAAAAGCATAAAATTTTGATTTACAACATTGAAAAAAATGATTGGTAATATAGATAAATTTCCAATGTATAAAGTCATGAATTAATGAATAGAATACATTTGATTACAATTATTATGCTGCAGCAGCTAGTTTACCCAATGGAGACATCATAATAACAGGAGGAGGAGTCAGTAGAAATGCTATGTTAATTTCGCCATCTTAGGGATTTTAATAGTAGGCTTTGAAGAGTATGTACTATCCCAGGAAAGAACATGCTTGTGTTTATCTGGATGGATTTGTTTACGCAATAGGAGGGTATCTGAGATAAATGATCTAATAAGTTATGATGGCACTACAAAGCAGATGTTATCTTGTTGCGAACAGTATAGTTTGGCTGCAGATGAATGGAAGATGATTGATCCACTCTAAAAGTAGAAGTGTGCATTTGCTGCTGCTACTGCCTTGAATAAATATATTTATGTGTTTGGAGGATTCGACGGAAGAGAGCGATAAAATACTATAGAGAGATATTCTGTCAAAGATAATCAATGGAAGGTCTTGGAAGTCAAATTCAAGTAAGGATTCAGTAATGCAGCAGCACTCTCTTATGATGATAATTAAATTCTCATTCTAGGAGGAGGGTATACCAATTATCTAATATCTAAGTTCTAACTAAGGATTCACAAATAGTTTGCAGGTCTTTGATACAAATAATCAAACAATTAAGGTTATTAGTATGATGACAGAAGGGAGAGATTTGAGAAACAAACTTATCACTTATAATAATGATTTGTATGCATGTGGAGGCAATAGCAATTCCATTGAAAAATTTTCAATTTCTCAATAAGTTTGGACTAATCTTAAGTATTTGACTCATCCTATCTTTAATTTAGAAGCTATGATTACTTAGTTTAGGATAATTTAGATTCCTGGTGCAGTGCTTTTACTTTTGATTCTAATAATTCAAATAATGTTTCGAATTTGATGAAGAACTGTAAATAAATAGATGTAACACTATTATCTATTTAGATATAATAAAACTAGAAGCATCAATATTAGGATTAAGTTATGTTTGAAAATGATTCATTCAATCAGGATGCCTTGAGCGAAGTATCAGATGATTAATTTTATAATATTTCAAATCAAGTTTAGTAGAATGATTGGTTTTGAATTTAAATTAATTAATTTCAAATATAAATATCACATCAATGTTTAAATACTCTCAAAATTTAACAATAATATCTCATAAAGAATAATTGCAATTTATGCTTTAATGGCAATCTCACTTTTTTGTTGCTCGCTTGTTATTCGGTTTAAGGAAGTTTGTCATAAAATTTTTATCTTTTGAAGCAAAATTTCATCAATTAGATTAAAATAATTGAGAATATAGTTAATGGCAATAATAATGGAGCAAAATCTAAAAGGATTTTCTAAGTTATATTTGATTAAACTATTCCATCAGCATAATTTTTTATTGATGTTAATAATTCTTAACATTAGCCTAGGCAAATCAAAACTAAGAGCGTCCATAATTTTAACATTTCACACAAAAATGCGTTTTAATTATTTTAATATATTTATATTAATTTTTTTAATTAATTGAATAACTAATATAATTTATAACAATATTGCAGATGTTTAAAAGTCTAAGATTTTTAAGATGTATGGAATTAGTATTAAGTCTAGTGTCTGTCAGCAAATTCAATTTAGTAGCATCATAAAATTCTTTATTAAGCAATAAAGAGCTCTTGCTGATTGAATCGAAATTATTATTTGATATATTAAGTGTCTTTTATTTTTATATAATTCAAATCTTGATTATCATACCTAATCATATTACTTTCAATTGCAGATATCCTATTAATAAAGGGATTCAAGGATAATGAAATTTGAAATAAAATTATTGTAAGAAAACAAGCAATTCTAATAAAGATCATCAATTCCTGTTAGATATTATCTAAAAAAACTAATTTCACTATGGAATCAAGACTGAATTCTAAAATAGATTATTCCTAGAGTTATTGATTTCAAATTTAAAAATTCTTATGTCTAATCAAAATGATATTCAAAAACTATATTAATTCTTAATCTTCATGAATACTACTCTTATATTCGAAGTAGCTTATCATAAAGTGGTATTGTTAAATACTATCTTGAATAATTGTAATTTTTTTATGAGTCTTTTTATTGATATTCTTTTCCTTCTAATTATAGAATCAATATTTTTTTATTTAATCTAATAAATCATATCAATCATCAAGCATAATGATTAGTTTTAAATATGAATACGAATATATATAAGTTCTTTAGATAAAATAAAGAAGAGAATAAAATTAAAATACTTATTATATGGTTTAGATATTTTTTGTGATTTAAAGAAATGTTGCAGTGTTGGTAGCTATATGGAATTAGTGTAATTGTTGAAGGTAATAATATAGAAAATATTGAAATTATTAATTTTGGATAGTTTGATTTGGAATGACAATAATAAAATAATTAAAGTGTTTGTTTGAATATTGACGAGTTGATATTTTTTTATGTAAAATTTTTTGTATGCTTTTTTTTTTTAATATTCCAATATTTTGCAGGTAAGTAGTGTGTCTCTAATGAAATCTAATAATATAATTAGGGAATGTTAAAAAAGTGTACAGACAATCCAAAAATAGCAGAAACTTTAAAATAACTGGTTTAAGAACGAGGACAGAAAAGATGGCCAGAAATTGCTAAGGTGTTGGAATCAATGTATGATATAAAAATTGAAATTCCATTTACTTTGAAGGCAATCTATTAAGATATAATGAATCCAAGACCTGGTTTGAACACTGAACAATTAAAATTATTGGTCACTACAGCCATGAAATACAGATCAGTAATTAGATTGGCATTGCCAGAGTTCTAGAAAGTATCAGGAATAGGGTTATACATATAGTTATGATTTTTAGTATTTCGAGACACAAATTTGTAAGCAGATTATACAGATTTTATAAGAACACAATTTTAGCAGGAATTCAGATTTTCATAAGAAATAAAATGGATTACCGAAAAAGATTAGCTAAATTCCCAGGATAATCAATTGGAAGGATATTATAGTGTAAGGAATTGACAGGAGAGGATGATTTCACATAAAGATTAAAATTAATGGCAGATCAATTGGAGATACTATTAAATTGTTATTTATCATTGGAAGATGAGAGGGACTACTCTTTATTGTATGATATACTAACACCAAAAATGAATAAGAAGACGTTTTTCTTATTATTGAATTGCATTTCATTCATGGATGATTTGAGATGCATTTAATAAAATGTGATCAAATCGGATGAGGAATTGATGCCTGATTACTGGTTATAACCAACGATTAAGGAGAATAAGGAACTATTGGTGTATAAAAAATTGTTTTTGGATGATATGGATTACAAATTCAGAATGTATACTGATTCATAAGATGTTTAAACGGAGATCGACTTCAAATTCTTTTTAAATAATGCTTACATGAAACCAAAGTCTGTTGTAACTTAAAGAACAGCAAAATTAAAAACTGTAAGAGGGAAGATCACAGTAAATGATAAAAAATATCCAAGTGACAAAACTATCATCTTTGATTAACCAGAAGAGGAGAGTGAGTAAGAAGGTTATGAGATAGATTTTAAAAAGCATAGATTATTGAATAAGGAATGATATTATATATAATTATGTCCAGCTATTATAGGAATTTACAAATTCCATAACTTGATTTCAAATCATTATATTGTTTCTATAAAATTATTATTGGAGTAGTGTATAAAGCAAAACAAAATTTAGAATCTTGTATTATTAATATTTAAAAAATTAACATGTTCGGCTTTGCTAAAAAGGGTGGAGGTGATAAAAAAAATTAAGCAGCACCTGTTCCAGATGCTAAATTAAAATATGAAAAGACTCTGCATGATCTGAGATCCAGAAAAGATTAAATCCAAGACAATATTGATAGGATCGACTCAAAGGTAGCAAATTTGGATCAGGAAATAAGATCTTTACTTAGTTAGGGAAAAAAATAATAAGCCAGGAATAAAGTTACAGGTATAGAATTCACATAAGTATTGTAGAAATGAAATCTTTACAAAAATAAATTGAGCAAATGTAAACCAAGTTCAATGTTCTCACTCAAATGACAATCCAAATAGAAACATTAGAATAAGATTAAGGCATAGCTGATGCAGTTTTTAATGCAGCTGAATTAGGAAAAATGCAATAAGAGACCAATGATAAGTTATAAGATGCTATGATGGATTGGAAGTATTTATTAACTTTATTTATAGTGAATTTTAAACATCTTAATAAGAAACTTCTGAATTATGGAAATAAATGTCAAACATGGGAGTCGATAATGAAGAAATTGATGCAGAATTTGAGAAATACATGCAAGAAGATGATTAATAAAAAGCATTAAACTTGTAGAAATAACTCAATACTGTTCCTTCCAATTAAATTCCTGCATAATAATAAAGTTATTAACAAAAAAATTAAAATAATATGGACAAATAGTTAGCAGAATTATTAGATTGATTATTATCAACATTTAAGTAAATAAAATATTTTTTTTTAATCCCCTCTAAATTTACATCGATTATTGAATCAATATGATAATAAAAGTCATTAATACTAGTAAAAGTTATTCCTAAGAACTTTAAAACCATTTATTTAAAAATTCTACCTGAAAATTTAAACTTAAATGTCCTCATATCATCATTATATTACTATAATGATTCAACTTAAAAGTTAAATCGTAATCCAAAATAAAATTAAAGAGTTTAATCGAATTGGTATGTTCAAAAATCATTTATGATCCAACACTCAATTAATTTATAAAATGCATCCTATTCTTATAATTCACTTTAAACCTATTTTTTTGAATGCGAAAAACAGTAATTTTTGGAATTCTAACCTCACTTTTACTAAATAAAAGGATGATTGTCTCATAGAATTATTTTCCCTCATAAATTTTATCTAATAAATAATATATTCAATAAGGAGACATTGAAAATTATTGAATAATAATGAATTAATTACTACTCAAAAATATAACAAAGTGCAGATAACCATGCATAAGAAAACAAAATAGTTCTAGAAAATTGTCTACTTTAAATTAAATAAGAATTATAATATAAAACATTTTACATGAATTTCAAAAATCTTAGTTTTATTCTACTTGCTTTTATTCTTCCTCTTCTTAAACTTCCTCTCGATTTGGAATATCTTAGACATTCAATTACTTTTGCAATTCTTATAAGACAAGAGAAGGTGGAAAAGGAGCACATCCTTCCATTGTTAGTCTATTAAATAAAAATTATTAAATAAATCTTACTTAGCAGGAGGAGTTTAAAGATATGGTTATTCCCTAGAATCAACACTGGGCTCTAATTAATCCTAGTAATTAGAAATTGTTTTAAAATCTATTCGATCTATAAAAGGTCTAAAAACTATTCCTTTTTCCAATTATTCGATAGTCTTAAATAATTAATGATTCATACTGCTGTTTATAATGAAAATCTATCTTAAAATAAAAAGTAAATAATGGCAATTATGAATGAACTTACAAAGGTCAAAGATTATTAAATTAATGTAAAGAGAATGACAAACACAATAGGGTAATATTTATTTTTTATTTACATTGGAAAAATCAGGAATTGACTTTATCCATTTGGCATCATTAGACATCTTGAGATAATATATTTGAAAAATACTCTTGAATTAGAAAGAATATGGTAAAGTTCCATAGACTATATGCTGGAGTTTCATAGAATGGAGGATATAAATAGGAAAGGGTAAATTACAAAATAAGGCATAATGACTAAAATGATATTTTCGTATACTTAAGTGATAAAGCCTAGGATAGTAATGATGATAATGAATGTGGCTGTGCCATGCTTTGTTTCAAAATCTTTTAATTTACTATGAATGCATATGATAGCTAATATCAAATCAATACTGTAATCTAGAGAATATATTAATTTGTATATATACAATGAACAAAGTTTGCAAAAAATAATCTTTAGATTTAAATAGGTAATGTTGAACAAGGGGAATTACTGAAGATGTTAAAAGCAAAATGAGTAACTAAATCAATTAATCCAAGAATTATTGAAAAGGTTAAGATAACTTTTGTTCCAAATAGATGTGATTACCACCATGTTTGAAGGAAGGAAATTAATCCTGGCTACCTATGTACATTATCCATTTATTATCGATTCATTATATTAATTTTTATATATTCTAATAATTAATCACTTGAATACAACTGCATAAGTGTTGTTTTATTAAGTGAATTCAATATTGAATGACGATGCATCTTACCAGCTACTCAGTTTCAACTGTTTAATCTACTCAGTTGTGAGTACTTTTAATTATTATATGTCTGCTACATTAACAAATGTAATTGGCCTCATAGTATTTCTATTCTGTTATTTGCTCAAATCCTTGCTCCATTTATTAGGCTAAGTGCCATTATACTTCCAAGCTAAGATAGTCAACTTATTATCAGACACATAAGTAAACTCCTCAACTTGTCCATTCTATTTTCTTTAGCCCTTGCTGATTGCCTCTTTAGTATATAATTAAGCCAATAGATTAGGTTGTTGTCTATAATCAATTCTACTAATTTCAACAGATTAAGTTCCATAGAAAGTCAATGTGCTATCATATAATTGTTCAGTTAAGAAATCCAAAAGGATTACTACAGTATATTTACCCTTTTACAAATTAACATTAACACTTAATGTTTTATATTGCCCATAATCCTAAGCAATCAAGTATTGTTATTCATCAAATACTAACAATCTAGCATAACAATAATCGTATTTTTTGGATATGTTATTTCTAAAATATCTTTCATCTCTTTAATGTAACCTGAAGGTGGCTACAGTATCTGAACGTGCATTAACATTAAAAGATGTATAAGCATCACTGTTGGCTTTCAAATTATAACTGGTATGGTAATTGTTAGGAACACATTTAGCGATTGTGATTTATTTACCAATGAGACTCTTTATGGGAACTTTGAATTCCCCTTCTGGTTAAGCAGTACTTGGTTAATTCTTGACCCAACCCCAAGGATTACGTAGAGTTACATCTTTACCATCTGAATTTAAGAATGTGAAAATTCCATCTGTTAAATGCACAAGGGCAACATCATTCTAAGTCAAGGATTTTAGAACATTTTCACTAATTTATTCAACAGTAGTTGGTGCTCCTGTTGTTTCTTACAGAAAATCAGCGACTGTAGCATTTACAGATGCATCCTCATAACTTCCATATTCTTTGGCAAATGCCTTCTCAATTAGGAATGGCCATATTTCTGATTGATAGCCAGGATTAGATTTTTGTAATGATCTAAATAATTACTAATGATGATTACTTTAATTTATTATTATCAATGGTAGTCCTTGCTCCAACAGGTTCTCCTTTAAAGTAGCCAAGCAAATCATCAACTAAGATATATTTCCATACTCCCCCAATGCAGAGACGAGCATAATAAAATCCAAATTCGTTGATAACTTGATCTTCTAAAATTTAAGTTATTAATTTTGGTTATTCAGCAATAGCAGCCAATACTTACATTAGAGTACTTGATTATTACCCAGGGACGATATCATTAGGATCAACTACTTAATGAGTATCTTATTCTCTTCCAAGATTGAATCTCTTAAAATCAACTTGGCCATGACCAAATACTTGAAATACTTATAAATCATTAGGAGGAAATGTTTGATCTGTATATTGTTTTTGTGGTGCAAATTTCAATGATAGTTTCTTGCTTACTTCGATATTATTCTTGGGTTCTAAAGCTTTAATTCTATCATCTGGCATTGTTTTGACATTCTTAGCTAGATCCTTAACCGCTTAAGTATTCTTTCCTCTCCTAACGAATGTTGGTCTGTTTTCAGATACTTGTGGTCCTTTTTGTTATTCTTGATCATCTTAATCAATTCTATTTTATTAGGGTTGTTGTTGTGGTTGAGTTTGCTACTAGTTTCCCTTATTGGGTGTATCAGTTTTAGAAGGCTACTCAACTTTTGGAGGTGGTTGAACCTTACTTGGCTACTCTGGAGGAGGTGGTTGATTCTTTGGATCATCTTTTTTAGCTGAAGGCTTATTTTATATTGATTGTGCAGGATCTACTATTTCCTTTGGTGCAGGAGCAGGAGTTTACTTTTGATTCTACTATGTCTTGTTTGTTACTGGGGTTTATGTTTAGGAGGGTTATTATTAGGGTGTTTTTGTTTGTTAAGGAGTTGTTGTTTATTGTGGAGTCTTTGTTTATTGTGGGGTTTGTGATTATTATGGAGTTTATTGTTATTATGGAGTTTTTTATTATTATGGGGTTTATGATTACTATGATGGTTGAGGTTAAGCTTGGGGTGTTTTAGTTTGTGATTGTTATTATGCAGGAGTCTTTTGTTATTGTTATTATTACTTAGGATCTGGAGTTTAGAATGGCTGAGTCGTGTTGGGTTTTGCAGGAGTCTATTATGATTACTTTTATTGTTATTATTATTATGGTGTGCCCTTGTTTCCTGTGTTATTTTGGGTTTATGTTTGTCCTTTCTTTGGATCTGTGTTTGATATTTCTTGATCACTCTTTTTGCTTGTACTTTATGGAGGAGGTGTGCTAGGTATGATGGAGCTATTGTTGGACTTAGATATTATTAAAGGATATTACTTTATCCATTTTGGAATCATTTCTACTCTTCTTTCTCAATAGACTGTCTAGGAAATCAGGATCACTGTTTTGATTTTTGAATTTTTCGTCATCATCATCAACTTTGCTTTTTGCAAAACTAGAGATGCCAAAATCATCGTCTTCATCATCTTAAATGTCACGAGCCCTACCAGTTAACTACCTCATGTTGGGTCGACGGTTAATTAGCTAACTTGTCTAATACATAATAAAATTTAATTATGCTTTTCTAAGATTGGATTTTGATATTATTTGCTCAATACAGCTTGTGAAATTCAAATAGGAGAGCATATTTTATATTTTATGGGTTCTAAAACACATTAATAGATTCAGTCATCTATTCACAATGATTAGAGATATCAATATAAACGATTATGAAATGTGTATAATTTATTATATATTAAAGTATCAAGATTTTTTCATAAATTAAGTAATTTATTAAATTACCTATTGTGATTAAGGTTTGTTATTTTAACTTTTATACCTTCTTTTTTTAGGATTCATTTCTTTATCTAAATTTTCAGCCACATGAAAATCATTATGTTCATCCTTAAGCGTCTTCAGAATCTCCTGTTTACAGATTTCACAATTGTAATAATCTTAAGGAGCCAGCTCTTTCTCTACTTCCTCAATAAATTTAGACATCTTTTCTTATTCTTAACTTTCTATCACCTTTTTAAAATAACTAGTTATTGGATTTTAAATACCCTAAGACATGGGTTTAAAGTATCTACAACTTAATCCAATATTAATCAATGGAAAGAGTTCACTATCCTAAATTGAATTTAAAATGGAACTCACTCTATCCTCAATCTACAATCTGAAACTATCTATTGGAAGAGTTAAGTAAACAGGTTCACTTTTTTGATGTGACCCTCTCTCTACATTATGATAATGAAGAACTACTACTGATGGTACAAGATTTGAATCCTCATAGTAATCAGTCACTCTCATTGTAAGATCGTGTATTATTAGTTCCAAGGATTGATTAATCGTATCCCTTGAGAATGTCTTTTTGATATTCTTTAGAGACAGAATGGATTTATGTTTGCGTTCAGAATCTTTCTTGACTTCTTCATTGTCATACCCTCTTAATTTATCATATACATATTGAGCCTTGTCTGCAAACAACATTTCTAATTAAGATAGAGATAGTTGCTAAGCCTAACCGATAGTTTAGATTTCACTCTTAACAAAGGAATGTTTAATTTTTCCACCGAAACCTCTTATTTTCTTGATATTGAATTACGCAATGCACTCTGGTAACATACATTCTAAAATGATTGTTTATTTATTTGGTTTATTTGTAGATGATGCAAGTTTAGACAGCATTTTATTAAATGAGATTCCCGCACTGCATTTATATTGAGTTTCTTTATAGACGGCATCTCTAATTTATTAACAAAGTATTGAAGCCTTCATTATTTGGATATCCTATTCAGTTAGTTAATAATCAGAAGGTATGGCACACATTAGATTACCAATAAATTCATGAGGTTCAATTTTTTCTAACTCATTTTCACTTACTTATATGTAACATTCATCAGTACCGCCTTTTTCAACACAACCACAAAATTACTTAATAATTGCAAATATCAATTTACTTTCTTCTCTATAATATTTCAGACTAATTTTTTCTTCGATTTTATTGTGTTAAGTGAATTTGTCTTAGATTGTTGAAAAGATCATTTTCCCTTCTGAAATCTTGAAAGTTTCAACATGAGGTAAAAATACTTCTGGACATAATTTTAATGCTTCATCAGCTAACATGCCTCTTTTGATACCTGCAGCCCTGGCAGGATAATTGATTGCTATTAAAGAATTCCATTATCTCGCACAAACAGGTTGATCATCTGGTATTTTCAATAATTTCTATTCCGCTTAAGCATAATATGCATCCATGTCTATATGAATGTATATTTCAAGCAATAAATTCATTAAATATTTTATTGTATAAATTGAGAAGTTCTGAAATTTGCTTTTCAAATTAATTTATTTTGTGAATATATTAATTCTGACTCTGCACATATAGAGTTTTTCATCCTAGAACTTTGCGATTGGAATGCAATTACCTTTAATAATTGAATAAAATGAAAAAGCAACATAAATAGATGTTATTTTATTATTAATAAAAATGGGCTCATATATTTCAAGGCTTTGTAAATGTTTTGGAGAAAAAGGATCCAAAGTTTATTAATAACAAAACTCAGGAACTGTTTCATAACACAGATCTAAAATATTAATATAGAATAACTCTGATGGTTATGATTCAGAGACTGAGTAACATGTTCATCATGTTGAGTCACTTGTAAAAATTTAATGGAAGAAAGGAGAATTGATTGGACAAGGGTCTTTTGGACGAGTTTATAAATGTATGGATATCAAGACTGGAAGAATATTAGCTGTAAAACAAATTGAATTGGGCTATGTCGAGAAAGAAAGCTTAGAGTCGTTTCATCAGGAGATCAAAATACTTTAACAATTGAAGCACAAAAACATAGTGGAATACTATGGGTGTGACGAGGATAATAATCATTTGAGCATCTTATTAGAATTTGTAGGAGGTACCAGTGTGCATTATCAAATCAGGTGGCTCTATTGCATAAATGATGAAGAAATTCAAATCCAATCTTAAAGAACCAGTTATTTAGAAGTATGTAACAGATATACTCCATGGTCTCGTTTATCTACATAAAAAGGGAATCATCCATAGAGACATTAAAGGCGCAAATATCATTGTTGATACCAAAGGAGTCTGCAAACTAGCAGATTTTGGATGCAGTATCATAGGCTTGAATGCCTATTCATTGAAGGGGACTCCCAACTGGATGGCTCCAGAAGTAATAAATGGCTAAGAAACAGGAAGATATTCAGATATTTGGAGTCTGGGATGTACCATCATAGAAATGCTAACTGGTTAGCCTCCTTGGGGAAGATTTCAATCTCCAATGCAGGCCTTGCTAACCATATCCTCCAAATAAAGCTCACCACCAATTCCAACTAACATATCATCAAATTTACAGGACTTCTTAGATAAGTGCCTTCAATTTGACCATAAAAAAAGATGGAAAGCTAAATAATTATTATAACATCCCTTTATAGTTCCTATGCCAAAAAAAGCATCTAAGACCGAATACTTTCTACCTCAATGGAAACCGACAGAGGAATAGTAAAATTTCGATCTTCATGTGGCTCCCTAATTAGAAGATATTAAAAAGTTCGATAAAGAATCTTAGCCCATGATTCTTTCTAGAGCTAGCTATGAAAAACGGCCTTCATATTGATCTTTCAATTAGTTGACATTTAAATACTATTGTAAATACTCAAATATATAGTTTAAATTTATTTATATAAGTAAATTGAATCTATTTTATTCTTAATCAACTCTTAAGATTAAGTCATCTCAAAGTAATCGAGAAAAATTATTATAATAAATTTAATTTATGATATATGTTCAAAAGTATTCTTTTTTTCATTATTTACAATATTTATTTGCTTTTAGCTTTTGTAGATTGCGTTTTACCTACAATGTAAAAATTCACATTTACATTCATTGTCATTGCATGCATTGTTCCTAAATGGATGTCTAATATAGTAATAGCAAACATGTAACAATTCTCAGCAGCAAATAAATTGCCATTCTAATGCAAAGCACATCCTAAATTGTTTAATGTTATGGCATTCTCTATATTCTCATCACCTATTGAGCTTTCTCTTATCATTCTTGCTTTCATAAATGCTCTTACTGCCCAATTCATATTCTTGCATATGGTACAATACTGAACCAATGCCACAATAAGGTCTAAGATTAAATGAATTATTTATACAAGGCTTTATCTGGATGATCTGCTTATAATTTATCAGCGTGGAATTTTACTCTTAGAAATTTATTTAATGCTGCTTCATCCTATCCAGCTATCTCATATATTTAACCACCAAAGTACTCGAAAAATACCATCTCTGCATCATGCAATTCAGTTAGAGACTACCATAATTCTTAGGCTGAATTCAAATTTTGCATTGCTAAGAAATAATTTTATTATGTAAACGACATCAACGAAGCTTCTATCATTGTTCTAACCAACTAAGGCGGATCATGTGGATACAGACATTCTGGTAACATAACTGGAGCAACTGTTATATGACTTAAAGTGCTTAATTCATTTAAGTCTCTAAGGGGATTTGTTTACTTGGTTTTTTTCACAAAATCAATAAAGTATTAATAGGTACATATTCTAGGTGGTTATACTAAAGGTTCCCATTCTAATGTTTTAATAATTATTCAATACAATATTTCATTGGTTATTCTCCTTTTTTCAGTTACTATTTGGGTTAAGGCTTATTTTTATTTTTTTTGTCTTCCTCCAATTTTCTTGCCAATTCTTCTCTCTTTTCCTTTTCCTTAATTGATTTCACAAAGTCTTATGCCAAATCAACCTATGACTTTAATTCAGGGAAGGGTGGTAAGTCTTACTAAAAAAATTGCCAAATTTCTTTAATATCCAATTGATCTGGTTTACGAGTAAGAAACAAGTAATTCTATTATTTCATATCTTATTCTTCAGATTAAGGATTGCCTTATTCTTAAAGGATATCATCGGTTTTATCTAGCATTTCATAATATTTTTTAATTAAAGCCAAATGTTTTGTTTTATCTTCATGAATTCTATTACCATTTTATTACAAATCAATCATTTTGGTAAAGAACTTTATAATCAATGGAGAAATCTCCTTCTTTGAATCCTATTAAACTTCTCTGTTAGTTATTTCAGCACCCATTTTACATAATAAGAATTGAAATTCCAAATAAGAAATTTTAGGATCTCCAGAATAATGTTATGGTTTGAATTTTCCACTATTTATCATTTCACATAATTGTTAAATAACATTGGATTAATAAAATTAGTTCTCTTTAGGAGTGATTGCAGGTATTATTCTCATACATACATCTTCAATATTTTCATAATTATAATGAACAGGATGAATATTCATATCTTATAGCATCTGAATAAATGAGAATATAGGAATTTTGAGATTCATTAATTTAATTTCTTTCCAAGTAAGCATGAGTTCATTTTTATAATAGTTTTCTGGTAAATACATAGTAAACAATGCTTAAATATCTTCTTCATATGCAATTATGGTCTTAATAACCTATTCGTGAAGTAACTTCCGATTTGGATCATCAAGTATCAACATTCTGATTTATGTTTTCTTTTTATTATCAATGAATATATCTTTAAGGATCAGATCTAAATATTTCTTTTATCCTTGATGTAGAGCCTTTCCTAGTGCATCTACGATCCTCAAGAATTTAGTTCTGCTAAATTTAGGTGTATCATCCTTGATGATATTTATGGGCTCTTTTGTTCCTTTCTTTGGGGCTTGAGTAACTTTTTAGACTATCTCTTCTAAAGCGAAGTATTCTTAGTATAAATTCAAGTAGAAAGTAAAGTTGAACTTTGCAGTTATCAATTCTCTTTCCAAAAGGAATGTCATAAACTCATGAAATTTCATGTTATTGCTTTCAGCCTTACAAATAACTTGATTAAACAAATCATCTAATCGTTTTTAGTCTTCTAAACTCATTCCCACCACTATTTGTTATTCTTACATTATAATAATAATGTAATAATTAAGCGCTTATGCCTTGTAATTCAATTGAATCTATATATCAGACTATAAGAGTTTGAGAAGCAAAGAGACCTAGAAATACTATCGATTAAGAACGAATTCTAAAAAGTTTCAACCTATATACTTGAAGTGCATGCTAACGAATCCAATATGAACAATTCAGCATTACTTAAAAATTCCTTTTTTTAAGATCATCTGTTGACTGAAAACTCATTCCTCCAAATTATCAATAAAGGGGTAGTAGACACCTAAATTGGTAAACCTTCATTATATTATAGCTACCATGGGATCTCCATTAGCGCCGACATTGAATGAGCATAATTTAAAAAGTCAAGACGATGTTTATAAATTCATAGTCAGAAAATTAGATAACACTTTCATTGTCCAAGAGATCAGACACAATTCTTTTACAGCTAGTGTAAGTTATTGTGACATCTTAAAATCATTTATTATTTCATCCAGTGGATAAACAATTATATGTGAGGACAGGAATGATGTTTCTAAGTACAATTAAATAAAAGGGTTCGAAAGGGCTTGTAAAGTAGCTATATCATTCTTTGATGCTTATCATAAAATGAATCATAATCAGCAGATCAATTTTGCCAATGATCTAATACATAGAAGTCTAGTTGGATGTAGAAACAAATAAAATATTATTGAATGGTATTCAATAATGGAACATTACAATTCTTAAAGGATGTTACCACCATATGTAGTTAACAATTTTTTGAATCACTACAATTTGGAAACTGCTAAATCTTATGAACAACAAACCACTCTAAAGAATTTCCCATAAATATATGACTCAATTTATAACGAACTCATAGATTAATACCATGATTATTTTAAAGGAAAAACTATTTATTTTTGGAAAGATGATAAATACTTAGGGAATTGTTACATTCCTTCCAAACATTTCGAAGTTTTAAGATAAATCAAAATCTACGTAAACAATTAGAATTCAAACTTTTTTGAGGATAACCCTCCAAAATTTCTCTCATAATATAATTTAAATTAATAAGAATACAAGTTTTATTTTAAATGCATAAAGCTGATGTTTAGTATTCCCTTTAATGCAAGAGTTGACTATAGTTTCATTAATTTGTCTACTACTGTTTTCAACTGTGTTCATAAAAGGATAACTAGAATACCAAAAAGATAAGATTATCAATACACTCTTGCCTAGTGTTTGTAAACCAAAACTACTATTGCAGTTTTGATTCCAGTCGGTATCAATGGAATGGGTTATGGTAAGATCTGTTAAACGATAATGGCAACTTATGAAGGAGTTAAAATAGTAAGTAAAATTGATCAGGTTAATGATAATCATCAACTTTATTTGTTTGATCAAGTATGTTCTCTTAAATAATTGAAATAAACTCATGACTCATTAAAGAAACTGCCATATGAGATTAGAAGTATTGCTCTATATCCAGAATGCTCACATGGCTATTTATCAGAAAATCAATTTAGATTTCCATTCTCTTTCAAATTTATTATGTTTTGCTTATTGTCTGTGTTGGATCATAGAGATCAAGTAAATCAAATAATAAAGTAATTAAAAGAATTTGAGAATCAGAGACTTAAAAATCTTCCATCTGATTATTAAATTGGTTGTCATTACATCCCAGAATCAAAGGAGACTAATGATCTTTATAGCGAGATAGTGGAGTAGGATTTCAAAGCAGCCTTTTCATTCAATAATGAGTAATTGATAGAGAGTTTATCCTTATACAAAGACTCTGTAGGAAATATCTCTCAAACACACTTTTTGGATCAAGCCAGGAATATAATTAATGTAGTTGAGGAGAAAGTTTAAATTTGTTTAACGAGAAAGCCATAATAATTGTAAAATAAAACAAATAAAAAATATAATCGGGAATATGGATTGTTTATTTAAAATCCGAATTGGGATGATATAGATAATTTCATTTTGGATGGTCTTGAGATCATTTTAAAGTAATACCCAAAAGATTCCAATGTTAATTTAATGTATCAATAATTAGAAACCTAATTATTTAAAAAAAGCAACCTATAGACTTATTTCAAAGAAAATAATCCTTACATGTTATCAAGAAAAACTGACAAAAAACACTGGCATGCATAAGTGGAAGTAGTAGTGATCGTTGTTGATGGAATCGTAATTTTATATCCAGAGGACTTAGGGTTAAATCAAATATAAGATATTCCAATTTATTCTAGTAAGATTGAAGTGACAAAATCAAATAGGATTGCTAAATTGGTAAAGCGGGATGTGGAAAAGTTGTATGACAAGAAAATAAAGGAGGAAACGTTTTCTGAATTGGAAATAAAGATCGACTATTCAATGTGGAAGGTATTCTTGGTGAAATTGAAGCCAATCAAGATTAATTTAGTTGAGGATTTAGTTGATTGATATTTTTATTATTTAATTTTTATTAAATGGGTTCTGAAAAGTAAATAATTGTTTTCATATAAGACACAAGAAGGAAAAGAAAGAGAAGAAGGAGAAGAAGGAAAAGAAAGAGAAAAAAGAAAAGAAAGAGAAGAAGGAAAAAAAGGAAAAGAAAGTAATTGCATCTTAATTAATGAAAATAGGAATCAGATGCTGGCAAAAAGAGATCAAGAAATGTGAGCAAGGAGAAAGATAAAAAGAGGGAGGAATTTTAAAAACCTAAGGCACCAACTAAAGCAAATGCAGAATAATCAAGGGGGTAATTTTGAATCAAATATATTGGAAGATTTCGTTTCGATTCTCCACCTAAGGATCCATTATAGAACACTCCTTTTTCAAATTTTAAGAGCAAACTAATAGATCAAGTGTCTTTGGGAGAGTTTGAGAGTACTAAGTTGTTATGAATTAAGCCATACTTCCTGCGAATCCTCTTTAGAATCCATTGGCTTCATTGGAAGCTCTTTAAGCAATGACACCATTAATTTAGATGCAAAGATTACAATAATTGAGAGCTTAGGCAGATGTAAAGGCTGATAGAAAACTCTATGTTGGAAATTTGCCACCAAATAGTCAACCAAAAGAGGTAGAAATGGTTATGGATATATTAAATTAGCTTTAAGATTTCTTGAATTAGACGTTATTAAAGATGGGAGTAAGTTCTGAACATGCAGGTTCTATTTGCAATTGCTGGATAGATTCGAATGGTTAGATTTTGAGATTAATTTATTTAGGACATTTTGGTTTTATTGAGTTCAGATCTCCTGAAGAAGCAACACAAGGTTTTATATTGAAGGATGTGATTTTTAAAGGGCATCAATTGAAAATTGGTAGACCAAAGTCATTTTTGACTTCTTTAGCAGCTGTAAACTAATAAATGATGAGTGAATAAGCATGTAATTATGTATTGTGAAGTTAAGTTAATCCTTTGAGTAGCATGAAAGGAAATGATAAGGATCCATCTTCACTTATTAGTTTCAGACCACTTAAGTTGATGGCCAGATATGTGTAAATACCTACTAATATTTTAGTTATCAAAAATGTCCTTACTCTTGAAGATGTTTAATATTTATACAAATATATAGGTTACGATAGATGAAGAATTTAATGATATAATGGAAGACATAAGAGAAGAATGCTCTAAATTTGGAACTGTGAAAAATGTGATCATTCCAAGACCTGAATTTGGTAAAATAATTGTAGGAGTGGGCAAAATCTTTGTGGAATATGAGAAGACCTAAGAAGCTAGAACTGCCAGAAGATATTTGGCAGGTAGAATGTACGGTGATAAAACTGTTGAATGTGAATATCTATCAAGGGAGAAGTGGGCGAAAAGATAATTTACAGATCTTAATGAAGATATCCTTAGGGATAGAGAAGAACAATAAAGATTGGATCAATTGGAATAAGAAAGAATAAAAAAGTAAATGCAAGAGGAAATGCTTCAAGGGAATTGATTTATATATACAGACAAAAATGTTAATATTAAGTTTTATATAAATTACTAATGTTGTGAAAAACAATCAAATTTCAAATACACAAAATTTATTCATTTGCTTTCTGCTTTCATTTTCTTTTATTATTTATCTTCTCTATTTTCTTCGTACTATTTGGACTACTCCATAAAGTTAAGCAGCATTAAACCACCAAGGACAATTAGAGAAGCAACTGCAATCAATACTGCAAGGAACAAAGTATGAATCAATTTGAATTCTTGCTCATTTTACTATTGATAATTAATGGAGTAAGTGTACTTTGAATGGGAAAAGCCAAGTTATATCACCCAAATAATTGTTAATTAATGATTGTTTGTTTGTTGCCATGTTGTATAAGATGTGAATTCCTTTAGCCAGAATGCTGGCCATAAATATGTAAAGTGGAGTAATGAACACCAATAGCCATACAAACATAACCTATTAGGAAATGAAAGAATATATTTATCCTATATTCATCGATTATTATTTTATAAATTAATTGTCAAGTACTTATTTATCATGTCACTGAGTTTTGGAGTGTATAAAATCAACAAAAGCTTTAAATTGGTTTTAAAGGTTTGCAAATGCAGGATTATCAATCACCGGTTTCAACACAGTCTCATCATATAATCCAAGTATTGGGTATTTATCAGTAACCTAAAATTTTGGATCACTTTGATTTATTGCTTATTTGACATCAGCCACATTACGCTTAGTGAAATCCAAATATGGAACTTGGTCAACCTGATTTTAGTAATAAAAAATTGTGTACATTAAATTTCATGTTTTTTGAAAGGATTTGCAGATTCTTGAATCTGTCTACAAACAAATATTATAGAAGAGAAACTAATAGTTTTAAGGGTTCTGCGAATGGCTTAAGCAAATCTTACCAACCACTTATTGAGAACATTTGTTCATATAAAAGTAATTGTATATAAGCATATTCCAAAAAGGCCATTTTTTATTGTTCAGCAGAAGTAGATCTAAAATATAAAATAGTATAATACTTTAATTTTCTTTTGTAATCTAATTTTAATCTCTGGGTCACAAAAGCTGAATGTGCTGGAAATAAATAACCTCCATCTGTAGTGAATCCTTTAATGTATGACAAATGCTTTTGATCAAATTTAATATTTTGGGTTATAATGATTAATTGTTTAACAAAGGTCTCTGCTGCTTAGATTAAATTAGTTATACGAGTAGGGACATCTTTTTTTTCTGTGAAAACCCAAGATTTTTTGAATATGGAAATCTTTTGACCTTCCTTAACAAACATTGCTATGGCATTGGTGTATAACTAATATAATCAATAGCTAATTACAAATTAATCATCGTATAGACCTACTTCATCATTAAATCTTTTGATTGCCTTTTTCTCCAAAATTTAATAATATTTATTTTTATAAAATATAACCATCCAAGCGCAGTATTTAAACTTTTTCCTTAATAATCTTAATCTTTCTGGAGTAGGCCTTACTTTAATAGGTTGAAGTTTAACCTTTGAAGTCTAATTTAGCAATGATTGCTACTATTCTTAAGGTTTAATTGTCTATTTCTTTGTATTCTTCTTTTTCATCTGTTCTGGTGATTCCTCCTCATATCTAGAACTTTTACTATACAGAAAATCAGAAGCATCCTCTTAAGATCTGTGTTTGAGTTTTACATTCCTTCTAGATTTCTGTTTTTAGTAATGTTCATTATCTGGATCATTCGATTAATTTTTTAACAATTGCAACATTATCTGATTTAATTGTTCCTCTTCCTTTTTCTTAGCAAGGCCTTTCAATATTTTACTAAAACTTCTATCTTCCTTCTAAGGTTGTTGGAAAGGAACGTTTTGAAATGGATAATATTGATAGTAAGGATTTTGATTCGGCAATGGGTAGGGCATACCCATTTAATTATATGGTTAATGATAACTGAAGGGATATTACTATTGAGGCAAAAATGGAGGCAGGAAAGGGGCTTGAGGTAGTCTGGGACCACTTTCAATTTATTTAAGTTGCTTCTTTAGATGCTTTATTTCATCAAGCAATTAACTATTTACTCGCTCACTTTCTATTGTGTGTTTATATCTATCTTGAGATAAATATATTTATTATTGTGAGTTTGAAACAACTTTCATTAATGCTTCCACCTACTACTACTATTCATTTAGTCTTTTTTATAACCTATCTATTTCACTTGCATCCTCCTCTGTTTCCTTAGCAAATTGATCAAGAGGATTTAAAGGCTTCATATTTCCAAAGTTTCCTTTAAGTTAAGGGATATTTAGATTCATTATAATTAAATTTGTAAAATACAGTTCAATTAGAAATCTAAATTGCCATCAAAACAATTTGAAGTCAATATACTGTTTATAATATCAAATAAATGGCCAAACATTTCTAATTTAATAAGTATCAGCATTATTCAGACTACTCCTTCAAAATATATTATCTGCTCTCGACTACAAATGATTAACAATGAATACTTTAAAATAGTCATAATTATATTACCTTTGATAATGTAGAGTCATTTAAATGAAAAAAACTCAATTTATTAGTATGATAGGAATAATGGGAGGATTTTGTAACTGACATTCCATTATATATTTTGCTGAAAAGGAATCGATTTTTTATTAATTCAATGCTTTCTTCTGATCATGACACTCTTAATACTTAAGACAAGTTGAAATATGCCTCTTCTAATCATTCTCTGCATTTGGTTCATTTAAAAGCAATAGTATTCTTATTAAGTAATGGATTCTTTTATGATCATAAAATGCTCAAAATCTCCACCTCCAAAATAAAATAATTATAATTACAGCTATTAGTTATAAAGAAGGTTTGATATCTCTATACCCTAAAAGTTAAATATTAATTTGTTGATATTCTTCTTATATAGTATTTTTTATTCTACTTTTTATGCTTTGAATCTTAGAAATTATGCTATTTTACGCGAAGTTTTTTTAATTTCACTTCTAGGAGTATAATTTATGATCTCTATTTATTGTTTAGAAATCTAATTTTATTTTATTTTAATTGGAGCATTTTAATTATTATGATTATAATTTCTGTCGTTTATTATTTAATCTGATTCAAGTATATTAATCGAGCAACCTTACATTCTTGGCTTTATTTTATTGAAATGAATATTTATTTTATAAATAATTGTCTTATATATAAATAATTTAATCAAATATTGATTGTATATCAACTTATTCTTTATAATTTGATAAATGTATTTTAAGTTGATAATTTAATTTTTATTTGACTTATGACCTCTATCAAAGAGAAGCCACGATATTTAAGTCGTTAAAAAATTCATGAAATATTAACAAATCAGGTTCAAACATTGCCTATACAGCATTGTAGATAAAATTCAGATAACATCAAGTTATTGAAAATAACCGAACAAGACTAAAGAACTCCTTTAATGTCTACAAGGAAAACTATTGATTAAAATGTCACAAGCAAAAATCTCACAAAATTAAAACTATGTCATCATAAACAAGGATCTCTGGATTTTGAACCTTTTTAATTAAATGTAATAAATGTCAATATATGATAGAATGGCACTAAATTTGGCAAATTTACTTAAATTAAAAGTGCAAGATCTAAGAAGATTAATCATTTTGATTTAAGCAAACAAATTAATAACATTAATAATTGCTAACTAGAAAATAAAAATTAAAACATCAAAACTTAATCCTAATTTAAGAATGAATAGATATATGATGAAAACATTTTAGATTTATTGCTCTTAAATACAATGGAATTAAAAGAAATGCTATCAGTAAATAATGAACCAGCTAAAAAAACTCAGAGGATTAAACCAAAAATCACATTTATTACAAATACTAAAGGATTGCCTCATGATTTCTTTTTCCAATAATGACTTATATATTACGAGATTGCATTTTTATTATAAAACACATCTTTTATTACTCTATCACAATTCTGATTATGCTATTCTAAAGGAAATGAATTTATAAAACTGTTAGAGTGGATAATTCAATTAAAATCAAATTGTAGAGCTGATATATTTAGTTCTGATTATATAAATATATCATTCGAGTGGAATAATAATAATTAATTATTTAATATTTTATACAACATTCAGAATGGAACCGTTTGCAATTCTAACAAATATCATCAAACCTGAATACTTGAATTACTATAGAGATTGGATATACATTGCAAGTGAAAAGGAAGCCAGAGGACTTTAATTGATCGGTGCGATTTATAAACATAAAGGAAGAAAACTATTTAGGTTTAATTTCTCCTTATATAATAGAGCTAAGCCTCCCACAGTTCAATTGCAAGAACTTACTGATCAATAGGAGTTAGAGTAATAATTTTGAATGATTATTTAACAGTTTTAAGAAAGCAGAAGAAATGCATAGGAAAAATTAAACTTCTACAACTTATGGAACAGAATTCGGATACTTACAAAAATTATTAAAGCCATAAAATAATGTGTTCAAATTCAAGAAATGCTCAGAACTTGAATTTGCTTAACCACTCAATGATTTAGCAAAATTGTTTTTAGATAATTGGATTGAAATGAATGATGAATTAGAATTTTAAGAATTAGTTTTGAACTGTTTAAGAGCTCTCTTCAGCAGATTTAAAGCATAATTAGTGCCAAAAACAGAAATGAAGTTATTTTATTGTCATTATTTAGAGTAAAATATGAATATAAGCCAGACTGGAAACTTTCAAACCCTATCAGAGTAGATAAGGCAGGAACAGACATCAAGTAATTCATTTGATTTAACGTAAATAGTGCATACAAAACTAATTATAATGCCATTTTCAAATAGAGACTTAAGTAGGAATAGATCAAATAAAAAATAGCAGAACTAGATGGAACCGATTTTGCTAAAGCCTTAACAATACACAAATCATTCAAAATCAATTGATTTAAAATAAATATATTAATGGATTAATATATAGTTTTTATGTGCATCTGTGATGAATCATATTTGGATATTGATTTTCTTCTTTGCTAATTCAGCCTTATATTTATCAGGTATTGTATTATCATTGAGTCCTTTCAATTTCTAATCCTTGATATTCTCTAATAATTTCTTCTCATTAATCATTTTATCTCTAATCTTTTTTCCTTCTTCAAGTCTATGAAATTGATATCAATAAGATACTTATCTCTTTCCTCTTACTTTCTTTTTTCTTCATTCATAGAGATCTATTTTCTCAACTCTTCAGCATGTTTTTTAACCAAATGTTCTTTCTCTTACTATAATCTAAGTTCATTTTCACGCTCTTGCTTTTGCTTTTGAATAACCCTTTGGAATTCATCCCTTTCTAGTCTAGCCTAGATAGAATAATATGTTTAAGTACTTATTCTTCTAACTTTTCTTATTTTTCATTCTATTGAACTTTTCTTGCTTAATATAATTCTGAGTTTAATTTTTATCTGAGTTCTGCTTCTTTTCTTTCTTTTTCTCTGGCAGCTCTTTCATTTTATTCCATGGCTCTTTTGGCTCTTAATAAATCCAATTCAGCTTATCTATCTTAGGCTTTCTCTTGCATTTCTCTTAATCTTTAAACATCTCTTTCTTTTTCTTCTTTGATTCTCCTCTATTCCTCTATGATTTCTGCATCTTTCTATGCCTTTTCTAGATTGTATTTGGCAATTTTTTCTTCTTCTTCCTTCTCTTCCAATCTTCTCTTTTCTTTAACAACAATGGCTTTTGAATTGGCTTCTAAAATTTCATCCTGTAACTTCTTCTACATATGTTTCCTTTATAGATTTTTTTGTTGATCTTCAATTTGAACTTATTTGATTTGCTTGATCATCACTTAGCCTTCTCTCTCCTATTCCTCTTTTTCCTTGAGTCTAATCAACTCTCTCTCTTTAATTTGTTCTACAATAATGCCATGACCTTCTTTCAATTCTTATTTATGAACGACATCTTTTTCTTCATAATATTTAACTGATTTAAGTCTTTCAATTTCCATCATAAGATCTTTTCGTTTCTCTTAATTTTTGAATTCTTCCTTCAATTACTGTTTTTCTTAGAGTTGTTTGTCTCTGATTGTAACACACTTGGCATACATAACCATCTTGTTCATCTCTTTAACGTCATCTAACTGTTCATTCAAAATTTCAGCAGCCTAGATTCAAAAATTGATCAATACCCTTGCATTAAGACTGTCCTTGACTACCTTATCTTCCTGTTGTTGTGCAGTCAAAGGAATTTGCTTCTTTTTTTCTTCTTCCAATTGGATCATTTTCTATTTCTTAGCCTTAGCAGCTGTCATTTGCTTTTCCTTTTGTTCCTCTAAGAGTTTCTTCTAATACAATTATTCATCCTTGGTTTTTACAATAGCATTATTCTAAAGTTTAAGATGAAACAAACTTTCATTCTTTGTAATTCTGCCTCTCCTATTAAAACAACATCTGGATTTGTAGTGTCTCCCTTCCTAACACTCTAAACTACTTTAGCAGTTTTAACATCATTTCTTTTATTGTTTCCTATAAGGTAATTTGAACTAATTTTATACCAAAAAGGGACTCGTCGACTTCGCTCTTTCTACTTTTGCAAGACTGTGGCCTACTCATTTTGCTCTTGGTTATAATAAACATACATATATACCATAGATTTAAAATTTTTGTATAAAATAAATATCAAATAAGTTAGCATACATTGCAACAATTTTAGCGCTATTCTAATTAGAAATTCTAACACAATAAATCGACTAAAATCTCTCAAATAATAAGTATACCTTTCTCTTGAAATATGGTTGTATCTATTTGCTGATGACGGAAATTTTACCATTCACGGATGGTTCCCTTAGCCATGTCTATGATCTGTAGTAAAAGCTAAGCAGATTTCTTTTTTTCCTGTTATTGGAATGCGTCATTAAGCTTTACTGCTTTCCCATCAACTAACATATATTGAGTAATATATTCTTATAGTTCATCGGAACTTTATGCCAACTTTCTCGCTTCATAATGGCTAAATATAATGTGAAATCCATAATGATTACAAGCTTCTCACAGTTATTTCAGCAAGAGGTGGTAGGACATTCAAAAACCTTTGTTCATTGAAATGATCTAAGATAAGTGATAGGTTTGTAATAATTAGTTAAATAAACTGATTCCCTTATTAATCAAAGCTACTAGGATTTCTATCCTGAAACCCCTAACAATTCCAATATTCATTCATTAAATAGATGAATTAATTTAATATCAAATAATAATAAATAAAACTCAATAAGTTTTAATGTTAATGTAATTGAATTAGATTGTCATGAATGAAAAATAAAAAGTTAAATCAAACCATAGAACTCTATCTGAGCATCATTTGAAAATTCTCAGTTGATCTAACAGAATTAATTTGTTTAGTAAATTCAGCCAAAGACCTCTTCTCAGCCTTTTATGGATTGGGTTCAGCCTTGTTTATCAAGCCCTATTGCACATCATATTTTAACTATTTCGACTCTGGAGTAATATAATTATTTTTAGGAGTCACATTCCTCATACATTGAGGACTCACACTATCCTCACTCCTTCCTTAATCCCTGAAGATTCTCTTAGATAATTGAGGTTGCTGCGTCCTTTAAGAATGATCAGAGCGATCCCTTCCTCTTTGGTGTAGTTGAAATTGTTTGAATAATCCAGTGGGAGAATTTGAATCCAACCAATCCAAATGAGAAATCTCCATCACATTGGAATCCCTACAATTTAACACATTGCTGATGCACAACTCCTTCTTTTTAATTTCATCATTTTTAGGCTTAAGAGACACAATGCATCCTCCACCTCCTTATTCAGGTTTATTATTTTCCTTATCCTATTGTGTTCTCTTTTTCTTAGGCTTAACAACAATTGTACTTTCTTACTGTTATTGCAGAGCTTCAAATTGTTATTCCAAATCAGAAAGTTCATTTTCCTACACTTAAGTTTATTCTTAGATCTTGAATTCTAACTATTCCAAATAGTTTTTTAAGTATCGATTCTCCTTTTCCAGTTAGGTTAGAACCGTAGTGTTCCTATTTTTAGATTCTATCAGCTCCTAAGAATATTATTCCAAAGTCTACTATAACTGTTTATACACTAAACTCTACAAGCATAGGACTTTAACTTTACATTCTATTTATTAACATCGTTTTGCATTGAATTATAGGCATTTAGAATTGTTTCATTAAACATTTTGTATCCATCCTCTCTCTCCCTTAATTCTTATAACTATAACTCGAGTAATTCATTCTATTATTCGAGTAGTGCCTTTTCAGTCTTCTGATCCATTTTATAATTTAAAATTTAACGACTATTAATTTATTTAATGAATCAATTCAATCCTTATCTCAAACATTTCATGCTACAGAACTCTTTTCCCATCTTCTTGAATCTCTCTTCATTCTCTCCTTGTTCTTTTTGACAACTACTCTTTAATTCAATTTCATTACATAGGACATTTCCACATTTTTATTTCCACTATCTTGATAATCTAACTAGACCACTTCAATAGATCGAACAACTCCTGTGTCTCTGATTTCACAATCTCAAATCCATTACCTCCAAACATTTTCAAATGAGTTTTATGCTTAATACCAACTGTAAAATAGACAGGCAATAAACTATACAACTCATAGTCCACTTCGTTTTTATTGAACACAATCTTCTATTTTAAATCAACAGACTCAATATTGATTTCTCTTTTTATAAAATAGTTTTATTTTGTAATCTTGACTTCTACATATGGATTTAGAATGATGAATTTGGCTTTTCTTAAATTATATTTTTGCTGAATCTCCTTGAATTCCAATCTGTGATTATGATCAACCACTATTGGTATTCCACAACTCTCAGAACAGTAGATATAACTCTCCATGATATTAATCCAAATTTGATTGTTAAAATCTATTTCTTCATAGTTGATTATTCCTATAAATGCCGGTTTTAGATTGTTAGTTCCCATGGTTATTTCCATTTCTAATTTCTTGATTAGGTTATCAACTGAATAAAGAGGCAGATTATTCAACTATTTTGAGATGTTGTGTTGATATCCAATGGCTATATCAATGTGCTAACAATATTAAAGTAATCGATTCATTTTATCAAAATCATTACACGATGTGCATATAAGACATTAGGGCATACTTGACAATTCATGTACTAATTGATTCACATCATTAATAACCAAATTGTCCATAATAGACTTTGGATCAGCTCTTAATTATTCAAGATTCTAAAGACTTATGGCACCCATTTTATTAGTGCTCAAATGACTCTTATCGAAGAATAAATCCTCAAATAAAACTGACGTATAGTCTGTAGCTATTCCTCTTAGTGTGTTTATATGATAATTAATCATCTAATTAAATAAATAAACTATTTATTTGGAGTAACAAATTGGAAAATAATAGAAATTTAGATTATACAATAAAATGGCAAAGAGTAAATAAAATTATTTATTTGTGTAAAATTTATAATAAAAATAATGTAATCATAAGGTAAAGCCCCACCATAAATTGAACATTATATAATAGAAAGAGGTGGTTTAGGTGTAAGTGCTTTTGGGAAAGCGAAGTGTACGTGATATAGAACAATATCACAAACACTTAAGTAGTAATTAAAATCATCAACAAAAAAATGATAAAGAACTCAAAAATGGAAGCTAAGATTAGAAGTCAGATAAGGCTGCTGAGATAATTCAATCATCCAAATGTGATTAAACTATACGAAGTATTTGATACTCCTGACGACAACTTTTAGTAATGGAATATGCACAAAAGAGGTGAACTATTTGATCTGATTGCCTAAAAAGGTAAATTGTCAGAGGCAGAAGCTCGTAATTACTTTTTATGAATATTAAGTGGAATTGAATATCGCCACAATAATCTTGTTGTTCATAGAGATCTTAAACCTGAAATATATTGATAAATCATAATTACGTCGTGAAAACAGCTGATTTTGGTCTCAGCAATTTTATGAAAGATGGAAAATATCTAAGGACATCCGGAATGTCTCATAATTAAATCTAAAATTGCATACCCAAAAGAGAAAAGATAAATCATTCGTGGTGATCCATGATTTACTGTAAGTATAGATGGGAATTGAATCATCAACGACTCTGCATAACTTAACTACACAAGATTTGATATTCAATCCTAAAATACAATAATTGGACTGGTAATCATTCGAAAATGTTCGACTCTAAGAAATCCAAAAGCCTGCTCCATACGATTATGGGAAAGATCTAACCAAGGATGCCTTGGCTGTTATTTATCCATATTAGGCTAGATAAATCATAAATGCAATTTAAACCTGCTTATAGAAGTTTAATACTAACCAGATTTTAAATTGAAGTGTTATCATAGGAACTTGATTAAAATGACTAAATACATTTAGAATATTGGGTTATTCAATGAATTTCAAAAGGAAAAAGAGAAGAAAGGATCAAAATATGAGTGAGTTGACTTCTCCTAATTTCAAAGAGGAAAACAACGAAATCAAACCAAAAAGTAAGGAAAAAGAATATTCCAAGAGAGATTATATTCAACATTCAAATTTACAAAGTATTTCTCTTATTATACAATTAGATACCTGGCAATGATAATGATCACTTGCTCGATTTCCAATTATACAGAGGTCATCCAGTTGTTTTTAAGGATTTTTGTAACAAGGTCATGGGTTTGGTTAATTAGCATTTCAATTAATTTTGATAATTGTGTGTTCAAAATATTAAAAATAAAATAAATGGCTCTTCAACTACCAATTGAGCAAAGAATTGATAAATCATATATACATTATCAAGAGAAAATAATTATTGAATATCTCAAGGATGAATGTGGGTTGTTACGCACTCCCTAGGGTGAGGAAATCCTGAGGAAACTAAGGCAGATTTAAATGGCGGTTGATTAGCAATTAAAAAATAAAGTTGAGTTTTAAAAATTAGAAAAAAATTAGGAGAAAGAAGATCTGTAATAATTACAACATAAATTGCAAGAGTTAAAGTAAAGGCAGAAAGATGAATTTGCAATTCTAGGTGATTTGCAAAGTTAATTAAAACAAAAGGTACAAAATACAATAAAAATATAAAAATTCAAACAACTGCTCCACGATATAGAAAATTAAGATTGTATAAGATTTAGTTTTATTTAATAGTCAGAGAAATCCTAATAGATGATAAGACAATTGAGGAAAGTTTAAATGCCATATTCTTGGAACATCTGACCAAAAATTAAGCATTAATAAAAGAGTAAGTAGAGCAGATCAAGTATGTTAAAGAGATATATGAACAACAATATCGTGAACAATAATAATTGAAGGAAAGACTTTAAATGTTATAAAAGGTTCATGGGAATGCAGCCTAAGAAATTTGAATTAATTTGAATTTATCTATTTATATATAAATTAATTATCATTTATTGCTTGTTTTTTTGATTTTCTTACTAACTCCTGGTATTTGTTATTCATCTTTAAGTTTCTTCAGATAATCATCAATACTACGTTCTAATTCATTAGCACATTTGTAGTAAATTGTATCAGGTTGATTGTAATTTCTACAGTTTGTAAATATCCTCTTGACATCCTTAATGAAGAGATCTTTGGATGTATATTAATTAGACTATAATTTCTTTTCGATAGTTTTGATGTCAATGGGATCTGTGATAACATCATAATAATCAGGGACATCATCTTTGTTGACTGGATCTAAGAAAGGCCAGGCTGACTTATGTTTTCTCATGGTGTCAATGATTTATTGGCAAGAAATCATGAAAGTTTTTTCCTTTTGTTTTTTGAGTTCATTATAATCATCGATAGTCCATCCACTTTCCAAGATTCCTTGTATACTCTCAGGTTTGACAGTAGGTTTATCAGAATTGGAATTATCAGCTTTATAATTCTGCTTATCTAATCCAGGGTAAACCCTATCATTCAAAGTCAATTTCTTAATAATATCTATCATTTGCTAGCATTAAACTCACTCTTACCTGCTTTTACTCTCTAATTAAATCACTAATATTTCCGTAGTCTATAGTTGGATGTACATAACATTCCATTAAGGTGCCTCCATCATAATCTTTAATAAATCCTTTCCATCGATCTGGTTGCATTTTGATTTCCTAATAGAATCCTTGCTTTCTGAAGTACCCAATGGCATAATTGTCAGCATAAGTTAGCAAATATTCAACATCTTGTTTTTGGATATGCTCTTTGAATTTGTTCATCAATCGAGTTCCATAACCCTTTACTTAGAGTGTGGCAGTGATGGCCAAGAAGGCAATCTCAGCAAATCGTTGAGTTGGATACTTTCGATAACAGATCCCTCCAATTACTTTAGTGTTGTCCTAATTTCATGGATGGATGGAATACCTTAATAATACACATGGACTCATGATTTCGATCAAATACTAAACGTACGATGTACTCCTTGGGCATTTTGGGTAGTTATCTAGCAAAAATGTTCTTGAGATCAATGAGCATCTTCATACTCCCGTGGGTTCCATCATTGGTTATTATTTTGAAGTCAATCAAACCTTGATCCTCTTCAACTTTGGCTCCTTGATCTCGATTCGTGAATCCTAGACCTGTCTATTCACCATTGATTCCCACAAATTATTGAGACATAAATAAATATCAGACAATTTAAATCATTTAGCAATCCAATTCCCGCATTTCACATTGATCCCAAAAATTTATACCAACTTTATTCAATATATCTCTTTCCCTCTTTACTCTCGCTCTACACATCAATCTCTCCCCTTCCTGACTACTGAATTGAACCTACGAAAACTTCAACTAAGGCAACCCTATCCCTTAAAGAATTTTGTCATAAACTTCAAAAAAATTGAAAACTGATGCCAATATCAATAATATAGGCAAAGAATAGGAAAATGACATCCCCAACACTGAACTTGTATCCATATTACCTATAACATCCTCAAAAGGAGTGCCTGATATCTGTATCATCTACAAAAAATTAAAAGTAAGAGGAAATGAAACTCTTGAAAAATTGCTAACCATTAAAATAACATTCTTACATTGATCCGAACAATAAACTTGGAGCATCAGTTTATTAATGATTATAAAATGCATACATACCTGCAAAGTTGATATGAAACAACCCATAAAACGCACAAAACGATATGTACATCAAAGGTATCAAAATAGATATCTAAATTTAAAAGAATCCATTCATATTTATCATTCTCCTCAGTATATTCACATCAAATTAAGTAAAACAGGAGATCTCTGATAATATGACGATGCTTGATAAAATCCAAAATATCACACTCAAAGATAATAAATACGCCTTCTTTATTTTTGTGTACCATAACCATTAAAACATGTCCAAATAATGTCCCATAAATCCAGACCTCTCATACCTTAGAGTTGATCTAATCTTATAATGAACACTAAATTCATTATCGATCATGTCTTCCAAAAGAAAACACTCAGAACATACGTGTTCCCATTTTGTTTTGGCTCTCTTATATTCTGAGACTTTCTTCTTTACTCTCTTATTGACTTCTGGCCATGGTTCCAACTTCCTACTCCTCTCCTTATACTTATATTGTGCTTCCTCTATGATCTCATAAGGAATCTAACCATTTTTGAACAGATGGACTTGATTCAATTTCAATATGTACATGTTAAATCTGGATTAGTATTCTTGTGTTAAATCACTTCAATAGTCAAATTTATCAATTGATCATATAATTCTTATATGGCATGATTTATTTAAGCTGCCTCCAAATACAATCCTCTCAAACACTTTTCATATTATGACTTTCTCCAATATGCCCGTGGTATTGCGACTAAACCATGTCCCAACAAAATAACTACCAAGAGGATGCCACTTTTATTAAAAACTACTCATACAATCCGTAAGCCAATGCAACTAACAATTTCAAAATTGAATCAAAATCCAATTTATTGAATATTGCCAAATACCCTATAAAAATTACTCCCAAGACTATCAAATATGCATATGCGATTAGATTGTTTTTACAAGATCTTATCAACTTCTCCTTAAATGTTACTTCTCCTGCATCTTCGTATTCCTAACATATTGGTAAAATTAACCTAAAACCATTTATATATATTTATCTCACCAACTCAACACAAAATTACCCCAATAGATCCACTTCCAAATAATCACTGCATAATCATATCCCTCCCCATTATCATTTAAGGTATAATAGATATCATGCGGAATTATAAAAACAATCCCAAACGATAATATCCACGATGTATACGTTAATAATTTAACATAAAAGGGTACTTATTACTGTGAGTATTCATGTACTAATATTCCTACGTATATCAGTAATAGTAATCCTTCTATCAAACTTAATGTAAACATTTATTATAAAATAATAAAATGTATTGATATATAAATTATAAATTAATTCTTTTGGGTTGTTTCACCTTTCGGGGTGTAATTTATATATATTATTATTATATTTATTTGTTTTTTGTGGAATCAAAATACATCATGACTCTTAAATCGCAATATAGTTCTCGGTTTACTTTTCTTCGTCGTGAAAAGAGTATAACATATCCCCTGATCATTTATAAATTAAATTATTAATTATAAAACATGGAGTATAATATTCAATTCACCTCAGTATGTTCGAATGATGATATCCTTATCTAATGTAATGACATGTTCCTGAGTTCGAATGGGTTTTACCCACCTTTCATTCACCTTAAGTTCATCAAAAAAATATACTTAGATCGTAATTGCAAATAGATAATATGATTTTTCATATCTTTCCAGTTTCATTTGATAACGATGATATCCAGGTACTCAATGAATAGGAAGTTATCCAATATTCATAAGATATTGTAATACAACTATCTAAATCGAATAAATATATTTGTGTTATTGTGCATAATGACAAAAGTATACTCTCTCTAACCAATGTCATTGATAGAACAACACTATTCAGAATATAACCTTGCTATAAATCATAAATTCAAGTAATCGATCTTTAATATTAAAGAATTCCAATAAAGTTTCTTTTGATGATGATATATTTTTGATGTTTTCTCCTGAAAATATTTCATTGTAAAATTTAGAATAATAATCAGATTTATATGTAAATATCAATGAATGCAGGCAACAATCATCCGATTTCATAGTCTAAGCATCTAAGTAGACTACATTTAAATTCAAAAAGCATCTCAAAGATAATTAATCTACTTCTTTTTGCTATGGTAGTCTCATTAAAATTAAATAAATAGAGAGTGATTCCTATTTAGAGTTGACTACTTATGAAAATATTCAATAGAACCCTCATAATAACAATTTACACATGACTGATGTGTAAACGCAATATTAACGCATTTTTTCTAAAAACAAAACAGTCTGTTGGAGATCTGCGGAAAGAAACCAATAGAACATAGATTTATTGCTTTATGATATTTGGAAACTGTATCATCCTTAGAAAATTAATCAACAGATTAAACAAGGAGATTAATTTTATCTGTAAAATTTGTCTGGTAATTTTTATATGAGTGGAGATAAAATTTGCTCTGATTATTAAGAGGCCTCACTCTATTCATTTATTGAAGAAGATACTATTAACAATAAACTATTTTATATTCTCTGGAATAATCAATATTTAAGTTATAAGATTTTTAATGAAAATAATTTTAATTAAATTTAAGATAAATTATTAGTTGATTATCATTCAAAAAAGTATAAACCAGACTTATTACAATTTGATTAGATTTCTAATATAGATTTAATCCATCAGCATTGGCTAGACAATGTAGTTAAATTAATTTACGAAATAAACCTAACCTATTAGTTACACTTTGATGAAATTAATTTATTAATTAAGAATTAATCAATAAATGAAGGAAAATTTAATGCCCTCTTCTTTCAATTATAGTAATTAGAAATTGCTTTGAATGACCTAACTCTTTTTTGTGTTGCTGATGAAGAGAAGAAGCCCAAGATCATTGATAGAAATGCTATCTATTATTTGAAGATGAATTAATATAATTAGGATTTATTAAGAAAAAAGGTCATAGTTTAATCTCTCATTGAATTTATAGAAATAGTTAAATGGCAATATGAATATACTTAAATCATAGAAAAAAATAAAATTGCCTTTAATAATAATATACCATTTGAAGATCAAAACCTACAATTCCTAATTTAATTAGATAATATACTAAACCAAATTTTCCTCTTTTTTGAAACTTTCAGTTCCAAAAATGATTAAAATAGTTAAATAGTATTTTTGGCCTATTTTAAATTAAAATAATATTTAGGATACAACATTGGAGCATTCTATTGCTTAATTCGATTATTTGAAAACAATTAAAATTTAATACCAGTTGCAGGCATCATGCCTTTTATTGGAGAAGCTGAAAAAGAGTTTGATGTATCCCTAATCAAACGCTCTACAAGGATCAATACAATTCTAACAAAATAATAGAATTAAATAAAATCTTAAACTTTTATTGATGAAATTTTTGAAAGAGCAAATTATTGTCTGTAAATCCTAAACAAGAGATTTTGGGGTAATATTATGAAGATATTAAGTGTTCTATGTTTATAAAATGATAAAGCCTGTTTCAATAATTAAATTAATATTGGTAAATATATAATTTAGGCTCCAAAAATTTTATTATAATTTGTTATCAAAGAAGATAATCTACTCTATGTCTAAATTGATGAGAAATTGTATGAATTAAATGAAATATATGTTTAGTGTAGTAAGGTTAATAAAGATTTTATGGAAGACATTATTGAATGTAAGAATTTCCTTGACTCTCAATTGAACCTCATAGGATTGCTATGTTAAGAGAGGAATTATGAAAACATTTAGTTTTATAGGACTAAATTACCTTAGAAGATTTTAATTAATTATATAAGTTATTCTGGAAATACAGAATCATTAAGATGCAGATTAATTATCATTTTAATGAATTTATATGTTGATTGTTATCCTTATCAACCAAAGTAAATTCCTAAACTAATATTCAATCTGAATAAATTGTATGGATTATAATATAATGGATTTAATGCTGAATAAAATTAAATAGAAATGTAAGAAGTAAAAAGCAAACCTTAGCTGAAATAGCTAACAAGATAATTCACAATAAATGATACTAAAGCTATTGAAACATTACTTACTATTACTTAGGAACTTGTTAAATTAAATTTAATTTAAGATAACTAAATTAATCTCAGTCTTAGTGTTTGCAAGACCCTCTAGATGTTCTATAAATTGTACACTTTCAATCTACCTTAAAACAAGAAATTTCATGAACAATACTTTGATGTCAATTTGTTGATTCAGGCCTATACCTTATTACCTCAATCACTAGAATAAAATCAACCCTCATAGGAGTAGATTCAATAGTATTAACAATTTTAGGAATCAAAGGAAATTTTTAATTAAATGTCCATTATTTTAATTGATTTTTTGTAACTCTATTTTCAATAAAAAGAGACTAAAATTTTAACTTCAATTATAAAATCATCTTAAGAATTTGATTATCTAGACTTCTCATAACAGTATAATTATACTCGTTATGAAATGATAAAAGAGAATACCTTTCTATTACTAAAGCATAAACAATCTTAGAGTGAAACATAATTAAAGGCTTTTAATTTGATGGAATCTCTTTATTAACCTAAACGAAATATTATAAAGAGATTATAAAAATGTTTATTTTTGGAAAAATAGAATGAATTGTCGTATTACTAATTAATAAAATAATTGATTTTGTAATTGAAAGAATTAGAGAGTGCTGATGGAAAATATCAATTATATTAAAATTGCATTAATTCACTAATCAATCTAAATAAGTAATTGATAAATTCAGACAATTTACTACTCATATAAAAAATATTGAGAATACTAAATTTTGATTATATTCTTCTTGATTTCCTTGAAAGTTACTAACAAATTTGTTATTTCATTACTTAAAAATATATAAAAAGCAACAATGAGAACAGATATAATTTAGAGCTCAACAATGAAGAGGAATAAATACTGTAATTTTGCACATAATCTTTTATTATTCTAAAATAGCAATGCATTGGAAATCATTCCAATAAATTGAGAGTTCTAAGCAAATTTAATTAATTTGATGACTTTTTAAAATGTATCGATTTAGGACAGTATGATTTACTTCAAGAAATATACTCTGAATCATATGAAAATATTGAGTCAGCAAGCAGCAGAATTATTTATCTCTTATTAGATAATTAAAATTTAGGATCGTTAAAGGTGTTACAATCTTTAGTCATCCAACAAAATGTATCAAGTACAAGAAATTTGTTTGAAATTATTTAACAAATTTAGAATTCAAAAAAATTTAAATAGCAATTAGGATTTTAAGATACTCTTCTAGAGAAGATACTTTCATAAAACAAGTTTTAAACCTTTTAGAAGTAATTATAAATTGGCAATCTTCCGTTTATATTCTAAATATAAGGAATTCAGTTTATTTTATATTTACTCAAATTTTCTAATCCTCAAGGTTGTAAAGTACTAGCTGATGTTTTTCCTTTATAATAGATAATTAAATATTGCATTTAATTAAAAGATATATTCAGACCAACCTTTGAAGATCTAAACCTTGCCATATTAAATACGATTTTAAAAACCCAGTTTATCAAACTATTCAATGAATTACTAAATTATAAGGATATTGTTAAATATGAAGATGAAATCCAATAAAATATTTTTTAGTTTATAGCGAAAGAAATGAAGGTATTTGAAAATAAAGTTGTTGTTCTAGATCATGAAATTAAATCTACAAATGATATTCAAAAGAAATATGATTACATAAATTCCAGTTTTTAATTTAAATTACAAAAGAAGTAGAAAGCTAATTAGTAATTGTTTTAATAAATTTAATCTGGATCAGAGAATGAGAGTGATACTGAGTAAAAGGAAAAAGATAAATTATCAGAATGTTAAAAATAAATGGTTTGCTTTGAATTACAACATAACTTTGATTGTCTGTATTTTAATAATTATGCCATACTCTTACTCAACTTGTTTCTTAACTTAGCATAACTAATATAAGAACAAATAGAGAATATAGAAGATTAGGCATAATCTAAAACCGGAAACAGAGCATCTTAATCTTTTGTAAGACAAATGAGTACTTCTTAAGCTTTTGCTGAGAGCATTGTAAATGATATGAGTCAAAGTGTAAAATTAAAACCTTTTAATAATTTAAAAGTCAAAGTTGATTCATTTTTAAAATCAATAGAAGAGTATTTGAAGCTTAATTTATCCAAATGGGAAATATTAGAGTTGGGCCATTTTTTAATAGAAAAATCATAACAATTGAAAATACTCTTTCTAAGAAAACTGGAATTTCAACATTATGACCTAGATTAAATTGGAGAAAAGTTAAACAATCAAGTACTAGATCCATATTGTTCTCCAATATATAAACATGATAAAAGAATTCATGAGTTGGTTCTCTTAAAGAACACATCAGAAAATAAAATTATAGACAAATAAATTAATAGTTTATTCCTAAATGAACGTATCTTGGCTATTGAAAATTTTGAAATGTACTTTTAAATCTACAAACTATAATTACTTATGAATGAAGACTTTGAAATCATAAATGAAAACTTTCCAAAGGTTATTGCTCCTTTGATTAATTGTTTATAATCTAGCATGAAAAATTTAAATAAAAATTATAAGTTCATCAAAAAAATATTAAAATTTCTTTGGCACTTGTTGGATATACATACCTACCTTAGGGAGGATTACAGTTATACTGTTTTTGTTTATGAATTGAATAAAAAAGGGAAGTATCATTCTAAAAGTGAGTAGATACTCCAAATCAAAGCTCTTAAGGCTTTATAGAATTTACTTGTTAATTAAGGGTTCTTTGAAATCTTTATATAATTCTGTAATTAATATGAAAAAATAAAAATTGTTCAATAATCAGAATTGCAAGTAATAAATAAAAAAAAGAAAGAAATATTATTATATTAATTTTTATTGACTTCAATAAGAATAGTTCGAGGGATTGAATCTGCTAATTAGTTTGCTTAATAAAAACTTATGCATGAAATATTGAAAACTAAAAGTAATTAGTTGTTAAGGATATTCTCCAATATTTTTGAAAGACATTAGTAATAAGATGAAACATTACGATTACGATCTCTAATCTTACATGATATTAATAGAGTGTATTTTGCATATGAATTTAATGAAATCCATCGATTAGAAAAGAAACAGAATGTCATGAAATTAGGTATTTTGCAAGTGTAAATGAAATTACTTCAACTATTAGCCGAGGATCATTTTAGACCATTCTAGGATTTCTTTAGAGAATAAAAAGGATTTGCCTAGAACTATGACATCATCTAACATCTGATGAATATTTTATTGAATTTTTTCAATTAGGAATCCTTTCAGTCTTTAAGTCAAGACGATTATATTTTGATATTAAACTGTTTTGATTGCCTTAAAGAAAATATCTAAGGACCTTGTCCTCAAAACTAAGAAAAACTATGCTAACCTTAATTTTTAAGATTATGTGCTAAATTATTGGGATTTGACGACTCTTAAATTAAATTCTTAAGTTTGTATTAGAGATTCAATAAAATAGATTAAGCTCAATAGAATTAAGATAAAATACGATCGAGGTTGTAAACCTTAGAGTAATTAAAAAAGAATAATAATAAACAAGATAAAACAATTATTTAGTAAGAAGTTATATAATATTATATCAAATCTTCACTTTATTGTAAATAATTGGTCACTTCATTTAGAAAAAGCAATCCACTTAATTATAGATTGTCTATGCTATCTGAAATCAAGTATAGGTGTGCAACAACATTGGAGTCATTAACTGATAATGAATAAAATGAATCAGATATCTTAAAGAGAATTTCAATGTTCATTAATGAGAAAATACTAATTCATAATATTACAATTCAATATGAAAAATATAAAATTTTACATGAAACAGGCAAGAATTACACTAATCTTGTATTTTCTCATTTATTAGGGGAGGATACAAAAAGTAGTGAATAAGAGAAAGAGAAGAAGAAAAACCAATAAAAAAGCAAGGTTTAAATAGAGGTTGATAACACTTAGTAGTACTAAGTAGAATAGGAAGTGACTACCGAGTTAGCTGCAAAGGATTTTTGGGATTCATTTATCATAGAGATAGGGTTTTCTTTATTTAATCTTTTGGCCTAAGTATATTAGATGAAAGACTAGGATGTTTTAGAGAGAATATACGAATAAATAGACAATACAAAAATATAAAAAAAGAAATATAAATCTATTATCTTTTATAATCTTTATAAGGCAATATTTTCAGCATCATAATTAACAAAGTAAGTTTTAATTATTACTTTTTAGAAATATTAAGTAATTATAAGAAAGTACCCAGTTGAGTGACAAGATATTTAATCCATATAAATTAAAGAAAGCTCCAGAAGAACAGGAAGCTTAATAAAAGAAACTTGGTTATCGAGCTTTGAGATTTTTTGCGACTAGAACAGGGTCAATTGAAATATTGTTATCATCAAAGTAACTAAAAAAAGTGATGTTTCCACTTGTGCCTCATTGTTTTTCTCTTAATAATGTAATTAAAGAGAAATTTGCATCTGATATTGATAGGTTATCTTAATAAAGGAAAGTTGAATCAGTGTTGTCAAATTCATCTCATATAATTTAGAAACTAAAAACAGAATATAAATTTCAGGCTTTGTATAAAAGGAATTTCATAATTAATTTGTTGGCCAGCAATTAGAAATTATGGAAATAAATAATATTTTTAGTAATAGTGTTAGAGAATCTAATGATCCTGTTCTCAAGTGACACAAATTTAGAGAAAATATTTGGAGATATTTTATTTGGATTAACGATTACATAAATAATTTTGCAATTCTTATGTTTTTTTATATTTATTGTGAAAAAATTACCTTATCTAAGAATTAAATCATAGGAGATTGTATTTGATAAATAGATAAATAGAATTAGAAAGAGAGAAATAAAATATAAATATTTGGATAATTCTCAAAGTATAGTGCTACAAGAGGACTTTGTTTTAGAGAAGACAGATTCATTTCTATTGGAATAGAATAAATGGCGAAGACTTTATTTTAATATAACAGATTCCTTAACATTATATAGGATTATACTCCTGGACTATGAAATGATTTACTTCTTAATATTTACAACTTTAGCCTTTATTGGATTGTATTACAATGTAGTTTTGGCTTTATTACTTTTGGATGTATTTTGGCGATTCCCAACTCTGACATCAATTGTGAATGTAAATGATTAATTAATAAATTAGGCAATTTGGAGACCTAGTGGATCGATACTATTGGTGCTATCCTTGTATATAATAATGTAATATTATTATTCTCTCATCGTTTATTATTATTATTCAGAAGAATATTACCCGTATTGTTAAAACTTTCTATAATGTTTCTCATTCATATTGGATGCCACATTCAAGACGGATGGTGGTTCTGTTGGTTATATTGCAACTAGTGATGACTATGCAGATGAAAATTATAGATATAGTATCCTCAACTTTTGGGAATTCGTTTATGTCTTTGTTGTTATTAGTTTATTATACTCAATAATTACTGGTATCATCATAGATTCATTTGGGGTGTTGAGAGAGGAGGCTGAAGAACTTGATAATGATATTAAAGGATACTGTTTGATTTGTGGGATAGATAGTGGTACTTTAGAGAAGAAGGCCAAACACAAAAAGGGATTTAGATTTCATGTTAAATATGAGCATTGTGTTTGGAATTACATTTTTTACATTTCCTATTTATAAGATAAAAAGAAATCAGATTATAATGGGATTGAAAGTTATGTAGATTCAGATTTGAAAAGAGAGAGTATCAATTGGTTTCCAATAAATAAATCACTCTCTATACCTGACGAAGAAGAAGAATAAGAGGTAACTATATTGATTGAAACATTAGGAATTCTCTAATTTTAAGTAGACACTAGATGATAAATTAGTATAAATTAGTAACAAAATCGATTAACTCAAAGGTTGATGAGTATTTTCTTATCAAGAAATAGATACTTTTTATTATATTTAATGCTTCAGAGTTCTTTTTGCCATTTAAACATTCTAACTTGTTTGATTTTTATTATATAATTTTTTTGGATGTACAAATTCAAAGAGTGGCTTAAGCCTGTCTCTGATTATTTTCTTAATGGTTTCTCTGACACTTTTCAACTACTTCTCGATAATTTCTTAGGGGATTATCTTGAAGATCCAAAATAACTCAATATGGGCACATTATTAAAAGGAGTAGAGATGCTGAAACTAAACAAAACATTCATTAATTAACTCCTTGGTTAAAGTCTTTTCAAGCTCGAAGAGGCTTACATAAGTAATTTATGAAACTTATTCTAAAGAGTAGATCAAAGTTGCTAATTTAAAATTTGAGGCTAGTGGAGTGAGATTAGTTTTTGCACTTGTGAAGGAGATCAATATAGATGAATTAAAGGAATATTTAGATAAGACTGAGGAGATGAAGGAGAAGGAAATCTAAAAACTCAGTTAATTGGCACAGTTACGAGAAGAAGTTTATAAACATTCAGAATTCGAATAGAGTATAGATTTATAGAAATCTATGGGACCTTAGACAGGTCTTATTCAATTTTTAGGATTGGTAGATACTTTATTGAGTAATTCATCGATTACCATAAACAACATTGAGATTGTTTTATAAGCAGAGGGAGGAAAACAATATGAATTCCATATTCATCATACTAACATTAATTTTCAGAAGCAAAATATAAAGTATATTTCTATTTAAGAAATAGTAATTTGCTTTTTATAAGCTTTGGGATAGATTAGATTGAGTTACAATTGCAAAATGAATAGATTGCCCTAATAGAAAATGCGCTAAAGCTAGAGATGATTGTGGAAACTACATGTGGTAGAGTCAATACAAAAGTAGATGGAAAGATATCAACTTTAGATGTAGTACTAAATTCGAATCAAATTTAAAATATACTATCCACAGCTCAAAAATGTTTAGCATTAACTGATGAATTAAACAGAATAATTCTAGATTTAAAAGGAGAAACATTAGTATAATTTGATGATGATGAAGAAGATTAATAAAAATTAGAAAAAACAGATGTTTCACTGTTAAATTCATAAAGTTAATTTTGGACAAAAAAAAAGAATACCCCATTCAGAATGATTCCAAATTAATCCTACATGGATACTCTAAACAACAACATATAGTAGTCCTTAGCCTAACATCCTATTCCTTAACAACAAGAAAAACAATTTATCGAGTTTTCTTAAAGCATTTTTAATACATCGTAAGATCAATTAGATATTGGAAAAAAGAGTGTTAAGAATTAAGTTGAAACATTTAAATGTTAGTTTGATGGTATTAGAATTGCTGTATGTGAAAATTCACAATGTTTCCCGAAATTAAAGGGGAGATTCTTCTAAGACCTTGAAACTCATTTCTTCATTGAAATCATTAAGATCTAGGGAAGCTATTATAAAGATAATTTTAACTTTTAAATTTAAAGCATAGGAGCTCACAGAGTTCGAGCTGATTAAAATAATGGATACAATATTATGTAAAGTCAAGAATTGTTTAAAAGTTGTTTGGATAACCCAAAATTTTAATTTTATGTTACTCCTGTGATAATGATGGGATTAGGAGAATGTGGCAGGATTGAGTAAGAATATGCAGTTTATATATTTGATAAATTGTAGGAATAATGTAAATTAAATAAGGCATTGGAATTATCAGTTCAAATATATCATGGCAAAAACAGAGAGAAGTTTTACATGGCAAATGTGTAGATATCAGACTTTATAGGTTCATTAAATCATGAATTATGCTTAAGACTTTTATAATATCTACCTCAAAGTGAAGTCTAGAAATTACCAGTATCAGAGGTTAAAAAGCCATGTATGTTTGGATTCGATATAAAAATCCCATATGTCAATTTTAATTATTTTATAAACAACAAACCCATCTCATTTAGAGTCAAAGAAATTAGACTCAAATAATTACCAGTCAAAAAATTCCCTCATAAATTAGGAATTTTAGAACCTTTTGAAGGAATTCCTAAAAATGAAGAACCATTATAATTCATTTGCATCACATTTTTTTCAATTTGGATTGAATTTTCTGGATAAAACATAGTTACTGTGGGTTAGAATGTAGTTGAAGATTTGCAAATACATCCATTAATTTACATAAGCTTTTAAGAAAAGAAAGATTTAAAAAAAGAAGGCAAGTAAGAATTAAAAGATTCTGTTAAACATAAATAATAAAACAGTGAGACTCTGATTAGAGGATCACTTCCTTTAGTAGACGTTAGGATCACTTAAGATCTATTATATTGGTTAATCTAATTAAATTAGTATCTAGAAGAACAATAAAATAATATAAATAAAAAGAAACCATAACGCTAGATCATAGAAGAATCAATTACTTTTATTTAGTTAACTATAGAGTCATCCTCAATAAATGTTTTAGATCATTCAAATAAGGATTTAATATAATTTGACTTGGACAAAGTTACTCTAATTTCGTCTAAACAATTAATTTTACTCATTCAAAATATATTAGTGATAGATGTCTAATGTCCTTCAGTAAAATATAATAGAATTCAACCGCAATAATAATTCAACAAATATTCTGCTGCCTAGATTATGCTATACGGTATATGCACAACAGAAGGTAAAAGACATTTGGTTTCTGCAGGATCTAAAAAAATATATTCAAAACCGATTAAAGTGGATTTTGATAATTTTATATTTAAATTGTAACTTGGTAAAAAGGTGAAAATTACAACTCAAAATATTTGCATTAGAATTCCAGATTTCAATTTTACCTCAATAAAAAAGTTAAACCCAATACTCTAACACTTTTAATAGACTTCAGAAAAGAACCAAAAAACTGTGTAATCGAACTAACAATAGTAAGATATGGAAATTGAATTCAGCATTATTGAAAACATATACTTGGATATTTTTCCGATTAATGAAGTTGAAGAGCTCTCAAATAAAGGATTATAAACTATAAAAGAGTTTTCTAATAGCAGACTTCTAATAAAAATCGAAGATTTGGTTTTTAGGAAAAAATTGTAATTATCAAATTTAAGTCTGCATGTTTGCAGGTAAAATGGATTTGAATTTCAATGCCCAATAATTCTAGAAGGCTACTTTAACAAGTTAAGTGCCTTTTAGTTCACATAATTCCTATCTATTGAAAGACTCAACTTTTATGAAAACAATCTATAAATAGATTTGATCAAGGGAAATTTTCGATTTGATATAATTTAAACCATTTTGGAAATTATTGAAGAATTACAACCATACATTCCATAAACTATCCCTATTGAGGCTTCAAAAAATGAATATTTTATCTAAAAAGATTTTTCAAAACCTCTTATAGAAGGAGAAAAAATGGATAATAAAATAAAAATCAATATAGGAAAAATGCTTTTGCATTTGGAAGAAGGACGCACATTCTACTAATTACCACTTTATTTTGATGCAGATTAAGGTTAAAATACTAAGTTTGAGAATGAGCTCTTTAATCATGTTAAATATGCAGATTAACCTAACGAAAAGGTATTAGACACTGTTACTTTGAACTTTACAAATATAAATTTATAGATCGAGCTATATGCTAAAGGATAAACAGGAATTAAATTTCAATCTCATTTTGAAATTGAGGATAAAATTTAAAATTCTAGATTTAAACTCATATTGAGTCCAGATACAGAATCATTCTGCACAGATTGCTTTCCAATAGAAGTTGCTTTGATCTTAGAAAATTAAGCCTACACAGCATCTATTGCAATTGTTCCAATGAGAATTTGCCTATCAGGGGCTTTATTATCATTTATTTTTAATTTCTAAAACAGTTAAAGTTGGATAAAAAAAGCGTTCTATGAAGATTAAATACAATTTTTTAACGTTGTCGAAAAACCAACTTAAATTTGGTTGAAGAGTCTTTAAATTTTTGAAACAAGCTTTAATCTTTCATATGACTCATAAGGACTCTATATGGACGATCTTTTAAAGCGGTTACTAAAAATTAGTTCATTTTAAGAATTACAAATACCAATCAAATATATTAATTCTTAAATTAGAGGGACTCCTGAGGATGTAATTAATTGTGTCATAACATAATTATAAACAAGCTTAGGGTCTAAATTAATGATAGCTGGTAGAGCATTAAATAGTTTAGAATTCTTTTCAACAGTCACAAACTTAATTAAAGGAACTTTAAGCTTACTACTAAGACCATTTGAAGAAGGTTTAGTTAAAGGAGGAAAAAAAGGGGTTTAAGAATTTTCAAATTCACTGGTATTTGCCTTGTTAAAAACCTTAAAACTTCCTTCCTAAGTAATTATAGCAGGAGGAGAAAAAGTTGGATTATAATCACTAACTTTTCCATTTAAATTCGTTAATGAAAGAAGCAATTAAATCTTAGATAAAATTAATCCTTCAAATATACCAAAACAATTCCTAAAACGATATTGAAGAATATGGTTTTATAATAAATGATATTATTATTTTTAATTATTTTAAATAATTTCGAAAAAATTGTATTTAATACATACAAAAAATTCAAATAACGATTGGTTTATCGATTGCCTTCAAATAAGATGGTTCTAATTAAGATTAATCAGAATATATTTTGAAAGAAAACCTATTCCTATAATTACCACTTTCTAATTTTTCACTTTCATCTATTTGTATTGTATTGATTGGACCGAGACAATCAAGTAAACAAGTTGTAACTTCTTGAATGATATAGTTTTCATCACATTCAATTTCTTTTTTAATCTATAAATTATTGATATATGATAAGGATAGCTATTATGAGCTATCAACGTTGAATTAAAATTAAATTAATTTAAAAGCTATTATTTACTTTGAACCATTTTGTGAATCCTCAACTCTCCTTCTTGTTTCTAGAACTTGATCATATTAAGTAAATTCTTCCAGTATTTTTAGAGTGACATTATTGATATAGAGGGATTATTTTGCAATCAGTTCAAAGACATTAATCAAGATCTAGGTTAAATATTTGGTGTTGATGTTTATTTGACAATTTTTATCAACTTAGTTATAAATATTAAAACTCAATTTATAATAGCAAGCGAGAGTCCGAAAGTATTTTTAAATAGTATTTAAGTATTCATAAATTTGAAACCTTTCATAAGTTTATAATTAAGTAGAGATTTTATTTCTTTGAAAATAAAATATATAATTCCTAATGTAATTTATTATTGATAAATTTAAACACTTTAAGCTCATTGTCTATTCATATTCTTGAAAATTTACTTATTTAGTTTTTTTTATTTCTTTGTATAAATTTTCTTATTATTGTACGATTTAACTTGAAAAATTAAGAATTAATTATTAATGTTCTTTTATTTATTTTTAATGCTCTCCGATTAAATTTTCTACCTATTCAGATTTTATTATTCCAATTAAGATAGGCTTACCAAAATTCATTTGCATTATCTGAATTTTCATTCCCATCATTTAATCAGTTATTAAATTATGATACATTATTTAAACTTCATTTTCAACATCCTATTAAATAGGCTAAAAAACAGATTTTATTTTCTTAAATAAAAACTCTTCTAATTTTATTCCTTTTTAACCTCCTTTTTCTACTAACTTTTTCTGACTCTCTTGGCTCTTTATTACTATATAAGAAGACCGAAGGAAATTCTTCATCTATTCTGTTTCTTTGATATTCATGCTTTCTTCAAACTTTTTGTTTTAAAATTCTAAAATAATTTATCTTGTTCTAGGATCTACGCTGATAGCAAACATAGCATCGTTTACAAATTGATTGACGATCTCCCTTAAAATGAAGATTGAATTTACTTTTATTTATTAGCGATTAAATTCAGTGAAAATGCTAAACGTGCTGTATATTCCTGCATGTATGTCCATATCCCAATACAAACAACACAAGCTATTGTTTAAAATATAAAATGCATTTGGCCCGCTTTATAATTATCAAAAACCCCTAGCAGTACAAAAGGAGTAACTATGGTATAAACTATTTTTAATCTGTTGTCGCTGTATTGCATAGTACCAATAGCAAAACAACAGGTATTAAATCCGAATATAAACAAAGGGCTAAAATAATATTAAGGAGTACATATCTAATCCACTAAGGGCAACTAAAATATTCGTAGATTGGCTCCAAACAAAATAAAATGAGAATATTTACCGTAGATAAGGCTCTAATTTCTTGCCTATTAAAAGCATGAAAAAACAGCCTCCTACGACACCAATCATAATTAGTATTAGTTAAATTGGCTGTTATTGAATGACAAACGTTATCAAACAAATAAGAGCTGCTATAGATACCAACAAGTTTAACATTTGAAATGAGATAAGCCTTATTTTGTTTTAATGAGCTTCAAACTCGGCTTCAAAGTCAGGATCATAAAAATTCAGTTTCCATTTATGGAAAGGCAAACTAATCATTTTAATAACTTAGATTAATAATGTAAATGTAAAATTTGATAATCAATTAATATGAATTACTAATAGCAGATTCTTAATCCAGAGCAAAAAAGAAATTAAATCAAATTATAATTACCTATGTATTTATATATATTTTAATTTTAATTAATAAAAGATGGAATTTGAGAAATAAATTTATCAAACACATTCCTTCTTTTTATCATTTACTTTAGTGAGATTTTTTGTTAAATTGGGTTCGTTCATATTCCCAATTTTAAGTATTTTAGGTTTATGTGCTTTATTAATGCTACACATAAACTAGTATACGATAGGGTTAATTTAGCTCAAAACAGACTTAAGTACACTTAGTTATTGATGATAGTTAACTTTGATAATGAAACTGTGTACAAATTTAACATTACAAATTCTAATAATGAAAATCTCAATTAGATTTTCAAATATGCTTAGTCATAGAGTCTTTTGCAATTGCAAGATGAGTTTTTAAATAAATACAATTTTTCTTAAAAAACTATAATGATAGATGGAGATAAATATTGGAGTGGTTTGAATTCTATTTTATAATATACAACAAATATTGAGTGTTTTTTTTTGATCGATCTAATTCAACAGCTGAATAGATCTTCGATATAGATAGTGGATATGTAAACTAACGTTTCTTATATTTGGGAAAAGGCTTACTTTGAAGGTATATATTTTTAAATTAAAATAGAGTATTATGCAAATACATATTCGGAAATAATATACAATACAATTGTGAGGATATGTAAATGCACTATAGGATTGTTTTTTTAATGTATAACAGCTTCTATTTATTTCAAAATGTTATTTATTTATATGCCTGTGTTTTCCTTAATTATCAGTATTATTTTGAAGTTATGATTATAGTTGGGTTAATATTTTGCAGGAATCATTAAGAATTGCAGATATTGGCAAGAAGCTATCCTTGGATTTATCATTATTTTAATATCTTAACAAGCAACAATAAATTGAAAAATCAAATTATTGACTCCTTTTTATAAACTCTTTATATGTTTTTGCTGATATTTGGTTTGACTTGGGCTTAAGTAAATTTACTATTATTCAAGAAACAACATTCAATTTATTTAATAGATAAAATAACCCAGTATAATAATAAAACATTTTTAGGCATGCGTTTTCTTTCGAATATTTTAGTTTACACTTTCTTAGAACAAGATCTTCTTTATATTTTGTTCCTAAGTATTGCTTCATCATCAGATTTTTTCTTTACTATTATGTGAGCTCTACTTTATTTGGACACTATCAGCTGGCTCAATACATTAGTTTATTTGGCTAATTGGGAGTGTTTTGTTATTTTATTAATAAATTTGAGATACCTGCTTTAAATTGGTCTGAGAGATCTCCATATACACCCACAATTAACAGACCAAGAGCCTATTATGTACCTTTATTTCCAATGAGCTGGGTTAATGACACTCCTTAACTATGGTCAATGTTTTATCCACTTTATGGAAGAAGGTAGCTATATTGAATAAGTTTAGATATTTTACAGTGTAGAATCTGGCTTTGGTGGATTAAGATTTCCCGTTATTAAATCATATTCTACAATAAGAGATTTAATAAGGTTTAGAAATTCCATAAGATTAAGAAGTCTAAATTGAAATAAATTAATAAATTCAGATACCTTAAAATAATAATATTTAAAAGATTGACTAATAGCAATAATAATAAGAAGAATAATAAGAATAATAATAGCAATAATAATAACAATAACAATAATTTTGATAATAGTAGTGGTGGAGACTAAATCAAATTCAATAAGTTTAAGTTTAGGTTGTACATTAAAATTAAGAAATTCAGCACTTGAATCAGGAATAAATTTGATAAATCAGATTTAATGATTATTATTAATGTTATATTATGGTTGATGGGGATGGATTTAGAATGTTTATTGTTCAGAGTACATAAGTCATTGTTATCATTTTCAAAAAGCAAGCAAATCGTTAGCATTTTATTTAAGACATCGTCCATTTCAATTTTTTTCTATTTGATATATTTCATTGTGCTCAATTTAATTTAAATATCAAAACAATCATGCACAAATAATATTGGTATTTATTTTCCTTTAAATAGAATTTATGAATGAAAACTAATTCAAAAATGAAACCTTATTCAAAATATATATTTATGATTAAGATGAAATTTACTAATCTTACAAATATACGAAATAATCAGCAATTTATAGTTTGCCTGAAGAAATTCTGAAAAAACATAATGTCTCTATAGAAGAGTATAAATTAAACAAGGAATGTTATGCCAAAAATTGGGTTGAAAATTTGATTTTAACTTAACCAAATATTGAGATTCTCTTTTTAAATGACTTAATATAAAAGTTAAGGAATGTGAATGAGACCCATTATATATTAGAAATTGAGAACAATAAGGTTTTAATTTGGATGAATAAATTGGAAGTTGAAGAGGAAACAAATCGGGTTTCTGAAAAAATCTTTAAAGTTTTCGCTTTTATGATAAAATGCACAATCTATTTGTTTTGTTAAACATGTATAGCTAGTTTGATTATTAAAATCCTTTAATTTGGAATTCCCATTCTATTGAATGCAGGATGGTATAGATTATATCAAAGAATATTGATTAATAATAATAAAACTTCTCATATGCTAAAGATAAGTTACCTATTGTTATTTTTTGTATTTTTTTAGGTATATTAATCTAGAACACTGTTAACTTACATCTATTATAACCAAGCAACAATCCAATCGTAGAAAAATCTGTTATTGTAAAAAATTCATTAAAAATAGATTGATTTTATTTAATGAGATTATGAGTAATTTTTTCTTCAGGACTAGATCTACTTTAGCATTTGCACCAAAATATTTAGTTTCTTATTATATACTATTTTTCATATATATGGAAGGCACAAGTACTGATATTTATTTATTATAATAGGTTTTGCATTTTATTATCATTTTGTAAATATTTTATGGCTCCTTAGTATTGCAACTGTTCTTGGTTTTTTGCATTTTTATGAAATACCAGCTATACAAGAGTGGAATGAAGCTTCATTCTATACTCCAAAAATATCTAGACCAAGAACCCTTTATTTTCCGCTTACTCAACTAGAATGGAAGGTGGATATTCCTTAAATATGGACTATGTTTTATCCTTTACATGGTAGAAAATTTTTCAATGTTGAAAATTTGGCATTAGTTGACGATAATTAAGATCTATTAAATAATTATTTATAATAGAATGCTGCTAATTAGTGATATTCATTCATATTTTTTGATTTGTTTTAAAACTAATTCATTATTCAAATTTAATAATATTTTTCAAAACTTTTTTCAAGTTCTCTTCTCGAAGAATCTCGAAAATATGCTTTTTTGTTCTGCTATAAAAATTCCACAAATTCGTAAACCTTTAAAATAATAATTATTCAATACATTTTTTATAATTGTAGGTTTTAATTTATCGTATGTATGATCAACATAATTATTGAATAATAAATTATTCAAAAATAAGCACTAATAATTGAAGGATACGCAATAATTTGGATTTTCATTTTTGACTTAATAATAGTAATAGACATTTGTATCAAGTTTGCCAAAAAATTTATCCGACAAATAATGCATCCCATGTGAAATTTATTATGCTTACATAAATTATAGTAAAGAGAGTATAATAATAATTGTATTCATAAATATTATTGTTTTACAAAATGAAAAATTCTCCAAAAGAAAAACTAAAATATTCTAGAAACAAAATATATTAACAAAACACTAAAATAATTTTTTTAATTCCTTATATAAAGTGAAATATAATTTCCATTTGATTATTATACTATAGATTGTGTCAAAATAATTCTTGATTTATTAAAATTCATTATTATTCCTAATACATTTGTTCCTTTGAAATAATTTATAATATCGTTTGAACTGATGTATTCATCTTATCTTTGTAAATTTTTAAATTATATTTAGTTATCTTACAAATTAAAGCTAAGTAATGTATTAACCATATTTATTTAGTTTTTCTCATTTTTCGTTCTATAATCAAAGATCTTAATATATATGTTAATCAGAAATACCATCTAAATATAAGCGCAATATATCAACTTAATATACTATTTCCAAATCATTATTACAAAAATTGAAGGTTTATCCTAGAAGATGTTGTATTTTATAATTAAAATTCATCAGTATTGATAAATCAGGAATGTAATAGATCTTGTTATACATCAAATATTTCAAGAAAGTTTACTGAATTCTTTTTGTAAACAAACCTCACCCATTTATATTAAATTAATTTAAAAACAAAAGTTATCTGTTATTTTTTCCTTCTCTTTTCTAGCAACGATGCCTAAGTCAAATAAAACGTGATTTTGTTTCAACTTTAATTAAGGCATACTTTTGTTAATAAAGTAAGAATAATTGAAGAAGGGAACCCTATATAGAGTATATATCCCCAATTTAATCAATTATATATAAAAATAATTTATGAAAGGTTTTTTGCAATTTTGCAATACAACAGTAATGCAAATAATTATCTCACTTGATACTTATTTGTTATAATTGGCAATCTAAATACTTATTTGAGGTTTGTTTTATTTTTTCTTAAAGTTGATATTTAGAACTTTAAATAAATTAAGTAGCGTCAAAAAGTTTACTAAATGAACTCAGGAGGCTACTACTCCTTAGACTAAAGGATAAAAGAAAATTTAATAAAGTATAATACAATTTTATTGGATTTATGACTACAGATATTGTAAATTATGCGAGAATGTATATCTTATATTCATAATTGTTGAATTGGAAGAGTAAATAATGAAAATAGAATATTTTTTGAAAAATTAATAGAATGATATAATATTCTATTAACGAAAAATTTATTCAAGTCATCTTAAAAGGAATAATAATAAAAATCAAAATTTAATTCATAAAAATAATCAAACTCCACTTCGCCCTTTTATAGAGAAATTTGATGAAATTATCATCAAACTAGCCAACTAAAATGAAACTCCTTTCTCATATTATAAAATAGATTTGTCACTAAGGAATAAGCCAAGACTATCATAAAATTACATAATATATTAATATCTACTAATTGTATAAAAAAATTATTGGATATGTATCTAATTCTAATTTTAATTTTAATTAGAAAAAAATGGCAACTGATGGAAATTAGGCATAAGATGTATTTATTATTATATTTTATAGACTATGCTGAGAGGAGTGATACATAATTTATAGCAGAACAATTTTTTAGGTAGTTAATGAAGTATTCAAATTTTAGATGATCCATACTGCCCTAATGAATAAGTCATTGATAATCAATATGAATATTACAATTAGGATTACTTAGATCCTTCATCATTATCAATGGATGGCAAATTAAAGGAAGAGTAATTAACATTAATACCAAAGGTCTTATCGAAAAGTTCAAAAAGAAAATTATCAACATAGTATCTCAGCTAGTTAATTTTGAATCACTCATTTTATTTTTTGTTAAATATCAAACGATTTTAAGGTTGACAATTCTATAACGTCATTTCATCTGTAAATGATAACAATACAGAGTCTGTAGTCTTAAAAAATAACTCGTGATTGATTAAAATGAAACCCGTATTTTAAGAAAGAAGACAGTATAAATTAATAACGATGCAAATGGAATGTTTGTTTATTTATAAATGCTCAAAATTTAATATTGATTAAATTGTTTTATGCATCTTTTTAATAAGAAAAATCTGAAAGCTTATAATATGGATACTTCTTTGCCAGAGCGGATATTCTAGTTTCCCTCACATGAAATAATTACTTATTTTGAAATATAATTCTTAATATTTTTAAATTCATTATATTTCATTGATATTTTTTGGAGTAAGAATCCAATAAACTTTTCTAAAGAAATCTATTCATATTTATAAGAATCACAAATTTCCAGGATTTCCTTAAAATTCTTCTTTACTTATTTAACCATCGCCATTCTATAGTTAATTAAATAAAAATCTACTGTGTCAAATACATTGAATGCTTATTATAATCCTTGCTTGCTTAATAATTTTTCTTCATTAGCAGCAGATTGTGATGAATTCAGTGAAATCAACAAATCCAGATTATTCATGTCTACCTTGTCAAATATATCATCAACCATTTATTTTGCTTTGATCTCATCATATTATTTCAATTAGACTAGAATAATAACGTTTGTTTTACCTTATAGTATTCCTCCTTACTAATTTATCAATTTCCATCTTTACATTCGTCATTAGATTAGCTGAGATGAACTGCATCAAAGCAGCTCTCACCTAATTATTCCCCTTAGAAAATTGATGAAATCTGTACGAAAAAAGATGACAAACGATTAATTGCCTTGAAGTCTATAGGTGCATTAGGAGCATTAGTTTTAATCCATTGATCATTAAATGCATCTTATGCTGAGATTCTATATGTGTAATCTTTAGTAAGCATTTTTTTAATCAATTTTTGCTTCCTCTGAAATTTTGCACCAATCCTCAGATAAACTTATAATTTAACAACAATTACGATCAAATTCATACTTTCCAATCTCTATATTTTATAAAACCTCTTAATCATGTCCTCCAAATGGTGGATAACCACATAGCATAATATATAGTATGACACCACAGCTCCATACATCACATTTTTCATTATAATTTCTTTTCAAAACCTCTGGAGACATATAATATGGCTAAAGTAAAGTTATTTAATTTAATAATACAGTTCCTAATCTTTTCGTTAAATTTTGATTGTTTTCGACTTTTTAGAGGTTCCAAAATCAATGATTTTTAAATTTGAATTTGGTTTCTTATTTTCAAAAACGATATTTTCTGGTTTTGAATCTCTATGAGCAATTTTTTTCTCATGACAATGAACTACTCCCCTAATATTTGCTTCAATATACCAGCAGCCATTAACTCTGTAAAAATTTCATGTCCGTAATCTTTTCAAATAATTCCCCTCCCTCTAAAAATCTAATATTATTATCATATTTTTATTTATAAGTAAGATAAATTTTTATACATTCTGATTTGGTTTTTCCTGCTTCTGATTGATCTATTCCATAATGATCAGTTTCAGAATTCATTAACAAAAACGTTATCATAAATTAGAATAGAATATCTTGTAAAGTTAGAGAAATTAAATATTATCAATGCTAATCAATTTATAAAATCAAGACCAAATCAAACTAAATCTAAAATCTGCCAAAACTCTTCTAAAATACATTGAAGGTAAGTAAAATTTCTTTTAAAATACCAATGTATATTAACTGAGAAGATACAGAAATAGAGCCATGTTTATTAATTTTACTGATGAAATGGCAAAAATCTTATGATAATTAAGTATATGCATTTTGAATTCCATATATTAAAACCTAATATATATGAAAATGAATACATCCATATAAGTAATTAATGGAAATGAATTACACTATTTATAAAAATGAATCTATCCCATATAAAGTCTTGATATTACTTAGAATAACGACTTTTGTTTTGCCAATCTTAATGGCGAAATGATTTCATTCTAAATAATGAATAATTTGAAAGAAAGTTATATCCAAATAATAAAATTAAAAATGTAATATTTGTTAGAATCTAAAAGAGAAAGTTGGGAGTTTTTGAAATTGTTGTTTAATAGTGTTTAAATAATAAAATATAAACAGTTTGAATAATTATCATGAAATTTATTTTGTTATTGAAAGATATATCTATGTTAATAAGCATGTTCCAAAGAATAATGGAATCCAGTCTTTTTATATTCATTAAATTGATACATAAATTTTTTTGTTTAACATAGATCCATATTATATCGATATCTGATGTGTACATAGCGATTATTTCTAATAAGATTACACATTATGAGATAGATCGTATTGTGATGGCAAATAATTTATTTTAAATTTATATTTTATCTTCAAATAAGTGAAGCAAGAATAAAGTCACATAAAACCAAATAGTTTTAGTATCAGAATTCACAAGTATTATGGTTATACTATAAATAAGTAGCAAATTCAAATAAACATTCTAAGAGAAAACATCTTTGACATATTTAATTATAAAATTTTAGTAAGTAGCACAAAAGTATTTCTCAAATGATTAAGCTGAATTGACCAAAAACATATTTTTTGGATTGTTAGTTTGAATATCTACATCATCATAACTTGCCCAACATTCTTATAAAGCCCACAAAAATATAAATTTCAAATAGATTTGAATTGCTGATGTTACAAAGAATGAAATGCCAGAAAGTGTTGTTATCTATTTTTTCCATAACCATTCATTCTCTTTGTGATTAGCTACTGCATAACATTATGTTAGAATTTGAAGTGCCAACAAGATAATACCACTCATTATATACTTATGTTTTTTGTAAACTGATAAATTCATCCTAATCTGGGTTTACCAATCAGTGAATTAGATCAGTGGTCCTGAGTAGTAGAGAGGTGGATAAAGAAGATAAGCCAGATATTCTATTAGCTTAATTTCCTATACTTCCACATTGTAACTTGTCATCCGAAGCAGATTCCAAACATAGATGTGCTACCAAGGGATTGGAGCAGCTTGATTGAATTCTTTTCCACTGTCACCCCATATGTTATTCAAACCATTCAATATATTAATTAGGTAAATGATGATCAAATGCAAAATCCAATGTATTTTTAGAAATTAAGCCGATTACTTGCATAACTTTACAAATATGAAATTAGCAAACATTAAGATGAGATTAATAGCAAATCCAAATCTACTTAAGTATCCTCCAAATATTATTCCTGAAAAAATATAAAATGGCATTCTTTATTTCTGAAACAAATGTCTTAAGACTTTCAATATTAACGATATTTACAGAAATAACTCAACAAGTAAATTAACAGTGCCTATACATAGCGATAAAGTACTCTCCATTCTGGATCTAGAAAATCGATTGTCCAACTAAGCAATGGAAATTCAATAGTCCCATTAAATCTGGTTGTACTCAAATAAACTGAATATAATAATCAATGGTTATTACTTATTGAATAAACAATGGCAATTGCAATATAGAAACACCATATAACCAAAACTACATATTCTTACTAATCAAAAAATAATTATACCTTTAATCATCTTTTTCCTGTTTTAAATAATATATAATCTTACAATAGTAAAATAGAGTTAATATTAAAATGTTATTAAGTTTTAATATAATCATCAATCGTCTTCATCAACATCCGAGTGTTCTTCATCATCCTCTTTAATTATAGGTTAAGAAGTTTTTTCATTTATCAATGTACTCGAGAATACCAGCTCCATTAAATTCTTTGATTCTTATAGATGCTTCTTCTTACTAAGTGGGGGGGGATACATAGGATCAATAGCAATCCTTACTGTATTCTCTATTAAATGAGTTATCAAACGAGCCAGCAATGGACAACAGGTTTCTAAACAAGGATTTGTGTTGACTTCAATCAACCACGGTTTCATATCTGAATCAATCATAAAGTCTAATCCAAACAATTCAAAAGAATAGAAAAGTTTATTTGGATTTAAGTGTTAATAAGTGGCCTTCACGATATCTATGCTGAGTTTTTTTAATTGATCAAGTATTATTTAGAAGTTATAATTATGTTGATCATTTAAATACTTTTGAAATTCATTATAAGAAATCTAATCAAATAGGTAATATAATTACTTTGTTTCCTGTTTCAAATTTCCCATAATTTTGGTTTTTCTTTTATACTGCATCATTCGTGAGATGAGTAAACTTATCATCAACATCGTCCAAGTTAAATTCCTTACAACTTGTCCTTATGTATCCTTCTTTGTACCAATAAGCTTTAAATGTATTATTTACACTTGTCATAAGCATATAACATCGAATATCAAATTTTCTCTTATTATATAACAATGGTTTTTCTAGATATTTTTAGATAATGAATGTCTTTTTAGAATTGCTTAAATGAAGGTTTTATTGAGAGATTATTTATTTAACTTTAGCTATAGAATTGGCTACTTAAATGCCATTTCCTCGATTTGATGATTCTCCTGGCTTGATTATCCACAGATTACTATTATTTGATTTTGCAAAGTTTTCAAACTCTATAAAGGCTGGATCGTTTACACCTGTTTTAACATGATAAGTTAATGGAATATATTAAAATGGATCTTCATTAAGAGAAAGATAATAATTTTTCATATTATAAAACAATGCCTTTTTATTACAAACTTAGAAATTGCATTATAAATGGTTATGCACTCTGAGAATGGTACTTTAATTAAACAACTAAAATTCTGATTCTTCAATATTAAATTTTATTTTATCTTTAATAGACTTTTTTTATTATTTTGTAAATTAAACATTTTCCAATTAATATCGTTTAACTGAATCATATTCTTATTATTTTCTTAATTGTGTCCAATACAAATTTAAATCTTCACAAGGTTGATCTATCAATATCCACCAAGATCTCAATTTTAAACATTACCTAATTAAAGTCCCATTGTTTCCTTTAGTAATAAATGCTTTATAAAAGGTTCTTTCTGGAGGTACAACATTGATATTGTTTGTGAATGCTATCATGACTGGTAAATCATTAATTTCTTAATTTTCTTTATTTAATTCATTTTTGTTTGTTGTTGCTTTTTTGACTTAAAATTACTTCAAGGGGATTACTCTTAATTCCTTTTTACATTTATCTAATGAATTTGAATCTGGAAGGGTTTCAAATAGATTTCTCTTAATTATTAATTTAGTTTCACTGGATTTTCTATTATGTATTTCAATTCTCGGAGGATAAGAAACGACAGTTGGTAATAGTTGTGGAGTGCATTGAGAACATGTTTTCATTAATTGTTGATCTTATTATTGTTTATTCATAAGATCAAAGAATTATAAAAATCCTTTCATACGGAGTGAGTTTAATTTAGGATGATATTGTCTAACAGATTGTAATTAAGTGGAATCTGCACATTTAGTGTTGCCTTTAATAAACAGGAACTCCATTCCATGGTTTTGCATTATAAAATAAAATTAATTATCAATAAATAGTTGAATAATAATACTTTAAATTTTAAGAAATAAAAACTTATTTTATAAGAAATACTATTATTACTTAATTTAAACAGACTAAAAAGTATTTTTGAGTTTCTTGAACAATTTTGGATGAATTAACTTCATTTAAAAATAAAAACGTACTTTTGGTCATTCATGATTAATAAAATTATCTATAAATTAATTTAAATTTATATAATGGATTGCTAAATTAATCTCATTAAATTATTAATTGTCTTCTAAATAATTTTGATAAAATTTAAGAAATATTTCGTGTCTTTCCATCCATAGCAAATATTGAATTTAATAATAATAGATAAAATCCAACTCTTTCTTAAATTATGGATGCTAATGAGTGAGGTATTATATAATGAATAAAGTAGATTATATATGATTTCAATTATACTTTAGTTAAATTTACTCTTGATTCACAAACTCTAATTAGAACATAATGGAATTGATATATGAATGAGTATAATATTATAAAATAATAAATATTTGATATCATAAGTCGATCTGTTTTTAATGAAATTGAATATTTTATTCTGTACAATTGGTATAATAGTCTATTATTATAAATTATGTAATATAAATAAAGAAAGTAGAATAAATTATCATATTTTAACTTTAGAATTTTTTCCTACATTGCTGAAGATAATTAAACACAGATTCAGTATTACAAATTTGATAATATCAAGGAGTATCAGTCCAAAGAGCAATCTAGTATAGAGTTAAAGCGTTTCAGCTTAAAAAGAAATTAAAATAAGTAGGATTGGTTCAAAAACCATGACTTCTATGCTTTTAAGGATGTAACTACTAATGATGATGGTATTTTCTGAATTATTTCGATTTCTAAAAGGGTACATTGGTATCCATTAAAGTTCGATTGGAAATATGATAAACATTATTGTTCTGAAAGAGAGAATATTATCCTTATAATTGATTGGTTTAAGATCTTCTTATTCAGGACAAATCTCTTAAATGAAATTGGCTCTAAACACGTAGCTCATGGGAAGATACGATCTATTTTGAAGGTTGTATTTGTCCATGAAAATCAACTTAGATGTTGTAAGTAAATGTAAAATCCGAGGAATCTAGATGAAAATTACAAAATAGGCTGTAACTTTGCTATCTTAATAAGGATCTATTATCTTGTTTTCATCCACTGTTCCTATACAAAAAAACACTAATATTAGTAACCTTAAGCATATATCCAACATAATATTTGACAATAACCAGATCTTCATCCCAGGATTATTTGTTATATACTCCAAATACAAAAATGTTATATTGATAGGAACAATTTCTTTTTTAAAAGAGGGTTTCACTTCTTTAACTTCTCTCCCTAATAGCCTTAACTAGATGAGTGATTATTATGCCTCTAAGGTTTGTTGGGTGGAGATGGGAGAATCTTATGATTCGTAATTATTGACGATCTGCATTTCTACATTAATTGAAGTTGCATCCCTTTTTTCCTTTGGATCATCTTCTAAACTGCGAAAGCTGTTACTCTACTCTTGATCATGACGTAAAGAGAAAAATAGACTTGATTGAGGCTCATTCCTCTCATTGCTGTCTATTATTGATTACATTATAATTATAATTTAATATAGAATATTTTTATTATTTGAATCCAGATAGAAACCTTAATCAACAAGAAGTTGTTGAAGCATATAGTGTATTTTTTATTCGAGGAAAGCCAGATCATTGGACTGTGACCTTAAACTATGCTAATATATATCGCAAATTTCTCGAATTATAGCGATCTATGTTTTTTAATTAATTCAATTATATGTCTAAGTAATGTATATATAATATTATATATAATGTAAATAAACAAATAATTTGCAATAACTAAATTATTGCCAGACTTATGAAGTATGCAACTATTCTCACAGGATAGAGGGATTCACAGCCATTTAAAGTTAATTTTATATTGATATTTCATTAATATTATAATCGAACCTAAAATATTAAGTCTAATTAAATATGGAATGAATGAAATATTTTGCCTTTTTAACAAATGCACATTGCAAATTATTCCAATTATCCTTTGAACTACATTAGATATTAACAAAGTTGCGATAAAAAAGAGTTTGATGATCGATCTTTTTCGTTATGGTATTAATTTATTGATCATTTTTATTCATTCTATTCTTCCTCATAAACTTATTCTTTTTGATTTTTATTGTAATTATCTCCCGTATCTTGCAACTTGTTTTATTCAAAATTTAGAACATATCATTTTTAATATTCTGAATCAATACTTTTAACTAATTATGAATAAATTAAAATTTTGTGATATTCTACTACCTGCCATATTGATTATGGCTCCGCAAGTGATTGAACTTAATTTTGATTCTATTCTGCTGATGAATTTTCTGGTTGAATTGACTACGAATCTAAATCATATTCTACCTTCTAGTCTTCATTTAATGCTAGATTATTAAAATTTTGGATTGCTTCAACTTATTTAGATGAATATCTTATTTATCAGTTTATTATGATTAATTAGTTTCATCGATAATTACTTTAAATATTCGCTTCTGATTGGTTTTCATTTGATAAACAGCTATAATTGGGTTGTTAAAACAAATCATGATACTAGACTGGATTATAGATTTCAATTGATCCTTCATTCTTTAAAAATTGAGTTTTAGTTGATTGCTTTTAAATTGATTCAACAGCTTATTGTTGAATATTTGAATTTTATTATGTTCTGCTTAATGAAATTTCTTCCAAGATCTTGGATATTTTCTGAATTGATGATACTGTAATATAGAAGCAAAGCAGAGAATGAGAAGAATATTTTATCATTAATTATTTAATAAATGCGAAAATCCTAGAAAATGCCCTCCTAATAATAAATCAAGAATATTATCACACCAACAGGGAGTTCACAAATAACCTACAGTCCTGAGTTATCTCCGATCAATAAACCACAAAAATAAATGACTCGAAAGACATCCATGATTGAATTGCATAGAGTAGAAAGTGAAGCTATTAGAGTCAGACCTCAAAGGGTGCTATAAATCATTAAAGATGCAAAGCAATAATTATTCTCTTAATAAAATCCTCGAAATGAAAAAAAACTTAAGCCAAGAGTGGAAACATCTGAAGGGTAAAATAGAGGACTAGATTTTACATTTGCATAGAATTTCTCAAACAAGTAAATTATTATGAAAGAATTCTCCTCGAATGGTCTCAGAAAAAAATTCTTTATATGATCAAACATTAATGATAATATATTATCATTCACATTTTAGTAACAGTCTTCTTTATTAATTTTTATAATCAAGATAAGTTTATTAGTCATAATTATATGATAAGCATTTCTTTGATATACTTACACATCATGAAGTAATCTCAAATGTTTGAACAACTAGTATTTACGTTTTACATTTCATAAATAAGAAGTGATCTGTAAACATATTGATTTTTCTAACTACGCTATTATTTTTGCTGTAATGGGGCATTTAATAATTAGATAGTAATTAAATAGATGTTGATATCAATATTAATCAATTAGAATCGATACTTTGAACTAAGATTGTATTGAACTTTAGATATAAATTTTGCATAAATTTTCATTATGTAAAGGTATAATTCAATTGCTAATTATCCACTTGATAGTCTTTTGCAAATCTCCATCATTCTTTTTGAGCCATCTTGTGGCTTAAAATCTATCAACATCGAATTCTTTGACAATTAAGTCAATATGTGCTTCATTTAATTTGATGGTCTCCTATTATATTTCAACTGGCTAGATATAAATTAAACAAATTACTTATTCTGTTCCAGAGACTTCAACTTCCTGGTCTTCATTTCTCATCACAATTTTCTGATTCATTAAATTTTAATAACAAATTTAATATAATTTGTTAAATACGATCTTTTTAGTGAATAGGGTTATGAACAGATGAGAGGTGAAATAAAAAAAGTCAATTGGTTTTTTGATTATAAGAATTAATTGATAATTTAATATAATTAATGGAAAGTAAACTATAAAATTTCGAGATCCTAAACAAATTAGGTAATGTGGATTCTTGATATTTTAGGCTCTGGAGCTTATTCATAAGTGTATAAAGTGTAGAGAAAGTCTGATGGGAAATTATATGCTTTGAAGAAAGTAATTGGAGTGATTTACAGGAATAGGTGAAATTGATTGATATTGGAGATAGAGAGAAACAGAACGCATTGAATGAAGTTCGGTTTATAGCATCTATTCATCATGAGAATGTAGTTTCATATAAAGAATGCTTTATTGAAGATAATAATTTATGGTATGGCAGTTGTTGTAATAAAGTATAATAATGGAGTATGCTGAGGGAGGAGATCTGTTACAAAAGATTTAAAGATATGTGAAAAAACAATAGATGATTCCAGAGTAATAGATATGGTAAGCGGCAATATAGGTGTTATAAGGTTTGCGAGCATTGCATCATAAAAAAATATTGCATAGAGATTTGAAGTGTGCAAATATCTTCTTATACGACAATGATCATGTAAAACTAGGAGATTTTAATGTTTCCAAATTGGCTAAGAATGGACTTGTCTATACATAAACTGGTACTCCCTATTATGCCAGTCCAGAGGTTTGGTAAGACAAACCTTACGATCATAAGGCAGATCTCTGGTCCTTGGGGTGTGTCATATATGAAATGTGTGCCTTGAAACCGTATTCTTATTCCCACATTCTAAATTAGACCCTTTAGAGCCAAAGATATGGATAGTCTATATAAATCTGTTCTAAGAGGACAATATTAACCAATCCCTGTTATCTACTCCTAAGAATTAGTTTAATTGATCAAAAGCATGATGCAAGTTCAACCTTCAAATCGTCCTGATTCTGGTACTCATAAAGTGATTATCTAGATAAATTACTACAATTCTCTTTCATTTAGAAGAAAGCCAAACTATATGGGATTCCTTTGATTAATGATGAAATCGAGGATGATTTGTTAAAGACCATCAAATGGCCTATTACTAGAAAAGGCTTATAAACAAATAAATCAGAACTCATAAATTTAAATTGTTAATTACCTGGGAGCAATTATTTGAATTAACACAATTCCAATCATATCAAGAGGAAAGACCAATCTAATAGAATAAGATCTTAGGATACTAATGATTCCATCTCTGTAAATCAACCTAATGAAGCTTTACATCAATTGATGAAACAAATTACTCAATTGGACTAAAAGGAAGATGAAAAAACTTCAAATGTCAATCACAATTTAAATAAATCCATTTAAAAATAGGCAATCTAAGAAAATATCCAACCAATTGACCGAAGATTGCGAGTATCCAATTCTACTCATGAAAAACACGAGAGATATGAATCCAATTAACAATCGTAAATTATTAAATAGAATCTCTAGTAAATGCGCTTCTAAGGATAGACTAGACCATCAAATATAAATCAATTCTAACTATTATGCGAAAGATGTTATCCAATCTCTAAATAAATAGCATTATTCTTAAAAGTTACCAATAATTAGTGGAATTTAAAAATAAGGGGAGGAGTATATTTTAAGAAAAAATTCCTCTAATGAGAGAAACTCTAGTAGTTATCTGAAAAGATCACAACATGAAACTTAGAAAAAAGATTTATCTATTCAACCAAGTGCTGAAAGACCAACAGCTTTAATGAAAATTATAGAGGAACATCAATAATTACCTAAAATTAAAAAGAAGTACTGAAATATCTAATTTTCCATTTTACCAATTAATTACAATTAACAGAAATAATTTATATATTATAACAAATATTGGACATTTTTTTTGAATTAAAACAATTTAAAAATTCAACTAACAAGAAGTACCATTAATTCTGACTCTTACCCTATTATATTTAAGCAGACCCAGATCACAAATGAGACTGTCGTTATTAAAAAGAAAGATGTAAAGTATTAGAAATAGAGTGCATTGAAGCTTGTATGGCAGTGGCAATAATAGTTTGCATAATAGTGCTTAAAGATAATATACAGGTATTTTGTTATTCAATCTTGATTATTCTTTGTTTTGATGTATATCACCTATAACAACAAATTGGATTAAGTTCTACCATTTCATAAAATCAAGAAATTTAGTAAACCTTATTTGAAAGCAATTATATTAATGATCCTTCTGTTTATTATGTGGAAGGATTCTTAAGATTTGCTTGTTTTGTTATTTCAATTGTTGAAAAAACCAAATGAATCAAAATTTTTATTTTTGAGATAAAAATTATTTGATTATACTTTTAATTTTATTTCACCTTTGTCGTTATTAATGTTTTATTTTAGGGATGTATTTATTTGCCTTTTTTTTCTTTTTAACAAAGATTTCATATCCAATCAATTAAGGTGAATGATATAATTCAGTATCTTTATTTCCCAATCCGTAGTTATCCGTAAATCTATGTTAATTCTATTTTGAATTAACTTTTATATTTTACTTTATAGAGTGATAATTATTATTGCTATTTCTAAAATAATTAAATACGAGATATTCATAGATACGGTAGGCAATCTACTCTAATAATTCATTTTTCTTGTAATTTTTTATGTTGAATTAACAAGTATGATCTGCTATTCTATTGATTAATGGTTGTAATTTATATGATCTTTCTAAAAAACAGAGTTTAAATAAATTGATATAAATTTGGAACACAGTTTTATCTCATTACAAAAATTTAATATGATTTTAATTTGATGTTTAGGTTGAAGTTCATTGAATATCAGATTATTTTTAAAACATTATAAGATTAAATTCTCTTTTTAGCTTTACCAGAAGAAACATACTATTAGTATGGTTTTGAAATTATCTTTTACATAAGAACTATAGACTCCAGATCTTTAGAAAATGTAAGAAATTGATATTTTTTTTGTTATAATTTATTTAGATGGTTGTTGTGCATCGATAATGTATTAGCCAGATGGATTCCTTGGTTGGAATCCAAACTTTAAAGATCTAAATTTGTGTAAGAAATGACATGTGTAGGAAAATTTTGGTTAAAATAATATTGTAGGGGGGGGGTGCAATTATTATAAAATGATATATAATAATAAAATGATTGAGACTTAGAAGCTAGTGCATCGCAAATTATCCATTTTGGGATATCCTTAGAATGAGTTCTTTGCTCTGGATAGTTTGAAGCTGAAGATCACAAAAAAGAACTTCACTTGCTAATTACATCCAGGAATATCAATAGACATACCAAAATATATTTAAAAGTTCTATCGCAAGCGCTTCTTTCTCTTTAAAAAATTCAATGAGGGCATATAATTAGATGAGGAATCTTGGTATTCTGTGATACCAGAGGTAGAGATTTGTATAATGAATTAAGGAGATGAGCATCCATATTGCAAATAAATTAAAAACCAGTTCTCCAGGTTCTGATGTGATAGATGGGTTTTGTGGTTCTGGTGGTCTGGCTTATTCAATTGGCGAAATGTTTTAAATCAGTTATTTGTATAGATATTGATCCCATGTAAAATTAAATATTTTATAAACTTAGAAAGATCAATAACATTACAAATAATTTGTAAGTGTATGAGTCCATAGCAACTGTTATTTAAATGAATTTTCTTGAGTACACTCATACCAATTAAGATTTCATTCTCATAATGTGTCCACCTTGGTATTATCTCCATTAAATTTAGGGGTGGTTTGAACTATTCACATCAACCATATGATCTTAATAGCATGAAACCGTCTCTAGAAGATCTATTGACAAAAGGACTGCAGATGACCAATAAAATAGTTCTTTAATTACCAAAAAACATTGATATATAATAACTGGTCAGTATCTTCAAGGATGTCACTGACAAACTTAGATTAGAACTCAAACCTATAGAAGTTGAGATGATGCTCATCAATGAGCAAATTAATTAATTAATTATTTACTATGGGTTATGAAATCAATTTTATATTTTAATTAATTCTTTCTCCTTTTTTTTATTATTATTGATGGCTAATATTTCTATGCCATTTTTTCAATATTAAATCTTCAATTTTTGAAACGATAAAGTCTTAAAAACCACTTCTGCCTAATATGTTCCGAATACCATCATAACATCATTTTAAAACTAAAGATATTATTTAGTAACAATTCAAAAGGGTATATTTGAACTAGTAAAAGAATATCATTGAACTCAAAATGATTCAAGAAACCTTTAACAAACATTTATCTGTGCATAATCAATCCAATCTTGATATCCAATATATAATAAATTTTCAATTTTAACAAATATCACAGTTTATCTTTTATCCTAATCCTGATTTTCAAAATTTCCCCTTAAATTTAGAACTTTTAATTGTTGTTCCCTAATTCCATTTGTTAGTAGACTCAATCTATTCCTGTTATTTAGACGGTGATATCAAATTTTTCAATACTATCTTAAATTTAGAAAGTTTTTAAAATAATATTATGCAAATCTTACTTTAGGTTGTATGTTTAAATTACAAAAATTGTCTTAAGATCAAAAATATTCTAAAAATGCTGACAAGAATTTTTTCAATCCTATTTATCTATAGAAGATATGTTTAGTTTAATTTTGATTTAAATCCAATTTAATTAGCCTTGAAAGCCTTCAAAGGTTGGTGGAGGAGAAAAACATTAAAATTTACAATTGTTTATATTCATGTTAAAAAAATAAATATCAAAATCCAAAAAACATTTCTAATTTTAAAACAGAGTGTCCCTATCACTGATTTATTATGATTAGTTTTCTTTAATCACAATTTATGTTATAATTTTTATATTTTTTTTTTTAATTATTATGACAGATTTAGAGAGTGTTAGAAAGGAGATTACCAGATTATAAGCAGAGAATGCTAAATTAACAACGAAGATAGTGAGAAATAGAAAAGTAATAGCATAAAAGGAAGAAACATATATTAAAGTTTAAGATATAGCAAATGAGTAAGAAACCTTTGACTCTGATTCAACATAAGCATCCTTTAAGATTAAATAATTGCCAAGTGGAATGGATAAAGTCAGAGAACTTTACAAAACTGTGTGTTAATGTGGAGATGCAGCCAAGTTTAAGTAATTCTATATCTCATTTTTAAGTGGATTTTGTGAAAATTGTGTTAAGAAAATGAAAGAAGATTATGAGAAGGCTTTGAATGATTACTTACCAGTATCTGTTTAATATGAGAAAGTTTATTCTAATAATGTAAATAAAGAAGTGAAAATGCTATCAATTAAAAATAAAATTGACTCTATGAGAGAAAAAATCAAAGAAGGTGACATTAGCTTTTAGGATGGTGATCTAAAAATATTGTAGGACGAAATCGATTATTTGAGAAAACAAATTAAAGTTACATAAATGGATGTATTTTATAAATATTATATTAAGTATGAAGTTTAACAAAAAGAGTTTACTCGATATGTTGAAGAATAAAATAAAGTCCAGGAGGATTTAGAGATGAGACTAGCTAAAAAGGAAGACAAGATATAAAAAATTAAAGAACAGATTGATTTATTGCTCTTAAAAAATAAAAAAATCGAAGAGAACATTGGTTTTGCCAAAGAAGAGTTGGAAAGTTATGTAAAATGAATCATTTCATCATTATACTACTTGGGTTAAGATAATATTCATTATTCTACAATATAATGTTCATCTTAGAATTAATTATTTGTTGACCGAAAAGGGGTATTTCTGTTCAATTTGAAGGCTCATTATCTAATATTCTATTATGTCTATAATTATTCCAAGTTTTTATTAAATTATGAAATGGAATTTTATCATTATGAGCAATCAGAATTTTTTATTTTTCATGTTAGATTTATTTAAAATCTCATTAAAAACAAATAACTGTTTTTATTTACTAAATATTTTATACTTTTTCTTTTAGTATAAAACTTCATCAATCTAATTTTTATTGGGGAAATTAATTTCTAAATTAAAAGTTTATTTTGATTTCTATCATTCTAAGATAACATAATCTTTTTTCATTTTGTGTTATTATAATTAAAATTTCATACTTAATTCTCTAAAATTTTTGTATTTATATTAAATTATCAAATTATAGATACTCTGATAATCAGAAATAATTATTTAAATTTACATCTACAAAAGGGTGGATTTTGTATGTTTGATTATTATTTTAGATGAAATAGGATACTAGATTCAATTTTACAAACTTTCTCTTTAATTTTTAATAGGATTTTTGTTCTTCAATTTCAAAATACTCAATCATATCTGTGTTAGGACTAAATTTTATTAAATGAGAGGTACTTAATTTCAATTAGTTATATCCACAACTATATATATATAAAGACCAACTATTTCTGATTTAATCTATTAAAATATATATTTAAATACAGCTTATCTTAAAAAAAGTCAATAAAGGCAGAGAGCATCAACTGTTTCCAAATACAATAATGAATCGTTTAAAAAGACTTCTGAAACACACTTTTTGGTGTCATTGTCCCAAAAGCAATTTGATCCAACCCTTATTCCTTATTATAATTAATAGATTACTCCCATAATTATCCCGTTATTAACCAATTAAAACATGTACCATAAATTTGACTTGTAACTGTTTTGGATTGATTTGTTATATGGTAATATGATCTTTTCTTCAATATTTATTGTATTATACAAAATTATTTCTGTGTATTTAGAGGATCTAAATTTGTCTCTGGGTTTTAGCTTGATTAAGTGTTCTTAATTTTGCAATTATGGTTTTTTATGATTTGATGATTCTAATTACTATGTTGCTTTAGATATCACATTTTGGTCATAAGATAATTATAATAGATAAAAATTAAGAAAGTTAAAATTTAATAATACTTTATTGCCATTTTTCTTGAGATCAATAGATTCAATCTATTCTATAAAATATTATAATAATAGTAGTGCTTTAAAAAGTGATTGCTTTCCAAATGAGATTTAAGATGATGATTTTGTTTTTTATCATAATGAACTTTATTATCCTTATTTCATCTTTGGATACATGTTCAATTCAATTCAATTCAACATCTTCCTCCGAGCAGCTAGGCTCGACCGGGTCTGGGGGGGCTCCTTCAATTTTGAATCTCACTCTCTTTCCCCTTGTTTTATCGTCCATTTTCTCTATGTCATCATGCTCTCTCTATCTCTTCCACTGTCCCTCAGGCCCCAGGGAAGGGATAGGGGAAAAATTCCCGAAGCATGCCACTTATGACATCACGATAAATTAAAAGATAAAAAAATTTTTCCATGTTCAATTATAATTTTTTAAATTTTAAATTACTCATTCACAAGATAGATTAATTAAGTGAATAAACTATTCCATAGTTTAATCATAACTTCAATAAATTTCAAAATTAATTAGGAAAATGTGTTAATTTGACTAAAAGAAATTTCATTAAATACATAATCATTAAATTAATCTTATTATTTGACTTATTTTAAATAATATGATAAGCTTGAGCCTTTAACAATCAAAAAAGCAAAAATATAAGTCTATTAGTTCAGATGAAAGATAATAAGTTATCAAACTGTTTTTGGAAAATGCATATTCTGCTAACCAAGTATTTTAAACTTATAATCCAGATAGCTAACATTACAGGCCATAATTTATCAACTATTAAGGCTATATATAGAATTTATAAAAAAGAAGGTAGAATATATAAAAAAGAAAAGAGAGACAAGCAAATCAAAATAAAAAAAAATGTGGTTTTATTAGTGATTGATGAAAAGTACATTTTTATGCTATTATTTTAGAACAAGTCATTTGAATATTATGGCTAAATAATAATTTAAATAAGAAATAGTCATAATGAACAAAGAGATTCCATTTTTATCATTTGAGAATACAATTAATGAGACTATTTTAAATTCTGCTGTTGATGTCCTAAAGCATTTGGATAGTTTTGAATCGAAATAATGCTTCTTATAATCATTAAAAAAGGTCAAGATAGAAAGTTTTGAGATGAAAGTTTCCAAGAGATTAAGGAAATCACAAACTAAGTTAAAGAGAGGATTATGATTTAATCTTAAATTTAATAATTTCGAAATCTTTTTTCTTTAGAAGAATTATAAAAGTAGAAAAAAAAATTGCCCTCGCTTCCACTTAGCCATTAATTGTAGCTAAATTCAAAAATATCTGACCTTAAAACTATTCTAGATTAATGACTATTTTCAAAAATCTTCCTACGATAATTATATATTTTAATTCTATATGTTAACTATTGAAGATTAATAAAAGCTCAATGGTTTAATTTAACTTTAAAATATTCTTACCTTCTTATACTTATAAGAGGATTAATTTATATTACGTTAATTTTGTTTCTCACATAAGTATTGGGAATTAACATCTCAATAGGTTCTCTAAAATTTTTGGTTTTTAGGTGTTATTTGAATAATTGTTTTGGTCTTATTTTCATTTGTGTCAAATAAATTGAAGAATTTTGATCATTCCTGGACTTAGATTCTCATTAAAGTAGAGAAAATTGTTAAATAATGAAATTTATTCAATTGGCCTGAAAATAATAAATGATGTTAAAACGAAGAGGAAATATAAATTTTTATACAAAAGATTCCATCAAAAGAGAATAATAAACTGAGAAATTTCATTACTTATAATCAATTTTCTAAGCAATTTTCCAAATGTTTTAGATTTGAATTTTAACAATTTATATTCTAATTTAATAAACATTACATAGTAACTTACCAAAAGATCTCTTGCTAAAACAATTATAGAATTCTAAAGTCATTAAATTATCAGGGTTTAATCTGAAATATTTGTCCCTCTCAATTGGTCAAGTTCTGTAGATAAATTCAAAAATTTTGATGAGAATTAAGAATTCATTATTTATTATTATTTTATTTGAATAAGGTTAAAATATAGTGTTGCTATGCTACTTAAGAATTTTACACTTTGATTTATTGTACGTTCTGAATTTTACATGAAAATAACAAGTTAATGTACTTATATGTATTATAGATTGTATTTTTCATTTTTCAACTTTAAGTTCTCCAGAATTAATTTTCCCAATGATTGCTTTAACTGGTTATCCATCAACTGTGGCTCCCAAAGATTATGCAGTTCCTAAAACTTATTTGACCGTTCCTGTAAAAGTTTTCGCTAATGACTTTTCTTCAACAGCTCTAGCAACTTTGATGACTTATTCAAGTGTTAAGTTTCCATTATGTTTGACATTCTTTGTCTTCTTTCTATCTCTCTCATAACCCTAAAATCATAAATTATTTAATTACTCCAATTTCTTTAATGAGTAATGCACTTGAGGTAGGAATGACAGTAACATCAGCATTTCTATTTTAGCATCTCAAGTTAACCATAACTCTGATACCCTTCCATTTTCCACTTTCAGCAATAATTTTATCACCAACTTATTTTGGGTTCTTATTAATAAGCTCTTAAATTTACAAGACCGAGAGGCCCCAATTTTGGAGCAAGAGTGGATGCTGGACCACCTTCTCCTCCGAAGACTTTGATGTTAATCAATCTAACTTCATTTGGGTCAACTTTGGGAGGCATTAAAAAAGATTTAAATTTTTTTTAATTCCTTTTGTTTTTAGTTTGAGAAAATAAGGCAAAGAATTTTGAAAATCCTTATCATAAAGAAAAAACCATACATTTCTTACAAATTTTAGGAAATGCCATATCCAAATTCATTTACAAATTTTTTTATAAAGGTGTTCACAAAAATGTTAAAAGAGACAGAAAAAGTTGTGGTATTATAATAATATTTAAATTTAGAGGTGATATTGATCACATTTTCTATCTTTAGCTCAATAACTATAAATCTATTTCTTGAGAAAAATTAATCAACTTAAGAAATAACCTATCGAATTTTATAAAGTTTAAATTTATAGTTTCAGTTCTCTAAATAAATTATCACTGTATTCCATATTAGGATATATGATGATTTAAAAATGTAGTTGTCTGATTTCTAGTCTTAACATATTTAGGATATCCTTCATCATCAAGGAATGTCTCTCTGCAAATTGGACAATTTTATTATTTTTACAACCATTAATTTAAACATGCTTCATGTAAAATGTGTTTACACGGTGTGATCCTACATGGTTTTTAATCTAAAAGGTCTAAGCAAATGATGCATTCTTAATCTTTTGCTGGATCCACGATTCCCATTAAATGCAATAATCCCTTTTATGAGTTCAGACTTTAATTACCTTTATTTTTTTTCTCTTACATATTTTCACATCGCTTTTTAACAATATATATAATAACCAATAAAATTATAAATGACACTATGCTCAATATTATTACTAGTATAAAGTCTTAAAATTAATTATCATTATCCAGCATGTCATATCCAAGAGAAAAATTTATGTTCAAAGAGTAGGGATTTTAAAGTATCAAGACAAACGAATAATTAGCAGATTTTAGATGATAAGATTCAAATTTATCAGAAAAATCTATCTCTTGACCTTCTTAACCAATAATCCCATCAAATACTAGTTTATTATTTTTTAATGATTTGTAAGGTATTTCAAATGGAAACAAAAAATAAATTGTTGCATTAATAGATGGACTTATTGCAATCTTGACATTTCTTATCTACCTCAATTTTAAGAAATAATAATACTGTTAATCATCCACAATGTCATCCTATTGCAAATAAATTGCAATTATTTTACTTTAATAAGGTATCATTTCAACATTATATTTACTTTCATCAAAAATAGGCTCAATATCATATTAACATCTATCTCTAGAAATATTTTTTCTCATATCTTACCCTGCTATCAATTCAAAACATTAACATTCTAACTTTTAGCATAATCCTTTTTCGGAGCAATTGTCAGGGCAATCCCTTTTTTCTACTTGATTTATTTTATACAGATTCTCTGGATACATATAAATGTCCAAGTTATATTCCTTACCCTATTCTACTTCATAATACATTTGTAAATATTATGTATAATTCTTCTAAACTGAACTTTGGATAATTTCTTCTTCAGCTACTTCAATTTTCATATATGTCCATCCCTCACTAAAAATTTCAATAAGAACATATTGATATTCTGCAGTAAAACTAAAAAGGATGCAGTTAATGCTACAAATATTTAAAAAAGTTAGTATAATCATTATAAAGAAATTATATATAAAATTCAATTAAATGAAAGATAAAGATTCATGGCTTTTATATTGATCTACTTTTTAATTGATTCTAATGTTGTTATAAACCTCTACTGCTATTTTTTTATCTTCCATAAAAATAAATTTATGATGAATTTTAAATTAATTCAATTAACTTTTCTTTATTAGAGTGCTTTTTTAGGAGATCTACAGCCTTTTTACCCTTCAAAGATTAAAGATTTTTTTAAGCCTAAATTAGATATAGATTGCTTACTCCATTTTCAATCAGAAATTTAATAATTTGGTAATTTATTTCTGCTTCTTTTGGATTTAATTCCATTTTTATAGAGCATAATTACATTAATAAGTGGAAGCCATGAGATTTATCAACAATCCAATTAATATCTGCTCCATAATGAAGCAATAGTTCTGCCATTTTGAAACAAATTTTCCGATTTTCAAATATATTCTTCTCCTTAAAAAATAATAATTTAAATAAATACTTCTTCTAATCTAGCAAAGCATGAAATAAAGGCTGTCTAATTAAATGTATTCGGCTTATTAACTTCAGCTCCAGTATCAAGTAGTAACTTCAAAATTTCATAATTCCCTGTCATAGCTGCCACTGATAGAGGAGTCTATCCAGAATCAACACTTGCTAAATCCACATCAACTTAGCAATTTGATAATAAAAGTCTAACTATTTCTAATCTCCCTAGATAGCATGCACATATAAGAGGAGATATTTTTTAATCAAGTTCAATTTCATTGAATTATTCCAAAAAATTGATGTTGGCTATCAAAGTTTTTTTACTTTACCTTTATTTATTCCCAATTCTTTCAAAGTATCATAATCATTTTAATGTATCAAGTGCAAGATCAATTGCTAACTTAATATAATAATTAATACGTATTCAGATAAAGGTTTTTCTAATCCTTATAACATATATTTTAATTTATGTATAAAATCATTTTATAAGTTGTTATTATCTGATGAACACACTTTTATTATTGGTTTTTACTGTATTTGAACTACTATTTAATAAAAACTAACTAGAAGATTGAATGAAAAGTTTAATCAATCATAATACTATTTTTTAAGGAGAAATAAATGAATAACAAAAAAAGAGTACATTCTTTAATTATTTAGTTCTGAAAAATGGTTTTAAATAATTAAAAATGAAATAATCTTCTCAAATATTAATAAATAATAAAAAGAATTATATCAATCACTATTAACTTTGATACCTATTTTTAAATATTTCTAAATGTTAGAATTTTTTATTGATTTTGCGATGAGATTTATTATCATGTTCATTATTTTTTAATTAACTATGAAAACATACCTTTATTAATGCATGGAGAGAAAATTGAGAATTATTGTTAAATCTATTAATGAAGTGAATATGATTCATTGAAAAGAGGAGAGATATTTGTGTTTAGAGAAGCAATCCATAGAAAGCCTTTGATAAGACACTTTTTTATATTGTTTTTATTGTCTTAAATAAATTTGATTGAAGTAGGTCCTTATTCTTCTCAACTTAGCCATATAAAACAGGTTTGGTATAACCTAAAAGGACATTCAAATTAAATAAATGTATCCACACCGATTTCAATCAAATTTATATAAGACAATTAACTTTATTGACTCATATATTTAAGATTTCATAAAAGGAATTTTGGATAATTTTAGAGATCAGATTAATAATTCAAAATTAAAATTAATTAATCTTACATCTACTCACTCAAACGAAACAGAGGAAATATTTAAATCGTAATGTTTCTGATGCGCTTTTATTAATGACACTACCTTATTATTAATGTTATGAAACAGTTAATTTATGCAGAAAAGGTTCTTACTAATCATAGAATAAATTCTCCAGTTTAAACTTAAGTTTGATTATTTATCTATTTACTAGATACCTAAAGATTTCTTCAAAAATAAATCTAAAATTCATATTAATATCTTTATAAGGTTTAGTTCAGTATTTGTAGATGATAGTTCATAACTATCTTATAAATTATATTAATCAATATAATATTTAGAATAATATCTGGTTTCATCAATAAAATAAAAGTTAGATTATATTCTTTATTCAACTGCCAGATGATTTTATGAACACAATTTCTTTTTCCTAAAAAACTGAAGTATTCAATCCGTAAATCAATTTCTTTAATTGTGAAAAACTAGTAAATGCCTGACAAAAAGTGGCTGACAAATACTGCCTACAACATATAAGAATAATGATATATTGTAAAATAAATCTGTATTGCAAAAAAAAGCTGTAAAATTTTAATGCAAGTCGTAAAAAGAAAGCAGTAAAGAATTCGAAAAAATTAAAAATAATGAACAGCAATCAACATACATTATGTCATCTAAATTAGGCAAGCCGACTTATCAATAATAATGATTTAAGGAAGCTTCAATACTCAAAACAATTAAAAATATGTTGTCCTTAGGTTATAAATTCCAAAGATGAAGGATTACCAAGATCACTAAATTTAGACTTACTATCCTAATTAGCCTCTTACAAAATTGCAGATTTTATCTCGAATGTAGAACACATTTGATAAAGAAACTCTAATAAATTTGTCCACACATGGTAGGTATTGTGTTCTATTTGGAATTGATTTAAGAATGTTAGTCATATAAATCGAGAGTGGTCAGTTTAGTGATGCATGGCTTCCTAATTTTCAATTTAGCAATACCTAATAATAAATGAAGTACTATTTAATATAATCCTGATTCATTCTGAAAATTTTAATTCAACTACAAATGATATGAAAAATAAGAGATGTAAGGGTGTTGGTCCGAAGTTATTATATTATGAGTATTTGTTTAGGCTTTTATTGACTTTTAAAAGACATGTAAATTATTGATACATATGGAAAAAATTTACAGACACTTAAATCATAAGTCATCCAAAATTAAGGACATATATAGGGATATGATAGAGTTTGATTCCCTATTGATAATGATCTGAAACCTCATTTGTGAATTATTATTCGAAAATTTAAATAAGGACTTAAATTTCACTTTCACAAAAACTAAGAAAATGATAATTTATAAATTTATGGTTTTTCATAAGAACCAAAATAATTATATTTTCCAATTTGATGTAAACGAACAAATTAAATATTAAAATAATTAATTAAAAATTATATTTATCTAAAGTTGTACATTAATTATGATCCCTATAAGTTAATACTTAAAAATTCATATAAACATTCAATTGAATAATGAAATTGACAATTTGAAATAATTTAGATGTCATTTTAAATACCATTTGGATTACTATCTTTCTTATGTATTAATTTAAAAAATGATGAAATTTAAATTCTTTTAGTTGTTTCTATTTTACTCACTTATGTAAATATATCATGATATATTTATTCAAGATTAGAGCAAACTATTCAATACTCATGCTAATTTGATAATTATGAAAGCAGCCTTTTAGATGTAAGCGATCCTTTTTAAAATGTTTCTTTTCATATTTAATATGAACTCGACTATTGGTATTCCACAGGATTTTGGTCGAAATACATTGAATATTAAGCAATGAATTAAAGCCATATTATTGATTAAAAGGTTTTAGACTCAGAAAATTGGAGATTATTGTTTCTCTAAAAATAAATGAGCAGCAATACCAAAAAAGAATACAATATTACCATATATTATAAACTTGAATTTAGCACATATTATTGGACTTATAATCCTTATTACGTTTTGGAGGTTTCCTATGTTGAAAATTCTTACACAAAGTTTTAATCATTAGCTTTGCAACTTGAAAATCAATAATTAGATGGGATTTGGCATTTGACTCTTATAGAGTACAATCCATTGAAAAAAACCTTGCTCTTTAAAAGTGCAGGAAAAATAGATTAAATTGATGGCATTTCCTTAAAAAGTGGCCTAATTAATTATATATTAGGAGGATTCGGAAAGGATGTAATTAAAATATTAAACATAGAGTTTTACAAAACAATCATATGCCCCATTCCAAGGACTATTATCAAAGTTGATTATTTATAATAAACACCAGGAAGAGAATTTATATGATTAAATATCTAATGCTTGTACAATTCCAGAATAGGTTGTAAAAATGAAGCAAATAAAACTAATTGATGGTATACATAGATTTGATGGAACTGATTACATTCATAAAGAAGCATAGCTAATTGATTAACATTATGTTGTTAGAGGATGGATTAAAATAGATTTTAGTAAGATTTTTATATCTGCTTAAATGTAGATATTAAGAATGACAATTAATAAGTAATATTAAAATGGAAACGGAAATAACGGAGATAAAACTTTATTTCTAAGATACAATATTAATTTAAATACTTAGAATTTAAATTCTATTCTAATCTAGACTTATCATTATCAATATCCATAGAAGTTTGAATATGATGGTTCATTTTTAAACTCCGACAAATACATGCTTACCACTAATACCCTACTATCTGATATTTAAAAATGGCACTATTTTACTTTCGAATAAGGTAGAAGTCTTAATAGCGAAAGAACATAGTTTAAACTATGGTTTGATTTTCATAGCGAATCTATAACTCATAATTTTTCTGGCTAAGTAAGAAATTAGTTTTCAAACACATTAATATATTTTTACATTGGGGGAGATAAGTTTACCCCATCCCCATATTTCTAAGGACAATTAGCTAATATAGAGTTCTTGACTGGATTTAAAGAAGACTTTAACCTAAAAGATTATAAATGTATTCGATTAATCTAATGAGATAGATTGTCATTATTCTTGCCAATTATGTGATGGGCCTGAATCTAATTAATGTACTAGTTGTTCTGTATTTTCAAAGCGATAATTTTTAAGCGAAACTAAAGAGTGCAAATGTCAAAATAATGAGCTTGATATTACTAATAGTGAAATTTGTTTTAATTAATTTTAGTCATTCCCAGAAATTACAATTTCATAAATAAACACTAATTCTTTTTATTATTGTGATTTTGGATATTTTTTAATAAAGGATAACAATGATAGAATTTGTAAATAATGGTATTAAATAAATTACTTCCTTTAGTCCTTTTTATGGTTAAATTATAGAAATTCAAAAATAGAAGTAGACTCAATATTACTGTCTTGATTGTTATATAAAACCAATGACTTGGTACCTAAAACCAGTATGTACAACGGATATGATTCGTAATTAACTAAAAGCTGATTCTGCATATTAGTAGATTGATAGAGATGTCATAGATTATGATGCTTTTATTATAAATGAAATATATGAACTAGAACTTCAAATAGGTGTTCAAAACTTTTTAAGCAATTAAGAATAAAGTAATAGCGCCAATATCAGCGCTATTCATTTAGGATATTAAGTGTACTTATAATGTAAGTCTACTTTTATTTTGGTTGACAACGAATGCAAAAGATGCCCTGATAATTGCCTAATTTGTGATGACAACTCAGTCTGTAGTTAATGTCACAAGGACTTTTATTTATCAAATAATTAATGTGTAATGTGCCCTTCTATTTGCGATGAATGTTTTCAAGATGAAGTTAGTTAAGTTGCAATTTGTAAAAAGTGTAGGAGGTACTAACTATTAATAATTCAATAGTCCTTTTAATTATGTTGATAAAACATGCAGAATATGTGGCTAAAATTGTGAAAAATGTATTGAAGATTACGATTTGAAGACTCAACAATATTTTCTTAGATGTTTGAAATGTTAAGATGATAGCATATATTTTATTTCAAATGATGCTTAAAATTGTGAGATTAACAGTATCGAAAATTGCCAATATGCTGTCAAATTAAGGTTATTAGAAGATCAGAAGCCAACATTCAGTACTTTGGATTACTATTTTCAGCCATCTTATGATTCTATAGAAATTAAATGCGCAAGATGCAAAGAAAAATATTTATATTACTATTATTCTAATACATGTGAAATTGATAGTTATTATGGAGAAGATTGTCAATATAGAGTTTCTTGGTATATGACTTATTGCATTGTAGGGAAGAATATATTATATGAAAGAACAAGCGAGTGTTAAAATGAAATTGCATTTTGTACTAACTGCTTATATAATAAATTTAAAGAAAAATACGAATGCTATTAATGCGAACAAGGGTATTATGCTAGTAGAATATTTGGGAATTGTCAAATTTGTCCTTCTGAACTTCATTGCAAGACTTGTTATCAATAAGATAAGATATCTCAAGATAATTGGAAATAATAAGTAAGATCATTTTATTATGCTGCAATCTAATCCTATGATATGAGTCACGATTTTACTGAATTTAGCTAAAGTTCAGAAATACAGGATTTTGAAATAGTTTGTCTTGATTGTGTTCAAGGATTTGACCTTTAAAATAAATAATGCATACCTTAATGTCCAACTCTTTGTTTGGAATGTGTAAGATCAAATGGTCAAAATATATGTATTAGATGTCCTTTGGAAGTGAATTAAAGAATCATTAGTTTATATAATAACTAATGCATTCGATGTCCTCCTAATTGTAATTTATGTAGAAAAAGAGATTAAGCAGAAATTTTCTTAATTAATCCAATATTTTAAAATTCTAATTATTGGGATTATAGTAATTAATGTTTGGGGTTTAATTCAGATTCCAATTTATATTATAATTCATTTTTTGGATTAGTTTTTTAATAAATTGATATTGATACCAAATAGGAAAATTAAGTTACTCTTGAACTAAATTTGATATGTTCTGAAATTGTTTATCAGAATCTAACTTTTCACTTAAATGATTCATAAAAAACTTTATTTAATCAAACACATGTGTTTATTGATGATCTTTAATTTTTTGCTCAATTTAATAGAGAATCATTTTACAAGTTAGCGAATGACTTATAAATCACATCATTAGTTATAAAAATTATAAGTGATATTGAGTAAGAATGTTTGTTTTTTGGAGATTTCTTGATCTCGTAAATATTTAGCAGAAGTATTTTTCCATTGATGTAAAATATTTAATAATTTTTAGATAAGTTAATCTATCGATAATAAGTACCTAAACTACTAAATTCTTTGTTGACAAATCATTATAATTTCAGGATTTTTCAAATGTTTTGATAAGTGATATTGAATTTTATTTTAGAAGAAAAGATTCTTTTAGTCTCATAACTTTTTCATCTTAATTAGAAAAGTTCTCAGTATAATTTTACAACTTAAAATTTTAATAATCTAATACCAATGCTGTATAATTCATATTCTCAAAAGTTTCCTCAATATACCTAAAAAATTTAACATTTAGTGAGTTGATTTTGAAATATTAAAATTATACTACGCCTTTGTTTCTAATTAATTGTGATAAGAATGTCAATTCTAAGATTGAGATTAACTTTTTATAGGTATTAAATTCCCAAATTCAAGATACGGATTTATTCTCTTTGGATAATGAAAGTTTAATATCTTAGTTTTTTAAACATACATTTAACAGGTGTATTCTCAAATTGTACATTTATTAAAACTGCAAATTATAATTTATATTCAATAAAAATCACCAACTTCTCTTTTAAAGGAGAACTTTACAATTGTAATGGATTTTTGTAACTATCAGATTTTTCAAACATTGTCCTGTAATAATTATCAATTACTTATTCGATAATTTAATCATCTATTGTAATAAAAGTAGATAGTAATTCAACAATTTAGCAGTTCAACTGTTCAAATAATATCATTTTTAATTAAAGTAAAATTTTTTTTAATCCAGAAAATACAAATACAAACTCATTCTCATTATCAATAGACTTCATTGTATTTGAATATAACCAATATGATTAATTGTCTAATTTTCTAAAAATAAGGGATTTTGGCTACGTTCGCTCCTATATAACAATCAACAACATTTAAATGACTGAAAATATAATTTATTTTACTGAAGTTCTTAATGACACTATTAAATATGAAATTGCTCTGATTAATCTAGAAGCATAAGTCATAAACTTATCCTAAATATTCCTATTAAGAGGATTTGGTATAAGTGAATTAAGAATTATTAATTCTTAGGATCTTTTAATAAGAAATATCGAAGTCCTGCTTAGTGAAAAGTATAGTATAAAAGGAATCCATAAGCATTTAGATTGTTGGATTAATTATGTAAAATAGGACTTCTATACTATATTCTTAATTATTTATAATGCTATCTAAACACAAATAGAATCTATGATAATGAGATATTTAGTTGTAATAAATGAGCCCTTGATTTATTATGAATCTATTTCTACTTCAATACTTGAAAGAGACGAAAATATTAGTATTTACAATTCAAAAATTCATAATAATTTATAAATATTCATTGGGAAATATGAAAACAGCCCAATTTTTGAAATACATTCCAAGCAAAATGTGAGTATTTACATTGAAGAGATCGTGTTCCATAGAAACATATTAACTTCCTATTAATAGGAAGATAGTTATATTTCTTCCAGTCTCATATATTTTGACTGTCTAATAAGTAAAGTTGTTTTGCATAAGGTTGTCTTTGAGACCAATACAATTATTAATAGCGTAAACACATTGGTATTTATTAACTCATAAAGTGTAAATTTTGATGATGTTGTTTTTAATAATAGTTGTTAATTTGATTACAATCTTATCAAGCCATATCTATAATGGGGTTATGATCTTGAGAGCAAAATCTACTTAGAAGACGTTAAATTAAGTTTTTAACAAAAGTGTTTAGTTGGAAATGCCATACTATAATCATCTAAAATTTTAATTAATAATTTAACTTCAAATAATTCTTTTGGATAATTAAGTGGAAGTTTATAAATCAATGTATAATCATCTGGTTCAGTATTGATTGACCAATCGCATTTTGAAAACATATTTATGGCTTCTTCAAAATAATATGATTCAATTTAATAAGGAGGCACAATTTTTATTGAATCATAATCCTCAATAATTATAAAAATTGTAAACTCTGTTTTTTCTGCAATTAATTCCTATATTTCTGCAGGAATGCTCTATCTAAACGATAATTAAAATTCAATTAAATTGTAATTAGGAAATTTGACATTGAACAATTGTTATAGCTTAAAAGGGGCCATCTTATATCGATAAATTTCTAGTTATAATCTAACTAATTAGAAATTTAGACTTTAGGGTATTAGTATTCAGGACACTTATTAAGGTTTCTTGAACTATTAAAATTCTGCAAATTATTATTATTATGCAGTTAAACTATTAAAAAACTATTTGTTATCGGAAAGAACTAAAGTATATTTGATTGCTGGGAATATATAAATGGACAATATTAAAATTTAGCAAATTTATTACGAATCCTTGATCATAGGTACAAATTTATTAAAATTCTTCTTTTCAAGTTCAATAATTTAAGGAGGAATACTGCCAATTAATGGCCTTATTAAACTAGAAAATCAAGGTTATGAAAATGAATGTGTAATCAGATAGGTTCTTATCTCAAATCTAACATCTAATTTAGATTCAATTAAAGTTGATTATCCAGTACAAATCGACTCTACCAAATTTATTGAACAACAATAAGTTTGTTTAACTAAATTTAATAATGATTACGCTCCAGTAAATTTAAAATCATTTCATAGTCCAGACCATTATTATAATAACACTTTAACTTTACTAAATGAATTGAATCTATATTATTAAAAATAGTTGATCATGCCTATATTCTTACTTACCAATATTACTAACTTAGTTTAGTTTAAATTCATCGAATTATATATTTTTGATATAATTTGCTAAGCATGCTCACTTAGTTTATTGTATTTACATTAAAATGAGGAACGGGCTATGGAAAATAAAATTGCTTTATTAGAATTTCAAAACAATTTTTGTGGATCACTTAGTTGTTTCATAATTGCGGACAATATTTTATCAATATCAGATGTCAATATATACAAAAGACTGTTATATAGTGAATAAGAGAGTGAGAAACTTATTTAATATGTGAAATATGATGTTGAGTTGATGGATTTTAAATGTTAAAACAATTCAGCTGTTTATGGTACTTGTGTGTTTATCAAAAATTAAAATATTCAAATAAAGAATAGTTTATTAATGAATAACTATGCAAAGATGGCTGGAGGTGCAATTTATTTCGAAGGAAGAAATAAACTGTTTACTTTATTATCTAGTAAAGTCTCTGAAAATCAAGCCTTATATGGTGGAGGAATATTTACATAAAACTTAAGTTAATCTAATTATTCTAAAATGGGTTCGATTGTTAATAATAATAAAGGCACAAAGTATGGAAATGACCAATCAACGAATCCTACCCATATCTCAATTACCCTTAATAATTACGAATCTATTTTCTTTACCAATGTAAAAATGAATGATTCGAATACTGTAATTGAAGAGGTATTAGTTTAGAATAAGTATCTTTATAAGAATAAATATTTAAATGTAATTTATCTACCCAATGGACAAAAAATTAGCGAATATAAATAATTTGATATCACCAATAGAAGTTATCACTCGAAAAATCTTACATTTAGAATAGTGTTATTGAATGAATTTAGAGAAATTTACAATAATTTGTCAAATTCAAAATGTAATTTAAAGAGTAGAAAATATAATTTAGGGTTATCTGAAGTTCAATAAGAATAATTCTCTGAAGATTTTACAAACAAAATTGAAATTCCTTATAATAGAGAAACTAACGATTATAATTTAGATGACTTAATTCTTTTATTTAATACTTTTTAACAAGATGATTTAATTTTATAAATAGAAATTAAATGTGATAGGATTCTCATACCTATTTTCAATTAACAATTCCCATATGAAATTTTAAATTACCATAACAATTATAGTCTCCACCTTAATATTAAAACATATCCATGTTAATATGGAGAAATAATTAATAAAACCTATGGAACATGTGAAGTTTGTGATTATTAAAATAATTTTTATTAATTGGAACTCAATTAGGAAAAATGTAATTTATTAGATGAGATATCTATTAAAGAAATCACATCTAACTAGCTAAATCTATATCCAGTAATATTAATATACATATCTAGGGTTATTGGAGAGCTTATTTTGATACAAATTAAGTAGAATATTGTTATAATCTACCAGAAAGTTGTCTTGGTGGTTGGAAGGAAGGTGATTATTCTTGTATCACTGGACATATAGGAGCATTGTGTGAATAATGTGATATTTCAGATATAAGGGGAGATGGAATGTACTCAATTAGTGGGCCTTATTAATGTGGAAGATGCACAGAATAATACATTAATCTCTTCTCAATATTAGGGATTAGTATTTGGTATTCATAAAGAAAATATTTTAGGACTTTGTTGACGATACTTATGTCTACAAAAAGTACAGTTACTATTGTAATTAATAAATTATTAGCGGTTAAATTGCAAAAGGCAGGATTAATCTTAGTGTCTCAACCTTTAAATGAAGAATTACTGGGTAAGATTCTCACCAATTACCTATAAATTATTATGACTTTAACAACTTTTAGGTTATCATTTCCAGATGAACTTAATTATGCAATCAATTCAACTGGAAATCCTATAAAAACTGTCTCTTATTCCCTAGATTGCTTTTTAATTTATCTCAATTCAATTATCGAACTCCACTATTTACGAATGTTATGGCAATTACTAATGCCAATCATATATGTATTATTGTTCTTGGGCGGTTATGGACTTTGTATTCTCTTAAAGAGATGTAAATATCATTCCACTGTACTTTTTACAACACTTATTAATATGTTTATTATTTTGCAACCCAGCTTAATTGAAGGATTTATAAAATTAATGTCATATAGAGCAATTTCAGGGTATGAATGGATATCTATAAATGTTGCATATCGGTACGATACAGAAAGTCATTTTAATTGGATTTTGTGCTTTTGTTTCCCTTTTTTTATCCTTATTGCTTTTGTCATTCCATTAGCATTCTTTATGATTTTATTTTACAATAGAAATGATCTGGATAGCAATGAGACTAGAATGAATTGGGGATTTCTATATAATGAATATAAAAAGTCAGGATATTTTTGGGAAATAGTAAAATTAGTTGAAAAGGAGTTAATTATTATAGTTTTGGCACTTTATGAGACAAAAATTATCATTAAAGCAAGTTTGATATATATCATCATATTTATCTATTAATAACTGACCATAAAATACTAACCCTACGAATCTAAGGTATTAAATCAATTGGATAACATAATGACATAAGTGTGTGGTTTTTCTGTTGTACTTGGCATTGGAATTCATGTTTCTTAACAAAATTAAGAAATTGTATATCCTTTGTATATCATATTGATTTGCATCAATTTATATTTTATGATTCTAATGATTAAGACTCTGCTAAAAGCATACTTTATAGAAATGGGTAATTAAATATTAATGAGATGCCAAAAATTTAAAAAGTTTTTAAAATTTGATTGTATTTAAAAATGGAGATTTTTTGAAAACAAGGAAGAAAAAAGGAAAAGAATATAAATAAAATTTAATAAAATAAAGAAGTAAATTTTATCAGTGTCTAGAATTATTTAATAAGGAAAGAAAGAGACAGAACTATCAATATTTGAAAATAAAACCCATTTCAAACAAGAGTAAGAAAAAATAGAAAAGGGAATTAACAGTATTATGCAGAAATAGTAGATATCCTCGATATCACGAGATATAGAAATAACTTTAGCATCTTGTAAAAGTGGAAAAGCAAATTAGAAATTATTTAGTAAAGTCTTTCCGGAAAGTCAATAATGAATTTAAATACAATATTAAATTTTCTAAATTTTCGAAGAATTTTAATTAATATTCAAAAGATAAATTGAAAATAAAGGAATAAAGAAATAAATTTAAATAAAATTTAATTTTGTTCTATTTTTCATTTTATTTTTTGTTTCAACCCTTAAAAGTTAAATCCATTTATTATGGACAGCTTGATAGTCTTCTGTTATTCTTAAAATTTTATTTTATCAATGACCTCCATGGTTTCCAATTCATTTTTTGATAATCTCAGATATTATAATTATTAGATTATTTTTAATCATCAACATATCAGGGAAGTGAGTCCTATAATCATCGCTTATTGGTAAATCTAGGTTCCATTTCATTTAACACAAATGTTTAATCGCTAATGCCCAATGATTTAAGAATTTATAGCATTGGGGACGTATGAATTAATTAAAACTAGCCAAGTAACCCATTCCTTTAATGTTTATATTGGTAAATTGTTGAAATTTCACTGCGCATTCTGATCTTTGTGATGATTTATTAAATATGTATTTGAAAAAAGATTGAAAAAATACTTCCATTATTTCCATTCTGTGACTCAACATTATGATCGAAAATATTGTGGGCGCCCATCTCCTCATCATCATTCGTTCTAGAATCTATATGATTACATGAGTTCTTCTATTACTCCCCTTTTCCAAAGATTTGAAGCTC